ATGATTAATCACTCATAGCCACTTACAGCAGAACGTTAGGGCTCAGTGATTACTCTCAAATTTCGCTGTTTACTTAGTTTTAACCGGCTGGGAACTCCAGAGGCCGGAATGAGTCTCATTCGCAAGAGTGACCCGTGTACACGACTGTGCCCACGAGTCTCGGGCGATGATTGCCCGCGTGCTGCATTAATCCCACTCGGCATGCCACATCGGAAGGAAGGTAGCCGCCGAGAGAAAGGGGAGACACGGGGACACGTGGGACACGGAGACACGTAGTCAGCGAAAGGCCGAAGACACCGATAAACGTTAACAAGGCGGTGATCACTCACTGCCCGTGACTATAACAACAACAACAACGACGGCGACATCGTTGTAAATGACCACTGCGTTCCAGGAGTAGTTTTAGGCTGAGATGACCTAGGGGAGGCACAGCTGGTCAGCATCCGATTTCAATTGCCACTTATGCGTCCATGGGCACGCATACTGTTGCCTTGCTCACCGCACCTGCGGTTAGCACGGTTGGCTACGTAGGGTGCGAAAGAAGTTCAACATACACACAGAGACTCACGCAGAGACCCACAGACTCACACAGAGACCCATAGACTCACGCAGAGACCCATAGACTCACACGGAGACCCATAGACTCACGCAGAGACCCACAGACTCACACAGAGGCCCATAGACTCACACGGAGACCCATAGACTCACACGGAGACCCACAGACTCACATATAAACCTATAGACTCACACAGTGACCAAGACTCACACAGAGACCCACAGACTCACATATAAACCCATAGACTCACACAGAGACTCATAGACTCACACGCAGACCCACAGACTCACACGGAGACCCATAGACTCACACAGACCCATAGACTCACAAAGAGACCCATAGACTCACACAGAGACCCATAGACTCACATATAAACCTATAGACTCACACAGTGACCCATAGACTCACATAATAACCACACACACGAGGTCTACATGATAACCACACACACGAGATCTACATGGTAACCACACATACGAGGTCTACATGATAACCACACACACACGAGGTCTACATGGTAACCACACACACGAGGTCTACATGGTAATCACACACACGATGTCTACATGATAACCACACACACGATGTCTACATGATAACCACACACACGAGGTCCCCATGGTAACCACACACACACACGAGGTCTACATGATAACCACACACACGATGTCTACATGATAACCACACACACGAGGTCTACATGATAACCACACACACGATGTCTACATGATAACCACACACACGATGTCTACATGATAACCACACACACGAGGTCTACATGGTAACCACACACACGAGGTCTACATGATAACCACACACACACGAGGTCCCCATGGTAACCACAAACACGAGGTCTACATGGTAACCACACACACGAGGTCTCCATGGTAACCACACACACGAGTTCTACATAGTAACCACACACACGATGTCTACATGATAACCACACACACGAGGTCTACATAGTAACCACACACACGATGTCTACATGATAACCACACACACGAGGTCTACATGGTAACCACACGCATACGAGGTCTACATAGTAACCACACACACGAGGTCCCCATGGTAACCACACACACGAGGTCCCCATGGTAACCACACACACGAGGTATCCATGGTAACCACACACACGAGTTCTACATGGTAACTACACGCACGATGTCTACATGATAACCACACACACACGAGGTCTACATGATAACCACACACACGATGTATACATGATAACCACACACACGAGGTCTACATAGTAACCACACACACGAGGTCCCCATGGTAACCACACACACGAGTTCTACATGGTAACCACACACACGAGGTATCCATGGTAACCACACACACGATGTCTACATGATAACCACACACACGAGGTCTACATGGTAACCACACACACGAGGTCCCCATGGTAACCACACACACGAGTTCTACATGGTAACTACACGCACGCAGTTGTCATTTCGAAGCTGCTTATTTTCTGAATGATGCTTCGTCTGCGTACTCGCTGATAATTACAAAAAAACTTGTACTGGAGAAATCCGATGAGCTGTAAAGCTTTTTTCACAGATGGTCCAGGACATAACGATAATAATAAGACTGCGGCCTTCAAAGGAAACGTGATAGGCGACGTTTCGGGCAATGGCCCTTCAATTGCTATTCCTCACAGGATGTCAGTATGCGCCTGAAAGGTTACGTCCCGAAACGTCGTCGATTATATATTTGTCCTTTTAATGCCTCTTGACGAATGTGTCTGGTTGTTATTTTAGGCTGAACTGACCTAGGGGAGGCAGCGTTACATTTCACTCGTCCATCAGGTGTCCACGGGCACCGCATGCAGACGCAGACGCTCAGACAGACAAAGACAAAGATCCCCCGTATAGCCTGTGACAGACTGTTGGGGCAATTGCTGTGAGCGAGCACCTATAAAGGCACACGATGGTCAACACTACGCCCGGCCGCCTTTGTCTCCCCACATTGCTCCAGGTACTCATTTGAGGCTGAGTCCACCTAGGGGAGGCACAGAACCCGGTTCAGATAATCGTCACCACCGGTGTTGGCCGTGAGCGGGAATCGAACGCGGGTCGCCAGGTTCGTAGCGCAGCGTAGCACGCTAACCGCTGCACCACCGCTCCGCACTACGCACACAAAACATGAACCAAGGGAGAGTGACGCACAGAGAGAGAGAGAGGAGTGGCAAGAAGCAGACACGGGGAGGGAGCTCACACACGGCACGGCAGCAGATTACGGGCGGAGGGAAAGGGTGGTGGTGGTGGTTGTGGTGGGGAGCGGTGGCGGTGTGGTTAGCGCGATGCCCCTACGAACCCGGCGACCCGAGTTCGATTCCCGTTCACGACCAATGGAGAATATTTTGAACGGGCCTGGGCCACCCTCCCCCCTAGGTCGACTCGGCCTCAAATGAGTACCTGGTGCGATTTGTAGTAAACAAAAGCGGCCGGGCGTGGTGTTGGCCACCCAACCCCTCGTGCGCCGTGCTGCCCTTCCTAGATGCTCGTAAACAGCACTTGCCCCAAAAGTTTGTCACAGGCTATACGGGGGGTCTTTGTCTTTGGTGGTTGTGGTGATGATGGTGGTGGTGGTGGTGGCGGTGTAAGTTGTTGTGATCTGGGTCAGCGAGCGAGCAAGTCACAGGCTATACGGGGTATCTTTGTCTTTGGTGGTTGTGGTGATGATGGTGGTGGTGGCGGTGTAAGTTGTTGTGATCTGGGTCAGCGAGCGAGCAAGTCACAGGCTATACGGGGTATCTTTGTCTTTGGTGGTTGTGGTGATGATGGTGGTGGTGGTGGTGGCGGTGTAAGTTGTTGTGATCTGGGTCAGCGAGCGAGCAAGAGTGACGCACGAATGTTGAGCGTGGAGAGTTGCGGTCAGGGTCAGTGAGTGTAAGTTGTGGTTGGAGATGGGGGAGTTTGTGTAGAACTTCTTTCGCACCGTGCCTAGCCAACTTGTCGGAGGTGCGGGGGAAGGACAACAAGCTATGGGTCTCTTTTGTGAGTCGGTGGGTCTCTGTGTGAGTCTGTGGGTCTTTGTGTGAGTCTGTGGGTCTCTGTGCGAGTCTGTGGGTCTCTGTGTGAGTCTGTGGGTCTCTGTGCGAGTCTATGGGTCTCTGTGTGAGTCTCTGTGTCTGAGTGAGTCTGTGGGTCTCTGTGTGAGTCTGTGGGTCTCTGTGAAAGTCTATGGGTTTTATGTGTGAGTCAATGGTTCTCTGTGAAAGTCTATGGGTTTTATGTGTGAGTTTGTGGTCTCTGTGCGAGGCTATGGGTCTCTGTGTGAGTCTATGGGTTTCTGCGAGTCTATGGGTCTCTGTGAAAGTCTATGGGTTGTATGTGTTAGTCTGTAGGTCTCTGTGAGTCTATGGGTGTCTGTGAAAGTCTATGGGTTTTATGTGTGAGGCAATGGTTCTCTGTGAAAGTCTATGGGTTTTATGTGTGAGTCTGTGGTCTCTGTGCGAGTCTATGGGTCTCTGTGTGAGTCTATGGGTCTCTGTGTGAGTCTGTGGGTCGCTGTGCGAGGCTATGGGTCTCTGTGTGAGTCTATGGGTCTCTGTGTGAGTCTATGGGTCTCTGTGTGAGTCTATGGGTCTCTGTGTGAGTCTATGGGTTTTATGTGTGAGTCTATGGGTCTCTGTGTGAGTCTATGGGTTTCATGTGTGAGTCTATGGGTCTCTGTGTAAGTCTATAGATCTCTGTGTGAGTCTGTGGGTCTCTGTGTGAGTCTGTGAGTCTCTGTGCGAGTCTATGGGTCTCTGTGTGAGTCTATGGGTCTCTGTGTGAGTCTATGGGTTTCATGTGTAAGTCTATAGGTCTCTGTGTAAGTTTATAGGTCTCTGTGTAAATCTATGGGTTTCACGTGTGAGTCTAAGTATGTATGTTGCTGAACTTCTTTCACACCGTACGTAGCCAACCGCCCTAATCGGAGGTGCGGGGTGGGATAGACAACACACTCAACACAAAAAGCGGTTCTGTAGAAAGTTCGTTTTCGACGTGCTACGATTCAAGAGTACACAGCGTGCAGTGTCCTTCCTAACATCGAAAGTACGCGCGCGTTCCAGACGGCCGCAGAGGGAGGTGGCTTGGGGGGTGGTGGTCGCTGCTGCTGCTGCGGTCTGGGTGGCTCGCAGCGAAAAGAAAAACTGGGGGGGGGGGGGGCGTGGGGGGTGGGGGTAAAGGATTCGCGTCCCGGTGGTGAATATTGATAGAGGAGTTTGGTTTCGGGCCAAGGGGTTGGAGTGGGCTTGGACGACGCGATGAAGGGTGGGCGAAAGTGAGTCTCCCGGGTAGGTGGGTGGGGTGGGTGGGGTTGGTGGTGGTGGTGGGGGGGCTGACGTGAGTGAGAGTGGGGAGGGGGGGCAATAGGAGGAGGATTGTGGTTGAGGGTTTGCGGCGGGGCGAGTGAGGGAGGGAGGGGGCGAAGGGAGCTGCTTCATTTAATCTCCGGCGCGCCGCTGTTGATGCACGGAGACGCGAAGGGGAGCCGTGGGGGACTGCTGCGCTGAGCTCAGGATCGGCATACAGAGGAAGAGAGACAGAGAGAGAAAGAGGTGAGTGTGGAGGGATAGCCGCAAAACATTGTACACTCTCGCAATATGCCACTGGCTTGTGATAGACTGTTGGGGCAAGTGCTGTTAGCGAGCACATTTGAAGGCCGGCACGGCACACGAGGGGGTGGGTGGCCAGCAACCACGCCACGGCCGCCTTTGTCTCCCCCAGTGGCGATGTTTTTACGCACCGCACCCAGGTCCTCATTTGAGGCTGAGTCGACCTAGGGCAGGCCCAGGTAACCGGTTCAGACAATCGTCACCGGTGTTGGCTGTGAGCGGGAATCCAATTCGTAGCGCAGCGTAGCGCTAACCGCTGCACCACCGCTCCGCATAACATCGGCGTACACACCGATGTTTAAACCCCACATGGACACGTGACCGTGCATATGCCCACGGTATACTGCGTCAGAATCAGAATATTGCTTTTATACTGCGGGAGGAATCCGAGGAGCTGTAAAGCTCTTTTTGTTTTGCTCAGGAGGGGTGTGGGGGCCGCGGGGTCAGAACTTTAAAGAGCGACAAACACAAAGACACAAACACACAGACACAAGCACACAGACACAAAAAGAAAAACACAAAGACACAAAAACACAAAGACACAAATACACAAACACACATACACAAGCACAAAGACACAAACACACCGACACAAACACACATACACAAAGACACAAACACACACAACCACACAAAAACACAAACACAAAGACACAAACACAAACACAGACACAAAGACACAAACACAAATACACAGACACACCGACACGAAGACACAAACACACACAAACACACAAAGACACAACGTGCAACAGAGTACGCAACTGCATCGTGTTACGCACTGCATCGTGTTACGCACTCACACAACATGCTGCACGCATTCCGCGTGTGCGCATGGCATACACCAGCGAGGAGCATAACGTCAACCCATCACGGTGTACCCCGCATTCTTGTACAGGGACATTGAGTTTTCCAGGCGCACGCGGCGTACAGCCGTTTGACTACGAGCAACACAAATGTGCTGTCTGCGTGTTTGTGTGTCTCTCCTTGCGACGGGACTCTGTCGGATGAACGTTGATATTTATACGCGGCACGGGGGTGAGCAATGAGGTGTGAATTGGTCCGGAACAAGTTTGGCCACTGATAAGGGGTTCACAGCTACGACGGAAAAAAAGATAAAGATCCCCCGTATAGCCTTGACAGACTGTAGGGGCAAGTGCTGTTAGCGAGCACCTATAAAGGCCGGCACGACACACGAGGGGGTGGGTGGTCAACACCACGCCCGGCCGCCTTTGTCTCCCCAGTGGCGATGTTTACTACGCCTCGCACGTAGTACTCATTTGAGGCCGAGTCGACTTAGGGGAGGCCCAGGTGACCGGTTCAGACAATCGTCCGTGTGTGCGTTGGCCGAGAGCGGGAATCGATACCTTTGATCGCCGGGTTCGTAGCGCAGCGTAGCGCTAACCGCTGCACCACCGCTCCCCGCACGCAGCTATAACAGTGCCGACAAAGGTTAAGGCAACGGTCACCCCGGTGTAGCTCGTGACAGACTGCTGGGGCAAGTGCTGGCCGCGAGTAGCAGAGATGAAATCAGGGGCTGAACGATTTTGGGGGGAAAATTTCTAATTGGGATTTTTCTGACAGATATTGCGATCGCGATTTGATTTGCGATACTTTTTTTTTGCAAGTTAAGCTTCAGTTCAATATTCGCTGCGTAATAGATTTAAAACATGCGATGGAGCATTTCCACATGATACCATCAACATATGAACTGCTCTATATATTCTAATGCAAGGATGAGAACTTAAAAAATATGAATTGCTTTCAACATGTATTTATTAAAATGTTTTACTTGAAATAGAACAATCATAGAACAATTGTTAAGTTAAGTAAATAAAGTTCTAATAATACAAATATGAAACAATTCCGATAAGAAAGTAATCAGATTTTTCAAATCGCAAAAAACCGCAGCCTTTGCGATTTGATAATCGCATTGTTTAAAATTGCGATTTCGATTTGAAATCGATTAATCGTTCAGCCCCGCTATGAAGGCCGCCAGGGCACACGAGGGGAAGGGGGTGGGTGGTCAGCACCGCGCCACGGCCGCCTTTGTCTCCCCAGCGGCGAAGCTTTACACACCGCACCGAGTACTCATTTGAGGCGTGTAGATCTCACGCGAACGCACACACACACACACCACGCACACACACCACGCACACACACACCACGCACACACACACGCACACCACGCACACACACCACGCACACACACACGCACACTACGCACACACACCACGCACACACACCACGCACACACACACGCACACCACGCACGCACACCAAGCACACACACCACGCACGCACACCACGCACACACACCACGCACACACGCACACACACCACGTACACACACCACGTACACACACCACGCACACACACCACGCACACACACCACGCACACACACACACCACGCACACACACCACGCACACATACCACGCACACACACCACGCGCACACCGCGTGCATGATGATACATCGTGCACATCTGCAGTGAAAGTTTTCCGAGATTATTTTTTAAATGCGCTGAAACTCCGACAAATGAGATCACTGCCGTCTGCAGTGCATCGGCGGAAATGAACGCGCGAGAAAATAAAAAAAATACGGATTGTAGGATGAGTTTTAAAATTCATTTTTAAATCACGGACATAAAAAAAACCGCTTCTGTGTGACTCTCCCTCTGCAGGTAAACGCGGATTGTAGGATTGCACTCATAGGAAGAGCGCGGCTGGGGTGCGTACGGTGCGAAAGAAGTTCAATATACATAGCGTACAAACTCCTGTGTATAAAACAAGACGTAGCTGTTGGACGCCAGACATATACCAGGGAAACTAAGCAAAGCTAACATTCTAGATTTGAAGCTTTCGTGACTGCAAGGATTCATACTCTTAGGTTTTTTCGGTAAAGTCACGTAGGTAAAAAAATTAAATTAATAAAAGTTACTTTTACAAAGCTAAAGTGTCACCAAAATTGCTCAAGGGGAGCACTAATCCACGATAATTTGAGGGTGAACCAACCAGCATCTCGAACTCAAGTTCACGATTAACATTTGTTTTTCGAAAAAAGGCAGTTGGTCTCTCGTGCCTACCTCTCGTCTGCGTCTCTCGCCTCGCGTCCAAATCCACGTTTGCGTCTCTGCGTCTGTCTGAATTCCATCGTGCATCTTGCATATCCGTTGCTGCACGTCGACATTTGCAGACACTTTTCCCGTCCCGCTACGCCTCGGCATCCCGTCTCCGTGATTGCCACTTTCTGGGTGAGGTCACCAGTGGCTCTCCTATTGGATACACTCGGCCCCCGCCATAGGAACGTGGAGTTTCCACCATTGGCTCGGGAGAGGTGAACATCACCCTCGGCGCTCAGGTGGAAAGGACGTCGCTTTTGATTATTGACTTGTCCATAATCACTTCTGAACACAACTTTATTAAGCGGAAAACTTGTACTTGGCGACGTTCCGGGCAACGCCCCTTCTTAATAGCAATAGAGGCCAGACGAGAGACAGCTTAGATAAGGGTTGTAAACTGCACTGTATTACTTCTAAACACACTCATCTGTATGAAGAGATACCATTCCAAAGCGTTTGCTGGAACATTGCATGAACGGTGGAACTGGACATCTGTGAAACAAAGAGCTTCATAGCTCATAGGATTGCTTCCAGTGTAAATCAAGATTCAGGCTCCGGTTGTACTGTATTGAGGTGCCTCCAATCTCTTCTGTCATCTCACGAGGAGGAGTTTGTAAATCGACAGGGTGCAGGAAGCGGAGGGAGGTAGGGAGGGGAGTGGAGGCCCACAGAATTATTACTTTTTCGGTTTAACTTGGTGGGGGGGGGGGGGCAGTGCCGGATTAAGTTAAATGCGGGGCCTGTAGCAAATTATTTTATGAAGGGGCCCTAAATATAAAAAAAACTCGTAAATATGAAAACACATTTTTTTACTTGCATAGTAAAGTAATTGTATTTTTTAATTTGCTATACAGCCAGATAAAACGACAAATCGCTAACATTAAACACTCGGTCGTTCATAAAAGTCGACGGCGGTATAGTACTATAGTAATAGAGCAAGTGCAGAATCATTGAACCGGAATTGATAGCTTGAAAGCATTTAGCGCGGGGGCCCTTGAAAGTGCGGGGCCCGTAGCTGATGTAGCTACTTGTGCTACTACGATTTTCCGGCATTGGGGGAGGGGGGGGGGGTGTCCAAAATGGTTCATTCCCTACGTACGGTGTGAAAGAAATTCAGCAGCATACATATTTAGACTCCCACAGAGACCCATAGACTCAGAGAGAGACCCATAGACTCCCACAGAGACCCATAGACTCAGAGAGAGACCCATAGACTCACACAGAGATCCATAGACTCACACAGAGACCCATAGACTCACACAGAAGCCCATAGACTCACACAGAGACCCATAGACTCACACAGAAGCCCATAGACTCACACAGAGACCCATAGACTCAGAGAGAGACCCATAGACTCACACAGAGACCCATAGACTCACACAGAAGCCCATAGACTCGCACAGAGACCGATAGACTCAGAGAGGAATCCATAGACTCACATAGAGATCCATAGACTCACACAGAGACCCATAGACTCACACAGAGACCCATAGACTCAGAGACCCATAGACTCACACAGAGATCCATAGACTCACACAGAAGCCCATAGACTCGCACAGAGACCGATAGACTCAGAGAGGAATCCATAGACTCACATAGAGATCCATAGACTCACACAGAGACCCATAGACTCGCACAGAGACCCATCGCTTGTTGTCCTTCCCCCGCATATCCGATTAGCACGGTTGGCTACATACGGTGCGAAAGAAGTTCAACACACATCCATGCATCCATCACGAAAGAGTGCAATCGTCGTTTTCCATGGATGCTCCGTTATCCGCCTCCCACCTCGTCAGAGCCAGATAGCTCTGAGACGCTCTGGGGTTTTTATTCTTTGTTGAAGAGTTGAAGCAACAGAAAGTGGGCCAAAAGCTTTCTAGCCATGCTCGGAGCTCAAGCCTTGTCTATTGTTCGAGCAGAAACACACACACATTTCAACATTTCCCTGTCCTCTCGCTCTCTCTCTTTCTCTCTGCCCTTTCTGGCATTTTGTGTCCTGGTCCTCGCAGTCATCTCGGAGGCTGCCTGCCCCCCCCTCTCTCTGTGCGCTTGCCAACTCGGGAGGGGGGCTGCCCTGAGTGTGATCAGCAACGCACTTACCCCGTGAACGCACCCCCCCCGCCCCCATCTAAGGACATCTATGAAGAAGAGCTTCATAGCTCATGGGATTCCACCCGTTGATGTAAATCAACATTCCGAGATGTTCTCATTCTGAAATCGCCCGGCGGATTTGACAACGCGCCCCAACCATTCGCCTGGAATGCGGAATTTTTTTTTTCGGCCGTCTTTTATTTTCTGCACGCATCGCATTGTTTGTCGATTTATTTATTAACCCCCCCCCCCCTTTTTTTTATTAGCCTGAATCTCAAGACTGTTTTTTTTTACTTCTTATTCTTTCAGGAGGAACCTGCATATATATACACACACACCCAGGACGATATAGAAAATAAAGGTCGTAGGCGCACAGGAGGAAAGTTTTGAGACTGCACGCTTTAACGTGGAACGTTGGGGTCAACGTTCAGGGGACGTCAGGCCAACGATCAAAACCAACGTTGAGTCACAAGTTTGACCAACGCTTCCAATCTACATGCCAACCATCGGGCCCGACGTTCCGCGGTTTGACCCCGCTGGACTTGATCATGCCGTGGGCATGGCTGGCTGCAGGGGAGAGTTGACGATGCAAAGTAATTCCAGACAACGGTGTTCGTGTGTGTGTGGTGGGGGGGGGGGGCAGCAGTGGAGAAGGAGGAACATCATCACGCGGAGCAAAGATTGATTCGTTGAGGAGGGGGGTGGTGGTGGCTTTGACGAGAAATACTAATGCCTCGGGGAGAGCCGTCCAAAGCGAGATGGACTTTCTTCTGAAGGCTTTGTGGTGCATCCGACACGACTGAGGCGCCGCCAACATGATCCGGCTTGCTCGCGGTGGTGGGGGGGTGGTGGGGGGAGTGGTGGGGGGGTGGTGGGGGGGTGGTGGTGGGGGGTGGTGGGGGGGTGCGGGACACTGCCGTGTTTCGTGACGTGCGTTGGGGTTATTGCATTCCAGGCTGCAGCCGCGTCTCGAGTGCTGTCACTGTGAACGTTTTAATTGCTCTACTGGTTAACTGAGACATTCCATGTCATAGACACACAGATACAGTGTTTGTAAGATGTTGTAATTATACCTTGTGGTTTGTTTGTTTATTTTTTATTTAAAAAAAAACACTGATCTTTTGTACACCACGTGCGGGAGTGGTGGTGGTTGAATACAAGCGTGGATTGGTGAGTGGGTGGGTGGGTGAGTGGGTGAGTGAGTGGGTGAGTTGGTGAGTGAGTGGGTGGGTGGGTGAATTGGTGAGTGAGTGAGTGGGTGAGTTGGTGAGTGAGTGGGTGGGGGGGTGGGTGAGTGGGTGGGTGGGTAGGTGTGTGAGTGGGTGGGTGAGTGAGTGAGTGGGTGAGTGAGTGGGTGGGTGGGTGAGTGAGTGGGTGAGTGAGTGAGTGGGTGAGTGGGTGAGTGGGTGAGTTGGTGAGTGAGTGGGTGGGGGGGTGGGTGTGTGAGTGAGTGGGTGAGTGAGTGAGTGAGTGGGTGGGTGAGTGAGTGAGTGGGTGAGTGAGTGAGTGGTGAGTGAGTGGGTGGGTGGGTGAGTGAGTGGGTGAGTGAGTGAGTGGGTGAGTGGGTGGGTGGGTGAGTTGGTGAGTGAGTGAGTGAGTGGGTGAGTGGGTGAGTGAGTGGGTGGGTGGGTGGGTGAGTGAGTGGGTGAGTGGGTGGGTGGGTGAGTGAGTGAGTGAGTGCGTGAATGAGTGAGTGAGTGGGTGAGTGAGTGGGTGGGTGGGTGTGTGAGTGGGTGGGTGGGTGAGTGAGTGGGTGGGGGGGTGGGTGTGTGAGTGAGTGGGTGAGTGAGTGAATGAGTGGGTGGGTGAGTGAGTGAGTGGGTGAGTGAGTGGGTGAGTGGGTGGGTGGGTGAGTTGGTGAGTGAGTGAGTGAGTGGGTGAGTGGGTGAGTGAGTGGGTGGGTGGGTGAGTGAGTGGGTGAGTGGGTGGGTGGGTGAGTGAGTGAGTGAGTGCGTGAATGAGTGAGTGAGTGGGTGAGTGAGTGGGTGGGTGGGTGGGTGTGTGAGTGGGTGGGTGGGTGAGTGAGTGAGTGAGTGGGTGAATGAGTGAGTGAGTGGGTGAGTGAGTGAGTGGGTGAGTGAGTGAGTGGGTGGATGAGTGAGTGAGTGAGTGGGTGATTGAGTGAGTGAGTAGGTGAGCGAGATCGTGAGCGGGTGAGTGAGTGATTGGGTGTGTGAGTGAGTGAGTGGATGAGTGGGTGGGTGTGTGAGTGTGTTGTTGAAACCTGCAGTGTTCAACACAGCGCATGCGAGACAAACCAGTCAGCGCCAGGTACAGACCGAGTCCTCAACACTGCCGGAGGAATCAACGTGCGTCAACAATTTTACAGATGTTCATGGAGCGGGCTCACAACGGCCGTCCTCCTAGGAATGTGGAATTTCCACCGCCCGGTTCAGGGCCGTTGGACACGCTCAATGGCAACAAGTGGCAGATTTGACTGTGGGATCACGGCACCTGGAATGTGAAATAATCTCCCACCACCACCATTGTCACGAGCTTTATTCCAAATCCTCGTCTCTCCCCATGCTTCGTGCGTGCTCGCGTGTGTGTGTTTGCGCGTGGGGAGCGGTGGTGCAGCGGTTAGCGCTGCGCTACGAACCCGGTGACGATTATCTGAACCGGTCCTGGGACGCCCCTTGATCGACTCGGCCTCAAATGAGTAACCTGGTGCGGTGTGTAGCAAACATCGCCACTGGGGAGACAAAGGCGGCCGTGGCGTGGTTACTGGCCAAAATCAGTGACGATTATCTGAACCGGTCCTGGGCCTCTCCTAGGTCGACTCAGCCTCAAATGAGTACCTGGTGTGATGTGTGAGCATCGCCACTGGGGAGACAAAGGCGGCCGGGCGTGGTGCTGGCCACCCACCCCCTCGTGCGCCGTGCCGGCCTTCATAGGTGCTGCTCGCTAACAGCACTTGCCCCTACAGTCTGTTAACTCTTGTGTGTGTGCTTGCGTGTGCGCCACAGCAGCGGCAGCGCTACATCCGTGGACCTGCAAGGACGAATCTTCGATCGTCAGCGATCAGCATGCACGTCCCAGCGGCGGCGGCGGCGGCGGCGGCTCCGCTTCTGCTGCTGATGTGCGTGGCTGCGACCGCGCCGGGCGCCGTCCGCGCGAAAACGATGCCCCAGGCGCAGAGGGTCGCGGCAGTGGAGGCGACCGGTGAAGCCGTGGTGCAGAGTGAGTGACGCCTTAACGCCCACCATCCCCCGTGTTCGCGCGGTCTCGAACCTCGCCGCTGCTCGCCCCGTTGTTGGCGCTCTCCCGGGGGCACCTCGTGCACCGTTCGGCGAGGTCGAGGCCACGCTGGAGGCTGCCGTCACGGTGTGGGCCAATCGGTTTTAATGACAGCGCCGTACATATTTATCGGAGTGTTGTTTTTTTTGTCGTTTTCGGTTTGCACGAGTTTGGCCACAAGTTGCGCGCGGTTTAACGCGGCGGACTTGATGCCTCGGCCAATAGGCGTCTGTTTGGTGTTTGAACATCCTAACACGTCGTGTTTTAGTGCCAGGATTGGGGTAAAGCCTAGTCGTAATTTTTTTCATCATCCTCTTTGGTTCTTTCGGTAAAGTCACGTATAAAGATAAAATAATAAATTAAATAATAGCATACGACGTTTCGATTGCAACACAAGCAATCATCATCAGGTATATATGAAATACCGACACAAAATCTAACCAGAAAACCACAAACAGACATATAAGCAGACAGATATCACCAAGATACATAGAGAGAGCAACACAGGTACAGAGAGGGGTGATCGTCTCTGTGGGGTGGCCTTAAATAGACAGAGGGGGCCGGAGGCAGAGAGAGGTAGGGGTTAGAGAAAAAATGTACATGTCAATGAGTACGAAGAGATGCGTAGTTTGATTTTGTGACGCTATTTCATTACACCTGATGATGATTGCTTGTGTTGCAATCGAAACGTCGTATGCTATTATTTCATTTATTATTTTATCTTTATACGTGACTTTACCGAAAGAACCAAAGAGTAATTCCTGCAGTCACGAAAGCTCCAAATTAAGATTTTATTTCATCATTTTCATCCGAGCAAAAAGGTTCCCGTAAATCTCACAGCTAAATCCGAGCTATCGATACTTTGATACGCGTGGCGTTGCCTTTGTACTGCTCGCTTTTCGGTGCTCTCTGGTCTAACACTGGTGAGACTAGGCCATGACGACTGATGTCTCTGGTGTAGGCCAATCGGTTTCAAAGTCAATGCATATATCATCGGAGTACGTTTGTTTGTGTGTCTTGCCACAAGTTGCGTGCGGTTAACGCAGACTTGACGCCTTGGCAATAGGTATCTGTTTGGGGTTTGAACATCTTAACAGCTCCTCCTTCTTTATTTCCATGAAAGGGTAAAGCCTATTTGTGAATATTTTTAACGCCTTTGCACGTTCGCCGGCTGTCTTCACCGAGACACATGCAGGATGATGCGTGACGGCGGGGCTGGGTTTTTTTAAATTAGAAAATTTGTTTTTAAAGATGGTTCAGCGGCAGAGTTGAGCGGCTCGGACGGTTGCGAGTTCATATCTTGGTTTGGGGGGGGGGGGGGTCACTTGGCCCATCACCCATGTGGGTGAAGGGGGGGGGGTCGATAAAATGAGTACCGCTTTGTAAGGAAGCCAGCAGTGCTTGTCCTATGGATAGACTCGCCCCTGCAACAGGAACGTGGAATTTCCGCCGCTTGCTCAAGACCATAAACAGCCTCGCTGGAGTGCCGCCTCGACGAAAATTCGCGAAAAGAAAATCACTCGGACTTCTTTGTGACGTTGCACGCAACCCTGCTTATCCGTGGCAACGTGTGGCACCAACATCACGAATTGGAATGTCATAGGACGCGTTAAAAAACGAAACTATTTTTTATTGTACCTGGTAAGGCACGCTGAGCTACATAACTTCTAGTAGTAATAGGTTTTTACCCTTTCAACTGGCACAAAAACTGACACCTTTAGACAAGGGATCATGTTTGCAATAACCACAACACAAGCAGTCAAAATGCAAACAAAAAGAAACAACTCTGATAATGATAATGATATGCACTGTCCTTGAAGTTGATTTGTCCACACCCGAGACAGCTTTTCTTAGAGCCTAGTCTCCATTGGTGTTGGACCAGATGACGCCAAAAGGCGTACAACTCAAAAACAGCGCACTATCAGAGTATTGAGAGCTCGGGGTAATCATCTACACTGAGACCTCCTTTACCAGTGGCAAAATATAGTAATAGGTTTTTACCCTTTCAACTGGTACAACTTCTTTTTCAGGAGCGAACTGGCCACGAATGACAGCAAAACGAAGTGTCTTGCCACCGCGTGGACATTTATAGCGGCCAAATACTCTAACAGGCGCGATGTTGATTCTAAACGTAGAGGGAAAACCCGGAGAAAAATCCACGCAGCCACGGAGAGAGAGAGAGACACGCACACTCCAAATATACAGCAGCAGGCGTCAGGCTCGGGATCGAACCCACGACTTCCTGCATACCAGGCGAGGTAGTTAACATCTCACCACGGAGAGAGAGAGAGAGAGATACGCACCACTCCAAATATACAGCAGCAGGCGTCAGGCTCGGGATCGAACCCACGACTTCCTGCATACTAGGCGAGGTAGTTAACATCTCACCACAGAGAGAGAGAGAGAGATACGCACCACTCCAAATATACAGCAGCAGGCGTCAGGGTCAGGATCGAACCCACGACTTCCTGTATACCAGGCGAGGTAGTTAACATCTCACCACAGAGAGAGAGAGATACGCAAACTCCAAATATACAGCAGGCGTTAGGGTCGGGATCGAACCCACGACTTCCTGCATACCAGGCGAGGTAGTTAACATCTCACCACGGAGAGAGAGAGAGACACGCAAACTCCAAATATACAGCAGCAGGCGTCAGGTTCGGGACCGAACCAACCACCTCCTGTATACCAGGCGAGGCAGTCAACATCTCCTAACCACCGCGGCTCACCCAAGAGGGAGATGGAGCGATAGGATCAGCGATCGGCTTGCGTAGCCGGGGCTAGCCGAGTCGCTGCGTCTCGAGACCATGGGTGGAACGTTACGAAGGTTCCTTGTAGGAGGCCTTCATCCAGCAGTGGTTAGATCATGGCTCATCATGATAGGCCCGTTGGGGGTGGGGTGGGGAGGGCAAGTGGAGTTGTTTAAATTCATAGTTACCGTTTTAATTATTTTTTTATTGTTATCTCTCCGTGGACAGGAGCCCATCCCTGCCGTGTGTGTCTGTACGGGGATGATAATGCCCCCAAAAATGAAACGAATTGAGGTCCAAATAAAGACAAAACACCGGGCACAAGGGGGAGAAATATGAGTGACCGGTAAAGGCACTCGCCCTGTGGTGTAAGAGTCATGGAACAGCCGTTCAAGAATGATTTTACTTCTGCTGTTATTCCCACCGAACGTGACCATATACAGACGGCCCCTTCTCTCTCTATCATGGGGCCCTTTTTGTTTGTTTGTTTCCAATATCAACGGATTAAAAATAAGAATAGTTTTTACCCTTGCTGGCAATCGAACAGGAGGTGTGTTCAGATGTTCAAACACCAAATAAGAATTTTAGATGATCATTGTTTTTTTACCCTTCTATCTGGCAACAAAACTGACACTTTTTTTACAAGGAGTCATGTTTGCATAGACCACAATACCTGCAGTCACAATGCAAACAAAAAACATAACTCTGATAATGTGCATTGTCCTTGAAGTTGATTGGTCCACACCCGAGACAGCTTTCCTTAGAGCCTAGTCTCCATTGGTGTTGGACCAGATGGCGCCAATCAACTTCAAGGACAGTGCATACATTATCAGAGTTATGTTTTTTGTTTGCATTATGGCTGCAGGTATTGTGGTCTATGCAAACATGACTCCTTGTAAAAAAGGTGTCAGTTTTGTTGCCAGATAGAAGGGTAAAAACCAATTATCATATTTTTTTACTGGCAAATGAGATTCCAATGGTGTAAGAATTCGAAATTTGAAGCTTTCGTGACTGCAATGATTCATATTCTTAGGTTTTTTCGGTAAAGTCACGTAGGTAAAAAAAATAAATTATTAAAAGTAAAATAAAAATAAAATAAAAATCACGACTTTTCGCCTTAGCCGTATCAAGTAAGACTTACAAGTAAGACTTACAAGTAAGACTTACAAGTAAGACTTACTTGATACAGCAATCGTGCTGTGACGGTTCCACCTGAAGATGGAGGATTGTGCTGCCTCCGAAACGTCGTGATTTTTATTTTATTTTAATTTAACTTTTATTAATTTTAATTTTAATTTTTTACCTACGTGACTTTACCAAAAAAAAACCTAAGAATACCAAATAAGAAGCTTTTGTTTTGCTAGGAATCAAGTACTGCAGTACGTGTGGTGAATATGAAACACAAACATGTTCTGGTATAATACTCGCATTGTCTTTTAAAATGATTGTCTACACCAGATGGCCTAGCGTCACCGGTGTCAGACCAGAGGATGCCAAAAGGCGAACAGCACTGTTTGAAGTGGCCGTCCATAAATGACGTCACGCGATTTTGGACGATTTTGACCCCCCCCCCTTCCTTGTCACACGGCGTCACAAAAAATCAGATCCCCACCTCAAATATGACGTCACAAAGCTCTGCCCCCCCCCAAAAAAAACATGCTTCAAATCGCTTTAAACTATTGTCATTGTAGTGCGTGACGCTGCACTCTGATGTTGTAGAAGTGTTGTTATAGCAATTAGTGTTGTTATAACAATTGTATATTTATTTAAAGTTGCCCATTTTGACGTGACGTCACATTTATCACCCCCCCCCCCTCGTCACACATCGTCACAAATGTCTGACCCCCCCCCCCCCCCAGGTGCGTGACGTCATTTATGGATGGCCCCTAACATCCTAACACCTGTTCTTTGGGTCTTTCGGTAAAGTCACGTAGATAGGTTCAAATTAATAAAAATAAAATAAACAAAAACTACGACGTTTCGATCACAATGCAAGCGATCGTTGTTTTCCTGTCGCACCGATTGAACGTGGAAAAACTTGGGAGATGTAATATTCCCCCTTTCAACGTTTGCCTTCAGAAATGTTAAAGAAAAAAAAGCCTAAACTAGTTTTGCAGCTTTTCAGTAAAAATGCGCTGCGGCTTGGCTTTGGTAAAGACCATGGGGTGTGTGTGTGTGTTTGTGTTGGCCCGATTCCACGTGCACTCTGAAGGATCAGTGGTGGCGGTGGAGGTGGTGGTAGTGTAGCGGTTAGCGCTACGCTGCACTACGAACCCAGCGCCAGTGACAATTATCTGAACCGGTCATGGGCATCCCCAAGGTCGACTCAGCCTCAAATGAGTATCTGTTGGGGAATGTAAACATCGCCACTGGGGAGACAAAGGCGGCCGGGCGTGGTGCTGGCCATAGGTGCTTGCTAACAGTGCTTTCCCCAACAGCTTGTTCAAGCTTTACGGGGGGTCTTTGTCTTTGGTGGTAGTGGTGGAGGTGGTGGTGTAGGTGGTGCAGGTGGTGGGGGTAGTGGAGGTGGTGGAAGTGGTGGTGGTGGAGGTGGTGGTGGTGGTGGTGGTGGTGAAGGTGGTAGAGGTAGTGGTGGTGGTTGTGAAGGTGGTGGAGTTAGTGGAGATGCTGGAGATAGAGGTGGTGGAGGTAGTGGTGGTGGTGAAGGTGGTGGAGGTGGTGGTGGTGGTGGAGGTGGTGGTGGTGGTGGATGTGGTGGAGGTAGTGGTGGTGGAGGTAGTGGTGGTGGTGGAGGTAGTGGTGGTGGTGGAGTTAGTGATGGTGGTGGTGAAGGTAGTGGTGGTGGTGAAGGTGGTGGAGGTGGTGGTGGTGGTGGAGGTGGTGGTGGTGGATGTCGTGGAGGTAGTGGTGGTGGAGGTAGTGGTGGTGGTGGAGGTAGTAGTGGTGGTGGAGGTAGTGGTGGTGATGGTGCAGGTGGTGGTGGAGGTAGTAGTGGTGGTGGTGTTGGAGGTAGTTTTGGTAGTGGTGGAGGTAGTGGTGGTGGTGGAGGTAGTTGTGGTGGTGAAGGTGGTGGAGGTAGTGGTTGTGGTGGAGGTAGTGGTGGTGGTGGTGAAGGTGGTGGAGGTAGTGGTTGTGGTGGAGGTAGTGGTGGTGGTGGTGAAGGTGGTGGAGGTAGTGGTAATGATGGAGGTAGTGGTAGTGGTGAAGGTAGAGGAGGTAGTGGTGGAGGTAGTGGTGGTGGTGGTGGAGGTAGTGGTGGTGGTGGTGGTGGTGAAGGTAGTGGAGGTAGTGGTGGAGTTAGTGGTGGTGGTGGAGGTAGTGGTGGTTGAGGTAGTGTTGGTGGTGGTGGAGGTGGTGGAGGTAGTGGTAGTGATGGAGGTAGTAGTGGAGGTAGTCGTGGTGGTGGAGGTAGTGGTTGTGGTGGAGGTAGTGGTGGAGGTAGTGGTGGTGGTGGTAGTGTTGGTGGTGGTGGAGGTGGTGGAGGTAGTGGTAGTGATGGAGGTAGTGGTGGAGGTAGTGGTGGTGGTGGTAGTGGTGGTGGAGGTAGTAGTGGAGGTAGTGTTGGTGGTGGAGGTAGTAGTGGTGGAGGTAGTCGTGGTGGTGGAGGTAGTGGTGGTGGTAATGCACGACAGAAGAAACACTTCTCGGTTTCAATTCCCCGTGCGTCTGCCCGTGCGGCGCGTGTGATGGTTGCCAACTTTGCGAAATGGAAAGAAAAAAACAACCAACGGGACACACACCTCGTTGGAAGATGATGGAGGACAAGAAGAATGCATACTCTTTGGGTCTTTCGGTAAGGAATGCAGTGTTCCCCCGTTAGCCATGAACTTGCTTTCCGTGATTTGGGATCCCCGGGAATAGGATCCGGAACTCGACGCGACTGCTGCATCGGAGAGAGAGAGGTAGATAATCACACTGGTCAACAACAAAACAATTCTGGCCTGGGCTTTTACAGCTGTTTTAGACTAATTTCAAGGTGCTGATTCCAAATCTGATCTCAGATTTGCTCTACCACATCTCATTTTTATGCTATCGGCATACCCCATTTTCATTTATTTTACCCGAAATTAACTCTGTCACTTATGATTGCAAGTTGTTGCGAGTCAGTGACTGCTTTAGTGTTAAAACATGGTGCTGTATTTTTAGGATAGTGTGTTTATAATATCATTTTATGTAGATATCCACATTTATTTAATATTTTTCTTCTGCAGTTCTTATTGAAAATTCAATATTTGATATCTCAAAAACCTGATGTGGTAGACAAAAACTGATGCCAGATTTGGAATCAGCACCCCAAAATTACATTTAAAACCGTTGGAATACCTTATGCCAGAAAAAGTGTGTTGACCAGTGTTGTCTTTGTGGGAGCAGTCAGCGATGTTGTAGCGATCATCATCATTGTCATCATCTTCGTCAGCATCATCATCATTACTGTGCACCCTTCCACCGCGCAGTTTCGCCAATTTCAAATGTTTTGTTGTTATTTTTTTAACGAGACACTCTAAATGTTGAACACCAGCCGGGTGAGTGTTTGTTCGCCTGCAACAATGCTGCTGAAATGATGGACCTCTCAGAAGGCCGTGTGTGTAAGGTAATGGGTTGTGCAAGATTTATTTTTCTCTCATTGTATTTTTTTACACGTACTTTGTATTTTCTTATTTAAAAAAATAGCACATGTACGTAGAAGGATATGCATTGGCTACGTGTTTATTTAGGCTTTTTTTTTTAAAGGAGCCTTTCGCATGTGGTAGGAAACTGGAGAACGTGGAGAAAACCCGCACGTGTGCGATGGGGTAACCCTCAAACTGTCAACTAAAGTTTTATTTTTATTATACAAGACAAGGCCCTACTGAGCTAACTACGTAGCTCTTGACGCAGAAGCGAGCTGGCCACCACAAATTGATTGCACAACGAAGTGGCTTATCATCACGTGGACACGTAGAGCAGCAGACAAATCATCTGAACGCGTGATGTCGGTTCTAAATGTGGAGCAAAAAACCGGTGGACCCGGAGAACGTGAAAACTCCAAGTATACAGCAGCTGGCGTCAGGGTCGGGATCGAACCCACGACTTCCTGCATACCAGGCGAGGTAGTTAACATCTCACCACGGAGAGAGAGAGACACACAAACTCCAAATATGCAGCAGGCGTCAGGGTCGGGATCGAACCCACGACTTCCTACATACCAGGCGAGGTAGTTAACATCTCACCACGGAGAGAGAGAGACACACAAACTCCAAATATGCAGCAGGCGTCAGGGTCGGGATCGAACGCACGACTTCCTGCATACCAGGCGAGGTAGTTAACATCTCACCACGGAGAGAGAGAGAGACACCCAAACTCCAAATATGCAGCAGGCGTCAGGGTCGAACCCACGACCTCCTGTGTACCAGAGGGGTGGGGGAGATAAAGGTGGGAAGACAAGGGGTGTTGAGGGGGGGTGCGGACACCACATCTGAGAAGTGCAATGGCTCTGCCTCTCAGATTCAATGTCAGCCTCATCCGGGCTGGGGGGCGCAGGGGGGTTAATTTATTCAGACCCCTTTTTTTAATTTTGAAAACATTGCTTCGATTTTCTTTTAGTCAGTGTCTGTCCTTCCCGCACATTTCCCCCTCACAAGTAAACTTGTGGCCGTCTCTCCGCGGTCAGTTTTAGAGAGTACGGTCAGATGGTAGAGGCTGCGATTAGACAGTACAGAGTGTTTGATAGAGTCGGGCAGTGTGGTGAGAGAGTGCCAGAGGATGGCCGAGATGCTAACGGCGTGGGGCGCGCGTCGTTTGTGAGACGTTTCGGAGCGGAGGGGCGCGTGTGTGTACGTGCGTTGAACTTCTTTCGCGCCGCTCGTAGCCAACCGTCCTGATCGGAGGTGCGGGAGGGAATGCCAACAAACCGAACCCAGGAAGCGGTTCTAAAGAAATGAATTTGTCAGTCGAGATGATGATTTAAAAGTGCACAGCTCCCAGTGGCTTCCGCATATCGGTAGGGAAGAGCGTTCCAGACGGCCGCAGGAGCGCGTCGTGAAAGCGCCGCTGCGGGGGTGATGGACGGAGTTCGCGCGGCGATGGTTTGCGCTCTTTGACCAGATCGGCGAGGTGCCGCGGTTCATTTGTGGTGAGCGCAAAGGTCCTCTTCCTACTCCTGACATCAATGACAACGGGGGAGGGTTGGAGTGAGAAGAAAGAGTGCCGAGGGAGGCCCAGCCAGAGATCACCGCTGCCCAGGAACTTGATATTCGTTCTAGGGATGCAGAGGAAGGTTCTGGTTGATTGGCACAACAATAATAACTGCAGCAGCAGCTCCCTAACACGCAGAGGCACGCGGTCCTTCGGGGCCTTGAATGTCGGGAGGGGGGACCTTTAATTCTCTACGGAATTGAGCGAGACGATGGTCAGAGTCAACCCACCAACGACGAACGAAACCCCGCGACCTTCTGACCGCGAGAGCCCGCTCCCTCCGCTGACTTGTTGATGTTTCTCTCTGTCCCGTCGTCTGAATCCACCCAAATCCCCCCCTCCCCTGCCTGCCCCCACTGCGGCCCCACACAGAGGACTGCGTGGACAATGGCAGGATGTACCATCTGCAGGAGCAGTTTGAGCGCACGTACCACGGGCGCGCCCTGCGCTGCACGTGCCTGGGCGGCCAGGCGCTGGATTGCGAAGCCGTCCAGCAGCGTGAGCGACGGTCGCATCGACGGCACCGCACCACCTCCTCCTCCGCCTCCGCTTCCTCCTCCACCTCATCCACCACCTCCTCCTCATCCTCCTCATCCTCCTCCACTGCCTTCCGCCTCCTCCTCCTCCACCTCCTCCTCTACCTCCTCCTCCTCCTCCTCATCTTCCTCATCCTCCTCCTCCACCTCATCCTCCTCCGCCTCCTCCTCCACCTCCTCTTCCTTTACCTTCTTCTCCACCACCTCCTCCTCCACCTTCCTCCTCCCTCTATTCCTCCACCACCTCATCCTCCTCCTCCACCTCCTCATCCTCCTTCTCCGCCTTCCGCCTCCTCCTCCACCACTTCCTCCTCCACCTTCCTCCTCCTCCTCCACCACCTCATCCTGCATCACCTTATCCTCCTCCACCACCTCATCATCCTCCACCTCCTCCTCTAACTTCCGCCTCTTCCTGCTCCACCTCCTCCTCCACTTTCACGAGCGAACCATGATAGTTGTCGAGCCCCAGGCAGTGCTATCGTGGTGGCCACGCAACCAAAGCTACGCACCCCTATTAGTGAAGCCCACAGAGACACATAGAGATATAGCGAGATACATAGAGACTCGTAGAGCTAGAGATCCGGAGAGACTCATAGGGATAAATAGAGACTCATAGGGATAAATAGAGAGTCACAGAGATATTAGGATGCCACCGGAGGTATGCACTTTTAAATAGTATCGATTGAAATCTAATTTCCTTAGAACGGCTATTTTCTCTCTGTTTTTACTTTGTTGTCATGCCCCCACATACGGGTCTCTGCGTGGGTTTCTGTGGGTCTCTATGGGTCTCTACGGTTCTATATGAGTCTTTGGACCTCTGTGGGTTTCTATGGGTCTCTTCCTTCTGATATTAGGAAGCCACTGGCTGCCACTCCAGGTTGTCATTCTTCCTCTTCTTGTCGTCCATCGCCCATCGTCCCATCGTGGGGAGACGTGTGCCGGCCCGGTGCTCTCAGAGCGATCCGAGAAGGCAGTGAAAGTTACATTTTGCGTGCAGTTTGACCTGCGCAAAAGGGAAAAAAACTAAAACTTTTTATGGGAAAGCAACGCAATGGTGTCCGTTGACTTGTTTTATCCATCCGCTTAGAGGCGGAGTGAGGGGAGACGGGCCCTGATGGTTTTCCTCCGACGGTTTAAGGCTTTTATTATATACTTGTTCTTTTGTTTTCGAAGACATTGAATGCAGCCCAAGAGCGATAAAATAATCTGCGCGCGCGTGTTTATTTTATCGCACGAGGACATCTGCGGCGTGTCCGAGGCATTCGTGACAAGCGGGCTGAGCGCCCAAAAGCGCCGTCTTGGGTCGCTGCCGAGGGACGTTGGGTTGGCGATAGCGGGCGAGAACGCGGCAGCCGGAGGCGCTAACGCAGAGGTCGCAAACGGGTTTTGATTCCTTACCATACCCGTACCCGGCCGCACCAGGGTCGCAAACGGGTACCCGTACCCGGCCGTACCCGTACCGTACCCGTACCCGGCTGGGTACGGGTACGGTACGGGTATCGGGTACCCGATCGCGACCTCTGGGATGAAGCCATGTTGCAGGCGCGGGTGGGTTGATTCTAGGAACTTGAATTGTGAGAAGAGACAAGACGTTGGGAAATGAGTGACAAACGGTTACTCACCAGTGACTCACGGCCTACCCGTACCCGGCCGGGTACGGGTAGCCGGGTATCGGGTAGGGTACGGGTATCGGGTACCCGATTGCGACCTCTGTGCTAACGTTGCGCAGCGCAGCTCGCCGCGTTAGCACAGAAAGTGTTTTTCCTCTTCTTGGTTCTTTTGGTAAAGCCACGTAGAAGTGATTTTCCTACTCGAGTTGGCGTCGCGACTCAGGGTTTTGACAGCCCTGAGGCCAGTCGTGGAAAATCCTCATTCCTATGGCAGAGGCGAGGATGTCCGGAGGACAAGATTTGGCTGGCCATCGAACAAAGTCGGTCACCGCGTCGCGCACTTTCAGCAGCGCTTCTGTGGCCGTCTGGAACGCTCTTCCTATCCGACAACACGAAGAAGCCGCTGGAGCTACGCAACTTTTAAATCATTTCGATTGGAAAACTAATTTCTTTAGAACTGCTTTTTTGTGTTTAGTTTCTCGTCCTTCTCCCGCACCTCCGATTAGCTACGTACGGTGCGAAAGAAGTTCAACAGACGTGCATGCACCGCACCTCCGGTGAGCAAGGGTTGGCTACGTACGGTGCGAAAGAAGCTCAACGTACACCCGGCCACTGTTGATTTTCCCCGCAAAAAATGGGATGAGCCCACTCCCAGCGAAGGAATGTCAAAGCGCCCTGAAGCAGTGAGCCGCTGTGCATGACCACACGGTGATTGGGCCACCTTTTTGACCTGTCGTGTGCGATGGCCGGGCGCTCAGTGGGGCCTTACCTGGTCAAATTAAAAGTAGTTTAGTTTTTATAGCTTGTAACTGTTCAGTGAAAGCGATGGCAAAGAGGGGGGGGGGGCAGGGGGGGGGGGTGGGAGAGTAGCAGTCAGAATCGGAATATTTATTCATACTGGAGGAATCCGATGAGCAGTAAAGCTCTTTTTAAGAACGTTACAGCAACAAAAAGTAACGAAAACACGGTTGGAGTGTAAAGTACAAGAAAGGTAAACAAACCACCCAAACATACACAAATACATCACTAAACCACCCCCATCCTACCAAGCCCCCTGAGCTATTAACTTATTTTTCAGAAGCGAGACGGCCACAAATGATAGCTCAACAAAGTGGGCCCATCGTTTGGACATTTATTGCACCAGAATAATCTAAACAGTCTAAACGCGTGACGTTGATTCTAAACGTGGAGGAAAAAAAGCGGAGGACCTGGAGAAAAAAAATCCACACGACCACGGAGAGATTTTTGACTTTTTAAACAACTTTTATTGCCGCCAGCAGCAACAGCACTGGAGGCGATTTCGATGTGAAATACACAAAGTCACCAGCAAACAAATGAAAATAAACGCTACAAATCCACGCGCTGTGGTGCTAAAAGCACCGCGCACAACACGAAAGAAAAGTCACGTGGTGGTGGTGGTTGTGGTGATGGTGGTGGTCATCGCGCACGCCACGGTGACGAGCGAGCGCTTCAGAAGGTGAACACGAGGGTGCCGTCCACGCTGGTACAGAGAGGGGCTTTACTCCAAACATACAGCAGCTGTCAGGGTCGGGATGAAACCCCCGGACCGCCTGCGTACCAGGCGAGGAAGTTGACATCTCAGCAGTCGCCTGCACCATGTCAGCTGTCCAGTGCAGCTCATCGCGTGTTTACAATCGAAACAGCAACAGCAGCAACTCCACTCGGACGAACAGTCGTAAAGTAAAGTGGTCGGGATGCGAGGTGGGGTGGGAGGGGGGCGGAGAGAGAAAACCCATACGCGTGGTTCTAACGGTTAAGCCGGACAGACTTGAACGTTAAACAATCCGTGGAAATTGGGCGCGCGTTCAACATTACGAACGCATGACTCTGCCGATAAACAATAAAAAATAACAATAATTAATAATCTGCTACAGCTGCCGACACCGCCGCCGCCTCGGTTGTATGCGAACAACACATTGTGCTCGCCGGATGGGCCATGGAGCGGACATTCTCTGCGGTGCCACGTGTTATTGCGATGGATCGCAGGTATTCCAGCGCATTGTATTTCACTTTAACGTTGAGGCCCCCCCCCCGCTAGCACGGGGTATGGAGGGAAGGGGGCCATGGGGGGGGGGGCAACGGGGGGGGGGGCGGAATTGTGCAATGCCATCTGCTTATTCTAAACAGGAAGCCTTATATCCTGACTTGACTGTTGCATTGAGGGGGGGGCGGCAGGGAGGGGGGCGGCGATGGTGGTGTTTGGATCCGCGCGAGGGATCGCACAGTTCCCATGCTCTTTGCGGCAGCGAGATTGTTCGAACGCAGCGACATGGACGAAGCAGGATGAGTGCCAAGCGACATTTTATTTTTTGTTGTCATTTGGTGCGGTTGCCTTAATTTTAACCCGGGGTCACGGTCCCCTCTCTCGCCACACTCCGCTTGAATCCAGTGGAAAGACGGCAAAGACAATCAACATCTCCTGCGCGGAGGATCTGTAGTGGTCAGCTTTGTACGCACGTCCGTCGAATTTCGCACCGTACGTAGCCGACCGTGCTACTCGGAGGACAACAAACTACAAAAGCAGTTCTAAAGGATTGTAGATTTGAAGCTTTCGTGACTGCAAGGATTCATACTCTTAGTTTTTTCGGTAAAGTCACGTAGGTAAAAAATGAAATAAAAATTAATAAAATTATTAATTTGTTTGCCAATCTAGATTTAAACGTGCACAGCCCCAGTGGCTTCTTAACTTCGGAAGGGAAGAGCGTTCCAGACGGCCACAGAAGCGCGTCTGAAAGCGCCGTGCGATGCGGTGAGCGTCTTTGTTCGATGGCGAGCCAAAAGCTGCCGTGAGGATGACCCGAGTTCACGTGATGGGTCTATGCCTCTTGACGATATCAGCGAGGTAATGTGATTCACTCGTGTCAAGCACCTTGTGTGCCTGTGTGTGTCATGAGCGCGGCCTCACAGTCGATTCGTTCGGCAATCGGAAGCCAACGCAGCTTGGCGAGCACTGGACGGACACTGTGTCGGATCTTGCAGGAACCCGTCACGACCACGTGCCAGAGAATGCTGCACACAAATCGCAGCTTGGTAATGATTTTTGCCAGACGTCCCGTAGAGCAGCGAGTTGGAATACTGCGAGCCTTGTCGATGCATTCCGCCACGCGCCGCAGCGTTGGCCGCGGCACGACTCAACAGCGGCCGAACGCCGTCGTTCGAGCCCCTGGCACGAACTCGACTCCTCGGATCGCGCGTCGCTTCGAACCTCGCCCTCGAAACGTTCCAGGGGCCGTCCCTCGACGGCTGCGGCAACTCTCACGTGCGTGGCGGCGTGTGCGCAGCGAGCGGCGAGCAGGTGTGCTTCGACCAGTACACGGGGCGACGCTACTCGGTCGGGGAGACCTGGGAGCGGCCTAGGAAGGGCATGGTGTGGGACTGCACGTGCCTGGGCGCGGGCATCGGACGGATCAGCTGCTCCACCGAGAGTAGGTTCACCCGGGGCGCGTCGCCACCGATCGTTTCATGCATTTTTATAATTTCTGAAAATATGTTTTATTAGCTCGAAGGGGGTCGTCCATAAATGACGTCACGCGATTTTGGACGATTTTTTATCCCCCCCCCCCTCGTCACACGGCGTCACAAAGCTCTGCCCCCCCTCCCCCCAAAACCATATTTACATTTTAAAAATAAAATATGCTTCAAATCGCTTTAAACTATTGTCATTGTAGCGCGTATTTAATGTGGCGCTCAACTCTGATGTTGTAGGAGAAAACATTTATGATGTGACGTCACATTTCTCAACCCCCCCCCCCTCGTCACACATCGTCACAAATGTCTGACCCCCTCCACCCCCTAGGTGCGTGACGTCATTCATGGACGGCCCCTAATGTGCACATTGCATTCTTGATCTACGCTCTCGGTTGGCGCTATGTCACCGTATATTTGGCAGCCCCCCTCAAAGAGTTTTCCTCCCCGGCGGCCCCCCAACTTCCCCCCCCCTCCTGCCCCCCCCCCGCCCCCATCTGTTTTTTGGACCCAGCCTCAAATGGGTCAGTGAGATTGCACGGCGAAATCACGCTGACACATTGCCACAGGGCAACGTATTGCTGCTAGCTTGCCGCACAACACGTTTAGAAAATAAATAAAAATTCCATATCCCGAATTTGGACCGGTGTTTACGTGTCAAACCTTTTCAGTCTGTTTACGTAACAAACCTTCCTATTTGGCTGCGTCGGGTGGTGGCGGGTTTAACGACTACATTGATATTCATGCTACCTCACCCGAAAATAAATGCTGCGTTATGGGTGATGTTGGTTGCTAAAGCCTCCTACGTGTTAAATTGGGCCGGTGTGTTTACGAATGCCCCGGGCCGATTTTTTTAGTCCCAAGCCCGTCACTGATCATTACCACGGTTACCATTGTTACCATCGTCGTCGTCGTCATCAACGGCAGTGGCGACGATAGAATCATTATAAACAGCCACAGCAGCGGCAAAAACAACAAATTTAACTCGGCACCGCCTGGGTGCGGCATCTCAACGAAGGGCCGCGTACGACCTTCGACCTTTCTCACCCACTCGCGACGAGTGTAGGCTGCCTGTCACGTGACAGACAAAGCACCTCGTGTTAAAGGTCACCGGGCAGCACGAGCCTCCCTTGCGAATGTCCGCACGTGCGTTGAACCGGAATTTCGGTTCACCCGGGAAAAATCCGACGAGCTACGAAGCTCCGATGTCCGTGACGATGTCCGTGATGATGTCCGTGGTGTCCGTCCGGTAACCCTTGCCGCCACCGCCATGAACCTTGCAGACCGGTGCCACGACCAGGGCCAGTCGTACCGTCTCGGCGAGCGCTGGAAACGGCCGCACAGCACGGACGGTCAGATGCTCGAGTGCGTCTGCCTGGGCAACGGAAAGGGAGAGTGGACGTGCAACCCCGTGGGTGAGCCGTCATCCTCCCCCCCCCCACCTTCCCCCCACGTTGTCGCCCGTCTATCCAACTTGGTGGCAGCGGTGGCACCGCGGTGGTAACGCTCGCCGGCCTCACAGCGACGAGGAGGGGCCCCGTGGGGTGGGTTTCGATATCCCCGACTCGGCCGCCTTTCTACGTGGAGTTTGTATGGTCATCCCCCCGCACGCCCCCACCCCGCCTCTCCTGTTCTGCATGGGTTGGCTCCGGGTTCTCCGGTTTCCTAGATATTAAACCAACGTGGCAAGTGGTTCTTCATTTTTATGCACCGCGGGGGTCACTGGCCGGCCTCTGGTGGCCTTTAGTGTGGCCCCTGACGTGCGGGACCCCTCCGACAACGAACAGTGACAACATCCCACCCCATCATGATCATCATCATCGTGCTGCTGTCAAACCCCAACGATGGTTTAAAATTGTGTGGCGGCCCTCCTCACACTGATGATGTCTCACCGGCGAAAGCGGCCCCACCCCACTCTGAAATTGAGTGACGAACGCCGCAACACACGATGCATTTGCCAAGCGTCCCGATGACTGAAACATTTACCTTCTGTCACAACTGTACGTAGACAACCACGGGAATCGGATTTACTCATTTGGGACGATAACGACATCACCGCCCCCCCCCCCCCCCGCCTTTCCTGTGAAAACTTGGCAGGACCCTCCTGAAAACGAGTCTTGAGACTCGGTGGGGATGATCGCACACTCAGGTGAGGAATTCCTCGCCCGAGTGTGCGATCATCCGCACGTTTTTACTTTCTCTCCCCATAGTTTAGTGCGGAAACGGCTTCAATTTTCCCGATTATATGTTTATATATTTGCGGATAAGAGGAGCTGAGCGGGGCTCAGAACCTGCTCAGATTTCGAGGTCTGTCGAGATCCGTCGTCTGATCATCCACAAGGCACGCCCGGTCGCGTTTGAACGATGAAATGGCATTTTCTTGATTTTTTTTACCGTTGGACGAAAAAGGCGACGCAAAAACAGCTTTTAAAACAGAACGGGGCCCCACATGTCGGCAGTGGTGCAACAATGTTTTGGTGGGACGTGCACAACGACGCACGCGGAGACGTCACTATCGCCGACGAGTCTATTGTGTTTAGAAGTGGTTATTTGCGGCCCGTGAAATACGCTGAAAAATTACGGGGCTAAGTCAACCCGACGCATAACGAGCAACAGATGCAAAACCGTGGCCCCCTTTCTTTAATTATTTATATTTGTGTCATTATTTTTTTTTTTAGACGCAAAAAAAAATAACAACCACAAAACTGAAATGCTTTCTGGCGAGCGAGCCCGAACCGGATTATTAATTTTCTCGCTTGGAACTTATGGTAAAATCCTGGGGGGTTTTTATTTTTATTTTTTGCAAACCGACGGACTAAATGAAGTTCACTTTAAGTGCTCGCTGCATAAGGTTATAGAAACATTTAACAAAAATAAGAAAAAAACAACGCGCAATTTGGTTTTGTGCCTTTTAACGGTGGGTACCTGCGCGGGGGGGGGGGGGGGGTTGCCCGTGAGACACCCCAGGGGTGGTTGTGCCCCCCCCCCCGTGGTGCTATAGTCGGCACTGACATCCACACAGGACACTTTGTTCCGTCATTATATTTTTGGGGGGTTTGTTATTTGTATTTGGCACGGACAGAATGGACACGCACGGCGCTCTCGGTGGCCAGCGATGGTCGCGAGGTGATCCGCACGCCCTCTTGATTATCGCAAGGTCAAAGGGTTTTAATTTTTAAGTTTTTCTACGCGGTACCGGACAAACGTTCAAGGGATTGCTTTGGCTCAGAGGCTCAGAGGCCAAAGCAACGGGCCATCACTGCTGACATCCTCCTGGGTTTGTGTGTGCGTGAGATGTGTGTGAGATGTGTGGGGTGTGTGATGTGTGTGTGATGTGTTTTTTGTATGTGATGTGTGGTCACGGTGTGTATGTGTGTATTGTGTCTGTGTGTGTGTGGTCACGGTGTGTATGTATGCAATCATTGCAGTGTGTGCGATGCGTGGTCACGGTGTGTATGTGTGCATTGTGTGTGCGTGTGAGATGCGTGCGTGATGTGTTCTGTATGTAATGTGTGGTCACGGTGTGTATGTGTGCATTGTGTGTGTGATGTGTGTGTGTGTGATGTGTTTTTTGTATGTGATGTGTGGTCACGGTGTGTATGTGTGGTCGTGGTGTGTATGTGTGCATTGTGTGTATGTGTACATGGTGTGTGTACATGGTGTGTGTGGTCATGGGGTGTGTGTGTGTGTGTACATGCTGTGTGTGTGTACATGGTGTGTGTGTGTGTACATGGTGTGTGTACATGGTGTGTGTGTACATGGTGTGTGTGTGTGTGTGTGCATGGTGTGTGTGTGTACACGCTGTGTGTGTGTGTACATGGTGTGTGTGTGTACATGGTGTGTGTACATGGTGTGTGTGTACATGGTGTGTGTGTGTGCATGGTGTGTGTGTACATGGTGTGTGTGTGTGCATGGTGTGTGTGTGTACATGCTGTGTGTGTGTGTACATGGTGTGTGTGTGTACATGGTGTGTGTGTGTACATGGTGTGTGTGTGTACATGGTGTGTGTGCATGGTGTGTGTGTACATGGTGTGTGTGTGTACATGGTGTGTGTGTGTACATGCTGTGTGTGTGTGTGTGCATGGTGTGTGTGTGTACATGGTGTGTGTGTGTACATGCTGTGTGTGTGTGTGCATGGTGTGTGTGTGTGTACATGCTGTGTGTGTACATGGTGTGTGTGTGTACATACATGGTGTGTGTGTACATGGTGTGTGTGTGTACATGGTGTGTGTGTGTGTGCATGGTGTGTGTGTGTGTACATGCTGTGTGTGTGTACATGGTGTGTGTGTGTGTGTACATGGTGTGTGTGTGTGTACATGGTGTGTGTGTGTGCATGGTGTGTGTGTACATGGTGTGTGTGTGTGTACATGGTGTGTGTGCATGGTGTGTGTGTACATGGTGTGTGTACATGGTGTGTGTGTACATGGTGTGTGTGTACATGGTGTGTGTGTACATGGTGTGTGTGTACATGGTGTGTGTGTACATGGTGTGTGTGTGTACATGGTGTGTGTGTGTACATGGTGTGTATGTGTGTACATGGTGTGTGTGTGTGCATGGGTGTGTGTACATGTTGTGTGTGTGCATGGTGTGTGTGTACATGGTGTGTGTGGTGTACATGGTGTGTGTGCATGGTGTGTGTGTACATGGGTGTGTGTGTACACGGTGTGTGTGTACATGGTGTGTGTGTACATGGTGTGTGTGTACATGGTGTGTGTGTACATGGTGTGTGTGTACATGGTGTGTGTACATGGTGTGTGTATGTACTTGGTGTGTGTGTGTGTGTACATGGTGTGTGTGTGTATACATGGTGTGTGTGTGTGTACATGGTGTGTGTACATGGTGTGTGTGTGTACATGGTGTGTGTGTGTACATGGGTGTGTGTGTGTACATGGTGTGTGTACATGGTGTGTGTGTGTACATGGTGTGTGTGTACACGGTGTGTTGTGTTGTACATGGTGTGTGGTGTGTACATGGTGTGTGTGTGTACATGGTGTGTGTGTGTACATGGTGTGTGTGGTACATGGTGTGTGTGTGTGTACATGGTGTGTGTGTGTACATGGTGTGTGTGTACATGGTGTGGTTGTGTACATGGTGTGTGTGTACATGGTGTGTGTGTGTACATGGTGTGTGTGTGTACACGGTGTGTGTGTGTACATGGTGTGTGTGGTGTACATGGTGTGTGTGTGTACATGGTGTGTGTGTACATGGTGTGTGTGTGTACATGGTGTGTGTGTACATGGTGTGTGGGTACATGGTGTGTGTGTGTACATGGTGTGTGTGTGTACATGGTGGTGTGTGTGTACATGGTGTGTGTGTGTACATGGTGTGTGTGTGTACATGGTGTGTGTGTGTACATGGTGTGTGTGTGTACATGGTGTGTGTGTGTACATGGTGTGTGTGGTACATGGTGTGTGTACATGGTGTGTGTGTGTACATGGTGTGTGTGTGTACATGGTGTGTGTGTGTACATGGGTGTGTGTGTACATGGTGTGTGTGTGTGTACATGGTGTGTGTGTGTACATGGTGTGTGTGTGTACATGGTGTGTGTGTACATGGTGTGTGTGTGTACATGGTGTGTGTGTGTACATGGTGTGTGTGTGTACATGGGTGTGTGTGTACATGGTGTGTGTACATGGTGTGTGTGTGTACATGGTGTGTGTGTGTACATGGTGCGTGTGTGTACATGGTGTGTGTGTACATGGTGTGTGTGTGTGTACATGGTGTGTGTGTGTACATGGTGTTGTGTGTGTACATGCTGTGTGTGTGTACATGGTGTGTGTGTGTACATGGTGTGTGTGTGTACATGGTGTGTGTGTGTACATGGTGTGTGTGTACATGGTGTGTGTGTGTGTACATGGTGTGTGTGTGTACATGGTGTGTGTGTGTACATGGTGTGTGTGTACATGGTGTGTGTGTGTGTACATGGTGTGTGTGTGTGTACATGGTGTGTGTGTACATGGTGTGTGTGTGTGTGTGTACATGGTGTGTGTGTGCTCGTGCAGCCGGGGCGGCGGAGCGCTGCTACGACTCCGTCCTGGGCTCCTCGTTCGCTGTGGGTGAGGATTGGGAGCGGCCCTACCACACGTGGATGATCGTCGACTGCACCTGCTTGGGTGGTGGCCTCGGCCAAGTGTCCTGCTCCTCCAAAAGTGCGTGCCAGCCCCACCAACCCCCACCCCGCCTGCCCCCCGCCAACTCCCCCCCGATTCTCTCTCGTTCTTGGCGGTCTTTCCGCACCACCGTGTTCTGTTTAATTGTGGGTAGACGGCCAAGGGACATTGCGCTAGCAGCAGCAGCAGCTGTTGTGCGTGTCGTGGGGTTGCGTAATGATTCGATCTCCCGGCTTGGCAATCCTCCACCCTGCCCCCTCCCCCCCCACCACCAAGATCAGCACCACGATCTTCACCACCACCACCACCGTCACGAGCAGCACCACCATCACCATCACCACCACCATGACCACTACAAAAATCACTACCGATCACCACCATCATCACCACTAATGTCATCATCACCACAATCACCACCATCTTTATCATACCATGATCACCACCACGATCACTACCACGATCACCACCACGATCACCACCATCACCACCACCATCACCATCACCACCACGATCATCACCACCATCATTACCACCACCACCAACACGATCACCACCACCATCATCCCCACCACGATCACCACCATCACTACCACCATCACTACCACCATCACCACCACCACGATCACCACCATCATCACCACGATCAACAGCATTTGATCTCACGGGTCACTGGCCGCGGGGGCTAGCCGACATCTGCGCCAGGCCAAGTGGGCACAGCTGTTGCTCACCACTCGTCGTCGTCTTCGTCGCCCATGGGGTTGAGGGGTCTTCGTTTGGCCTCCGTAATTTGGGCGGCCCCAGGTCACGGCTCGCGATCGCGGGGCTCGAGACGGTTGGGCCTCCTTTAGTCGTCACCCGGGTCAACACAAAATCAAGCGGATAACTTGAAACACGTGTGCGCGTGCGTGTGCATACGGGGAGCGGTGGCGCAACGGTTAAGCGCGCTGCGCTAGGATCCCGGCGAGCCGAGTTCACTTCCTGCTCGCGGCCAACACCGGTGACGATTATCTGAACCGGTCCTGGGCCTCCCCTAGTTCGACTCAGCTTCAAATGAGTACCTGGTGCGGTGTGCAAACATCGCCACGTGGGAGGCAAAGGCAAGCCGGGCGTGGTGGTGCTGGCCACCCACCCCCTCGTGTGCCACAGTGCCGGCCTCCATAGGTGCTGCTCGCTAACAGCACTTGCCCCAACAGTCTGTTAAGGCTACACGGACGTTGGGGGGGACTTTGTCTTTGTGGCGCGTTAGATCGCTGCAACGACCAGGACAGCCAGAGCTCGTACCGCGTCGGGGAGACGTGGACGAAGACGGACGCGGCGGGCGACCTGCTCCACTGCGTGTGCACGGGCAACGGGCGCGGGGAGTGGAAGTGCGAGGTGCACAGCACGGCAGTGGCCGCCGTGCACACCGGTGAGGCTCACGCAACCACGCGGCACGCGCCGGTGAAACTCACGCACCACGCGGCACGCGCCGGTGAAACTCACGCAACCACGCAGCACGCGCCAGTGAAACTCTCGCAACCACGCAGCACGCGCCGGTGAAACTCACGCAGCCACGCAACACGCGCCGGTGAAACTCACGCGGCATGCACTGTGAGACTCGCGCAACTATGAAGCATGCACCGTGAGACTCACACAACCACGCGGAACGCACCGTCAGACTCGCCCACCACGCGACACACACCGGTGAGACTTTACCTCTTGCGCGTCTCCGCGTGCGCGCAGGCGAGTTCGCCGGGGTGGAGGAGGCGCAGTTCCGCCCGTCGGCGCAGTGCGAGCTGGACAACGGAGCCACCTACGCCACGGGGCAGCAGTGGCTCAAGATGCAAGGGGACCGACCGCATGCTCTGCACCTGCCTGGGCAACGGCGTCAGCTGCCAGACGTCCGGTCAGTCCCACCCACCAACCCCCCCACCCCTGCACACGCACGCAGGGGTCACCGTGACCCCACCGCGTCGGTTTTAGGACGATCCTTGTGTAGTGACATAGAATCCGTCGTGTAGCGGCATAGCGCTGGCTGCTGGCGGGGAGGGGAGTCTGCGGCTTACGGCAGCCCTGACTGCAGCAGGTCACGTGATAGACCAGAGGGGGATCTAGGGAAAAGGTCACAGAAGGGGCACACCAAGAACCCGCTGGTAGGTTCTCGAAAAGAGGGCGTGTCCGGGGGCGGAGCCAGGCCACGCTGGCAATAAAAGAGAGGCCCCGGGAGGGGAGCTCGGGGCTGTCGTGTGGAGTGGGGTCCCCGTCGTGCTGCTGCTGCTGCTGGAGTCTTCACCGTCTCGGCATCGCCGGTCAGGCGCGATGTGATAAAATGCATCGTGATTATTTTGGATTATTCGGCTAAATTTTCCACGTGATAGGCCACTTCTTTGAGCGGTTGTTTGCGGCCAGGTCGCTGCTGGAAAAGCAAATAGCTCAGTGGGCCTTACCTGGTGAAATATAAATTAGTCAAATTTTATTTGTATATTTTTTTTTTACCTGTCGTGTTTTCGTATTGTTTGTTGGTGTCACGTTCTGACCCTGTGTCCCCCTTGTTTGGACATCTATGGAGAAAAGAGCTTTATAGCTCATCGGATTCCTTCGGTACAAGTAAGGATTCTCATTCATTGCGTCATGCTCGTCGGGCAGTCGCGCGATCGATGCGATGGTGCGTGAGCGCAACTAGCAATGTGCGTCGGGTGGTGGAGGGTCTTACGACATCAATGGCTATACGGGCAACCTTTGTCTGGCGTGAGTGTGTGGTGTGCCGGGGAACGGTGGTGTAGCGGTCAGCACGCTGCACTACGAACCCGGCGACCCGAGCTCGACTCCCCGTCACGGCCAACACCCAGTGACGATTATTTTAACCGATTCCGGGCCTCCCCTAGGTCGACTCGGTGTGTGGTAAGCGTCGCCACTGGGGAGACAAAGGCGGTCGGGCGTGGTGCCCGCCACCCACCCACCCCTCCTCGCGTGTTCCGTGCCGGCCGTCATAGGTGCAGCTCTCTAGCGGCAATTGCCCCAACAGGATTTTAACGGGCTGTGCGTTTGCGTGCTGCGTGAAGGTGTGATGACGTACGGGGGCAACGCGCCGGGGGAGCCATGCGTCTTCCCCTTCATGTACACGGGGCTCTCCTACACGGCGTGCGTGGGGGAGGGACGCAGCGACGGCAAGCTGTGGTGCAGCACCACGGGGAACTACGACCAGGACCGCAAGTACACCTTCTGCCGCTCCGAGTCCGGTAAGCCGCCAGTCCATGGTTTCCCGAGATGTTCACTACCTCGCTTGGTACGCAGGAGGTCGTGGGTTCGATCCCGATCCCTGATGCCTGCTGTGTATTCGGAGTTTACGTGTCTCTTTCTCACCGTGGTGAGATGTTAACTACCTCGCCTGGTATGCAGGAGGTCGTAGGTTTGATCCCGACCCCTGACTCCCCGTGGTCGCGTGGATTTTTCTCTGGGTCCTCCGGTTTTTCATTCCACATTCAAAATGGACGTCATGCGTTTAGAGTTTTTGGCTGCGATACATTTCCACACACGGTGCACACACTACTAAATGTCGCCCCACGTCCGACCGCACAGCCACATGCAGAGTGAATCCAATCCGCATCGTGGAGCGGATTTTTGGTACAAGTAGCATTAGCGCCGCACATGCAGCGCGAAATCGCGTGAACCAAACTCGCATCGAGCGCGAGAAACCTGTCTACGGATAACACGAGCGGGTTATAATCGCGAACAGTTTGTAACGCATACCGTGTCAACCCATCACAGTTTACCCCGTATTCTTGTACAGGGAAATTGAGTTTTTAGGTCCACATGGCATACAACCGTTTCAACACGGGCAAAAAACTAATAAATTGTCTATTTGTTTGTGTTTCTCCCTTGTGATGGGAATTTGATGGGTGAACATTGAGATTTGTAAGGGCCACCAGGTGACCAATGAGCTCTGAATTTGTCCGTAAGAAGGTAGGGCACTGATAAGGGGTTGACAGGTATGATAACGCGCACAATATTTCACGGATGTAAGCGCCCGTGAAATATGGTGGCGGCTGCAGCGGCCTTGGGAGGCCTTCATCCAGAAGTGGATCGACCATGCCCGCCGACTATGATGGTGACGATGGTGGTGGTAGCTTGGAGGGAATCCTTTTTTTCACGATCAGTTGTCACCGGCCTGAAATGTTCAATTGGCTCCGCCTGAGAAGGCCGTTTAATCCGCGGGCGGCTGCCCACATTCGAAGGCCAGGACCTCAGCCGTGCCAGCTCAGCTCTCCGACCCCTCCGTGACCCGGCACCACCGCACGCTGCCGCTCCCGTGTTTATTGGGACCATACGGTCATTCCGTTGCCAGTCGCGTGCACGGGAGGTGCGTGTGCCAGCCAGCAAAGCTTTGCTGTTGTAGGCCGGCCAAGGTGCATTCCAAAGGATTTGCGTGGCAACTGTAACATCGTGGGCCTTGTTCTCAGGTGAACTATTTTGAACACATTTTTTAGTAATTTTACCAGGTAAGGTCCACTGAGCTATGCGGATCTTTTTCAGAAACGCGACCTGGCTATCACAAATGATAGCTCAACGAAAGCAGGCGTATCATCATCATCGTGTGGAAATTTACAGCAGGCAAATACTCTGAACGCGCGATGTTGATTCGAAATGTGGAGGGGAGAAAAGCCGGAGGACCCTGAGAAAAATCCACGCGACCATGGGTGGAGAGAGATACGCAAACTCTAAATATACAGCAGGCGTTGTCAGGGTCGGGATCAAACCTACGACCTCCTGTATACCAGGCGAGGTAGTTAACATCTCACCACGGAGATAGAGAGAGACACGCAAACTCCAAGTGTACAGCAGGCATCAGGGTCGGGTTCGAACCCACGACCTCCTGCAGATCACCGTGGCGCCCTACGTTAGATAAAGGAGCAGCCCTGCAGTCGCTTGCTCGTGCCACTGCTGGCTGAAGCCCCCCTCCCCGCCCCCTCCACTGTAGGAAGCTCTCGGGAGCTGCCCTCCCTCTCGGGGGCAATTGTCCTACTCGTCGACACGGGGCAAGGCCTGTTGGGAGACGTGGGGAGTAGTCACATGTGATTCCACCACACGCAACCTGCCGATCGTACGACTGTGTTGGACCCGTTTGTGCTGCTGGGTGCAGAGAAGGGGGGGGGGGCATTTAAGGAATATGTCTTACATTTGGGTGTTTTGTGCTCGTCAGGCACGAGATTTGGGTAACTTCGTTCGGCCTTTGCTCAGCAAACCGTGAGAGAGAGAGAGAGAAAAAAATCTGGAAAAAAATCTGGGAAAAAAATCCGCGCCGTGTTGGTTGTTTTTTTGCAAGCGCGGCGTTCCCTCGGCAGCCCGGCGGTCCGCGTGAAATGCCTGGAATGTTCGGTCGGCACGACGCCCCACAATGCTTTAATTGTGAGCTGCGAGCTGTTCACGCGTTCCTGGAGACCGGCCTTGCCCCCCCCCCTCCCCACCGCCTGCTCCCCCCAGCGGGGCCAGGCTTGAGACGTTAACAGCGATGGTGCAGCGGCGGCAGTTACGACCCGAGGTGGCGGCAGGAGGTCGCGCGGAAGAAGTCGCCCATCGGTGGTGTAAGCGGCGAAAAATCTCGGAAGCGGCTCTGTGCTTCCGAGCCTGGCACGCGGTTCGATTTTTTGCCAATTGGAAACTTCCTTCGCACCACCGCCACCACCACCACCGACCCCAAATGACCCCATTCCTTAGCGGTGGGCAGGCGGGTGACTCTGGATGAGGGTTGGGATGGCGCTGTGTTGGGTTCCGGGAGCAGCATGCGGCTCTTTAAGGTGACCCACTTCGTGAGCCTTATTTTATTCACCACGCGCACTGCCGCTCTTGAAATATTGAAGTGTTTTTTTTTTTTTACCTCCCCCCGATTTAGAAGAAAACTAACAAGAAATGTCTCTTCTTGTCATTTTGGTGATTTTTTTGTGTCGCCGTGTCCCGGGTTTAAACGGCTCCTCTCTTTCCTGTCAACACTGCCGGAGGCTTCGGTAAACGAACCAAGTGAAGCCTTGGCCAGCCGGAAGGAGTCTCCCTTCCAGCCCTTCGCAAAGCATTTGAGTCTTGAACAAAAAAAAAATCATCATCATCATCATCGCGTGGCTTCTTGTGCATGTGCAACAACCGAGTCAAATAAAATCGGTCGTGGGGCCTCCCCTAGGTCGACTCGGCCTAAAAAGAAACCTTGAGAAAGAGAGAGAAAAAAGCAAACGTTCAACGTGCGGCCCCTGACCCAGAAAGCCCCGGCACTTGGTGATGCGAAATCCCTTTGGCAGCAATTTTGTAAAAATACATAAATTCAATAATTAATCCGGCATCCTACGTGTATTAAAATAATTACTTTAATTACATTCAGGTGGTCAAGCCCAGATTGCCGCTGTCAAGAAGCCAGCGGAGCCAGTGCCGGATTAAGCTAAGTGCGGGGCCTGAAGCATATGATGTTAGAAAGGGGCCCTAAATAAAATAAAACGGAAATATTAAAACACATTTTTTTTCTTGCACGGTAAAGTAATTGTATGTTTTTATTTTCTATACAGCCAGATAATACGACAAATCGCTAACATTAAACACCCAGTCGTTCATAAAAGTCGAAGGCGGTATAGTGTTATAGTAATAGAGCAAGTGCAGAATCACTGAACCGGAATTGCTAGCTTGAAAGCATTTAGCGCGGGGCCCTTGAAAGTGCGGGGCCCGTAGCTACTACTACACGTGTAGTAGTAGCTACTACACATGTAGTAGTAGTAGCTACTACATATGTAGTAGTAGCTACTACATATGTAGTACTACTACACATGTAGTAGTAGCTACTACATATGTAGTACTACTACTACATGTGTAGCAGCTACTACATATGTAGTAGCTACTACACATGTAGTAGTAGCTACTACATATGTAGTACTACTACACATGTAGTAGTAGTAGCTACTACACATGTAGTAGTAGCTACTACACATGTAGTAGTAGCTACTGCTACATGTACTATACATGTAGTAGCTACTACACGTGTAGTAGTAGCTACTACACGTGTAGTAGCTACTACACATGTACTACACATGTAGTAGCTACTACACGTGTAGTAGCTACTACACGTGTAGTAGTAGCTACTACATGTGTAGTAGCTACTACTACACGTGTAGTAGCTACTACACGTGTAGTAGTAGCTACTACACGTGTAGTAGTAGCTACTACACGTGTAGCTACTTTTGCTACTTGCATAATCCGGCACTGAGCGGAGCGCATCGCTGCGAAGTCTCCTTCTTCGTGGTTGTGGGTCGGGGCGTTGTGTCGTTATACGGTCCGTTCTGGATGACCACGGTCGCACCACGACTGGAGAGTTTATTTTATATTCCGTTCAGAAATCCGCCATCCGCCATGGCCCGTGCAGCGGATGATGTGGATTTTAGGGGTCGGAACGTGGAGCTTTGTGGGGATCCTCCTGCGTCTTTATCTTGAAAAATGTTTAAATTTTTGTTTTAATCCCCACTCGTCCCCCGACAGCTGTGATCCAGACGCGCGGCGGCAACTCGCACGGAGCCCTCTGCCACTTCCCCTTCCAGTACAACCAGCGGAGCTACACGGAGTGCACCGCAGAGGGGCGGCCCGACGCCATGAAGTGGTGCAGCACCACGGAGCACTACGACGAAGATCGCAAGTTCGGATTCTGCCCCATGGAGGGTGCGTTGCCCTCACCCCCCGGCCCCGCTCCCCCCTCGCCCTCCCACCCGATTGCCCCCTAAGCGCCAGCTGTAGCGTGACCAGTGCCGGATGAAGCTAAGTGCGGGGCCTGTATAGCAAATGATGTTATAAAGGGGCCCTAAATAAAAGCACATACATATTAAAACACTTGCAAAGTAAAGTAATTGTATTTTTTTCATTTGCTATACAGCCAGATAATAAGACAAATCACAAACCTTAAACACCCAGTCGTTCATAAAAATTTAAGGCAGTATATACTATAGTAATAGAGCAAATGCAGAATCACCGAACCAGAATTGATATCATTTCGCGCGTGGCCCTTGAAAGTGCGGGGCCCGTAGCATCTGTAGCTACTTTTGCTACGAGCATAATCCGGCACTGGGCGTTACATGGCTGGTGCCTGAAGCCGGCATCAAAGGGGCGCCACGGTGGCTAGGAGATGTTGACCACCTCGCCTGGTATGCAGGAGATCGTGGGTTCTATCCCGACTTTGACGCCTGTTGTTTACTTGGGAGTTTGCGCGTCTCTCTCCCTGTGGTCGCGTGGATTTTTCTCCGGGGCTCTCATTGACAATTTGAGCACGAATTTTGTTCGGGAAAGCCGACGTGTTAAACCAAGCCTGTGTGTACGCGTGTTAAACTTCTTTCGCACCGTACGTAGCCAGCCGTGGCTAATCGGAGGTGCGTCCCACGAGCGGGGAGCGGTGGCACAGCGGTTAGCGCTACGCTGCACTCCGAACCCGGTGACCCGCGCTCGATTCCCACTCATGGCGACTACCACCACCCGGTGATGATTATCTGCACCGGTTCTGGGCCTCCCTAGGTCGACTCAGCCTCAAACGAGAACCCGGTGCGGTGTGCAGTAAACATCGCCACAAGGGAGACGAAGGCTGCTGGCCACCCACCCCCTCGTGCGCCGCGACGGTCTTCGTCCGTAGCCGCCCGTCACTTGACAGCACTTGCCTCAACAGTTTCTTGAGGCTATCCGGGGGGTCTTTGTCTTTGTGCAGCCCACGAGGAGGTCTGCTCGTCGCAGGGCGTGCAGTACCGTGTCGGCGACCAGTGGGACAAGCGCCATCAGATGGGGCACATGATGCGGTGCACCTGCAACGGGAACGGCCGCGGGGAATGGAACTGCATTCCTTACGCCCAGCTGCTGGGTAAGGCTGATAACCCCATTTCGTATTTTTTTTTCCACTGGCATATTCGAGCCGAGCCGAGCCAGGTTCAGGGCTCATCATGGTACGGGCGTTCCTTTTTTACTAACCACCACCGACTATTTTGCCGAGCCCAGCCGGAACCAAACCGCGACAAGCTGGCCTCACAAGAATAATGATCTTAATAATGCTTTTCAATTATTATTTACGGGGCGTCACGGTGGCGAGATGTTAACTACCTCGCCTGGTATACAGGAGGTCGTGAGTTCGATCCCGACCCTGACGCCTGCTGTATATTTGTAGTTTGCGTGTCTCTCTCCGTGATGAGATGTTAACTACCTCGCCTGGTATACAGGAGGTCGTGGGTTCGATCCGGACCTTGACGAAGCCTGTATATTTTGGAGTTTGCTCGTCTCTTACTCCGTGTGGTCGCGTGGATTTTCCTCAAGGTCCTCCAAATTTTCCCTCCCCTTTTAGAATCAACGTGCTTTTAGAGTACTTGGCCACTATCAATTTCCACGTGATGATGATCCCCTTCGTTGAGCGATCATTTTGTGTGGCAATGTCGCTTCTGAAAAGGAGCTACGTAGCTCAGTGGCCCTTACGTGGTAAAATAAAATAAACAGTTTAAATTATCGACCTAATGGACTCATTGCACTGTTCTGATAACCACCACTACCGACTACTACCCCCCGTAAACCCGCTCCACTTCTTTAATCGTCGTCACGGCTCTCCGAGGAAATGCATCCATACCTGTCAACCCCTTGTCAGTGCTCTACCTTATTGCAGCAAAATCCAGACCTTATTGGTCACCCCGTGCCCTTATGAATCTCAACGTTCATCCTATACACTACACTATACACTATACTATACATTCGCCTATACACTACTATACACTACTCTACACTACACACTACACTATACACTACACACTACACTATACATTCGCCTATACACTACTATACACTACTCTACACTACACACTACACTATACACTACACTATACACTACACTATACATTCGCCTATACACTACTATACACTACTCTACACTACACACTACACTATACACTACACTATACACTACACTATACATTCGCCTATACAATACACTACACTATACACTACACTATACATTCGCCTATACAATACACTACACTATACACTACACGAGTACATACCTGTCAACTCTTACCAGTTCCCTACCTTATTACAGACCAATTCAGAACGTATTGGTCACCCAGTACCCCTTAAAAATCTCAACGTTCATCCTACAAAACCCCATCACAAGGGAGAAACACAAACAAATAGACGACAAAAAAGAGTTTTGCCCGTATTGAAACGGCTGTATGCCGTACGGACCTGAAAACCCAATGTCCCTGTACAAGAACACGGGGTTGACAGGCGTGGCATCGCGGCTGCTAACTCGCCGACAGCGCTCGCCTCGACAACTCCGTTGAGTCTTCTTGGTTCTTTCGGTAAAGTCACGTAGAAGGGAAATAAGACAATAATAAAAATAAAACATAATAAAATAATTCTCACGACGTTTCGGCCACAACGCTGTCTTTCCGACAGACCTGTTCTTCGCCTGAGGACGGCTGCTTGCGTTGTGGCCGAAACGTCGTGAGAATTGTATTTTAATATGTTTTATTTTTAATACTTTATTACTTCCCTTCTACGTGACTTTACCGAAAGAACCAAGAAGATGAATCCCTGCAGTCACGAAAGCTTTAAATCGAAACTCCGTTGAGAGCTAAACCCGAACGGGGGTGGGGGCGCGGGTGTCTGGGCGATCTCTGCCGTGCAACAGATCGCTGCGTGGTGGACGAGACGGAGTACAACGTGAACCAGACGTTCTCGCGCAAGCACGCCGAGGGCCACATGATGAACTGCACCTGCTTCGGCCAGGGCCGGGGCCGCTGGGCCTGTGACCCCATCGGTAAGATCACCGCCCCCCCCCCCCCTCCCCACTGCCTCCTCCCCCAGCCCCGCACCACGTCGGAACGTCGGCGGGGTCCGATGCGCACACCTCCTACGCCAACTCGTTCAGAGTGCTTGGCTGCCGCTCTAAATGTCCACGTGATGGCAGAGGTCGCAAACGGGTTTTGATTCCTTACCCGTACCCGTACTCAGCCGCACCAGGGTCGCAAACGGGTAGCCGTACCCGGCCGTACCCGTACCCTACCCGTACCCGGCCGGGTACGGGTAGGGTACGGGTATCGGGTACCTGATTGCGACCTCTGGGATGAAGCCATGTTGCAGGCGCGGGTGGGTTGATTCTAGGAACTTTAATTGTGAGAAGAGACAAGACGTTGGGAAATGAGTGACAAATGGTGACTCACCAGTGACGCACGGCCTACACGTACCTGTACCCGGCCGCACCAGGGTCGCAAACGGGTACCCGTACCCGGCCGGGTACGGGTAGCCGGGTATCGGGTAGGGTACGGGTATCGGGTAAGGTACGGGTATCGGGTAGGGTACGGGTATCGGGTACCCGGTTGCGACCTCTGGTGCTTGACTGCTGCTCTAAATGTCCACGTGATGATGATGACGACGATGAAAAAGCCGTCACTTTGTTGAGCTGCTGCCTGGGTCGCTTCTGAAAAGGTGCGACGTAGCAGCTCAGTGGAGTCTTACACCTGGTGAAATAACAATAGTTTGTATTATTTGGGTCTTACGGTCAAGTCACGTAGATAGGTTCAAAGAAAATAACAAAAAAAACTACGACGTTTCGATCGCAACACAAGCGGTCGTCATTAGGAAAACTACTTATAAAGGTTTTGAAACTTTTTTTCAAACCTTTATAAACAGTTTTCCTTTAGAGGCTAACCCCAATTTTCCTGATGACGACTGCTTGTGTTGCGATCGAAACGTCGTAGGTTTTTGTTATTTTCTTTGAACCTATCTACGTAACTTTACCGAAAGACCCAAATAATATGAAGTCCTGCAGTCACGAAAGCTTCAAGTCAAGAAATCGTTTTTAGTTTTACAGAAATGTTAGCTCCCTCGCCTGGTATACAAAAGGTCATGAGTTCAATCCCGACCCTGGCGCCTGCTGCATATTTGGAGTTTGCGTGTCTCTCTCTCTCATCATCATCACGGTGGCTAGGAGATGTTGACTACCTCGCCTGGTATACAGGAGGTCGTGGGTTCAATCCCGACCCTGATGCCTGCTGCATATTTGGAGTTTGCGTGTCTCTCTTCCCCCCGTTGGTTGCGTGGATTTTTCTTCTGGGTCCTCCGGCGTCTTCCCTCCACATTTAGAATCAACGTCAACGCGTTCAGAGTATTCGGCTGCTTTCAAATTTTTTTGCACACGACGATAATAACCTGCCACTTCGTTGAGCCATCATTCGTGACGGGGCAGGGTCGCTTTTGAAAAAGAGCCACGCGGCTGCTCAGGGGGGCCTTGCACCTGGTGAAACAGTCATAGTCCTCAGCGGCGCGCAATCGTGGCGCATGCAAGCCAAAAATAACGGAACCTCGCAGTAATCCACTGCAGACTCCTTTCATGGAGGGTTAAGCGAGAACGGGCAAGGGTTACGTTTTCTTGGTTCTTTCGGTAAAGTCACGTAGAAGGGAAGTAATAAAATAATCAAAATAAAACATAATAAAATAATTCTCACGACGTTTCGGCCACAACGCAAGCAGCCGTCCTCAGGTGAAGACCAGGTCTGTCGGGGAGACAGACGCTGTCTCCCCGACAGACCTGGTCTTCACCTGAGCTTTCGTGACTGCAGGGATTCATCTTCTTGGTTCTTTCGGTAAAAACAATAATAAAAAAAACATAATAAATTCTCACTGTGAGAATCGTATTTGATGTTTTATTTTTATTATTTTATTATTTCCCTTCTACGTGACTTTACCGAAAGAACCAAGAAGATGAGACTAACACTCAAGAAGCAAAACCGATGCTCCGGCCCCCACAAGGAGAAGGGAATACAGAACAAACATGTGGACCCCCAAGGCGTTTCGTCTCTACGGGATTGAGCGTTTCCCCCTCGCACATGCGTGGCTTATTCACCGCCCACCCACCCACCCACCCACCCCGCCCCGGTTTCCACCCACGTGTAAACACTCATCGCTTGGCCGATGACGATTGCGTTTCTCTCCCGGCGGTCGTGCAGACCAGTGCCAAGACCTGGAGCTGATGCAGTTTTACCAGATCGGAGAGACGTGGAACAAGCTGTACAAGGGCACGGCGTACATCTGCGGCTGCTACGGCAACTCCGTGGGCGAGTGGAACTGCCGCCCGCAAACCACGGAGATCGGTACGGATCGTGTATTATACTCGGTTCTTATTCCCCGAGTCTGTACACCTGTGTTAATCAATACATTTAGCTACCAATATTAGTACACCTGTGTTGATCAATACATTATGCTGCCCAGATCAGGATACCTATGTTGATCAATACATTTAGTTGCCTAGATCAGTTGTATACCTGTGTTGATCAATGCATTTGACTGCCCAGATCAGTACACCTGTGTTGATCAATACATTTAGCTGCCCAGATCAGTTGTACACCTGTGTTGATCAATACATTTAGCTGCCCAGATCAGTTGTATAACTGTGTTGATCAATGCATTTAGCTGTCCAGATCAGTACACCTGTATTAATCAATGCATTTAGCTGCCCAGATCAGTTGTACACCTGTGTTGATCAATACGTTGATTTACTGCGATAAGTAACGAATGCGTCGAACGAGTCGCCACTCCCTGCGCCGGCCTTCATAGGCGCTCCTCGCTAACGGCACTTGCCCCAACAGTCTGCTGAGGCTACGCTCGGGGATCTTTGTCTTTGCAGCCTCCAACAACCCCGTACAGGTCACCATCAAAGAGGACAACAAGCACCGGCACTCCCAGCAGCTGCAGTGGACCAACACGCAAGGACGCCCCGTCAACTGGTACTTCCTCAAATGGCGCCTGGTGAGTGCGGAGAGTGAGAGGCAAGGTGGTGGCGGAGGAGATGCTCCTCCCCCCCCACTCCACTCGGGAGACATCCGCATCTCTCATCTCACTCTACTCCCCTCCACGCACTCTCCTGCCTCTCTCCTCCCATCTCACTCTACTCCCCTCCACGCACTCTCCTGCCTCTCCACTCTAATCTCACTCTACTCCTCTCCACGCACTCTCCTGCCTCTCCACTCTCATTTCACTCTACTCCTCTCCACGCACTCTCCTGCCTCTCCCCTCCCATCTCACTCTACTCCCCTCCACGCACTCTCCTGCCTCTCACTCTACTCCCATCCACGCACTCTCCTACCTCTCCCCTCCCATCTCACTACACTCCCCTCCACGCACTCTCCTACCTCTCCACTCCCATCTCACTCTACTCCCCTCTAATTTTACAGTCAAGTCAACATTTGTTTCGGCGCAGTATTTAACACCGATATCTTAGTACCGATATTGGACACCCGTTGTGCAATGCTGCAAAACCCCCCGGCTGCGACGACGCCCGAGGACTTTCCGTCGTCCGCTCCTCCGATGAGCGCGGTCGGCTGCGCACGTGCGGCGGCTGTGCACGTGCGGTGGCTACGGTGGCTACGCACGTGCGGTGGCTGTGCACGTGCGGTTGCTACGGTGGCTACGCACGTGCGGTGGCTGTGCACGTGCGGTTGCTACGGTGGCTACGCACGTGCGGTGGCTGTGCACGTGCGGTGGCTGTGCACGTGCGGTGGCTACGGTGGCTACGCATGTGCGGTGGCTGTGCACGTGCAGTTGCTACGGTGGCTACGCACGTGCGGTGGCTGTGCACGTGCGGTGGCTACGGTGGCTACGCATGTGCGGTGGCTGTGCACGTGCAGTTGTTACGGTGGCTACGCACGTGCGGTGGCTGTGCACGTGCGGTGGCTACGGTGGCTACGCACGTGCGGTGGCTGTGCACGTGCGGTGGCTACGGTGGCTACGCATGTGCGGTGGCTGTGCACGTGCAGTTGTTACGGTGGCTACGCACGTGCGGTGGCTGTGCACGTGCGGTTGCTACGGTGGCTACGCACGTGCGGTGGCTGCGCACGTGCGGTGGCTGTGCACGTGCGGTGGCTACGGTGGCTACGCACGTATGGTGTCTGTGCACGTGCGGTGGCTACGGTGGCTACGCACGTGCGGTGTCGGTGCACGTGCGGTGGCTACGGTGGCTACGCACGTGCGGTGGCTACGAAGCTCAACACCCGTACGTACCTCACGCAACGTGCTGCCGCGCTGCGCCGCGTGCCCTCCCCCGGGGGAACAAACAGAAAGGCTCTCAGGCCCCGTGGAAGGAGGCCCGAGTTCCGGCCCAGCGCAACACCTACGTGATCACGGGCCTGCGGCCGGGCATGGTGTACGAGGGCCAGCTCATCACACAGTTCTCCCACGGCGCCACCGCCATCAGCAAGTTCGAGTTCAGCACCGCCTCCGTCCCCCGTGAGTGTTTCGGCGGCAGCGGCGTTCGGCGGCGGCAAGTCTGTGGGTCTCTGTGTGAGTCTGTGGGTCTCTGTGTGAGTCTGTGGGTCTCTGTGTGAGTCTGTGGGTCTCTGTGTGAGTCTGTGGGTCTCTGTGTGAGTCTGTGGGTCTCTGTGTGAGTCTGTGGGTCTCTGTGTGAGTCTGTGGGTCTCTGTGTGAGTCTGTGGGTCTCTGTGTGAGTCTGTGGGTCTCTGTGTGAGTCTGTGGGTCTCTGTGTGAGTCTGTGGGTCTCTGTGTGAGTCTGTGGGTCTCTGTGTGAGTCTGTGGGTCCCTGTGTGAGTCTGTGGGTCTCTGTGTGAGTTTATGGGTCTCTGTGTGAGTCTATGGGTCTCTGTGTGAGTCTATGGGTCTCTGTGTGAGTCTATGGGTCTCTGTGTGAGTCAGTGGATCTCTGTGTGAGTCCGTGGGTCTCTGTGTGAGTTTATGGGTCTATATGGGAGTCTATGGGTCTCTGTGTGAGTCTGTGGGTCTTTGGGGGAGTCTATGGGTCTCTGTCGGAGTCTATGGGTCTCTGTGTGAGTCTGTGGGTCTTTGTGTGAGCCTATGGGTCTCTGTGTGAGTCTGTGGGTCTCTGTGTGAGTCTATGGGTCTCTGTGTGAGTCTGTGGGTCTCTGTGTGAGTCTGTGGGTCTCTGTGTGAGTCTGTGGGTCCCTGTGTGAGTCTGTGGGTCTCTGTGTGAGTTTATGGGTCTCTGTGTGAGTCTATGGGGTTCTGTGTGAGTCTGTGGGTCTCTGTGTGAGTCTGTGGGTCTCTGTGTGAGTCTGTGGGTCCCTGTGTGAGTCTGTGGGTCTCTGTGTGAGTTTATGGGTCTCTGTGTGAGTCTATGGGTCTCTGTGTGAGTCTATGGGTCTCTGTGTGAGTCTATGGGTCTCTGTGTGAGTCAGTGGATCTCTGTGTGAGTCCGTGGGTCTCTGTGTGAGTTTATGGGTCTATGTGGGAGTCTATGGGTCTCTGTGTGAGTCTGTGGGTCTTTGGGGGAGTCTATGGGTCTCTGTCGGAGTCTATGGGTCTCTGTGTGAGTCTGTGGGTCTTTGTGTGAGCCTATGGGTCTCTGTGTGAGTCTGTGGGTCTCTGTGTGAGTCTATGGGTCTCTGTGTGAGTCTGTGGGTCTCTGTGTGAGTCTGTGGGTCTCTGTGTGAGTCTGTGGGTCCCTGTGTGAGTCTGTGGGTCTCTGTGTGAGTTTATGGGTCTCTGTGTGAGTCTATGGGGTTCTGTGTGAGTCTATGGGTCTCTGTGTGAGTCAGTGGATCTCTGTGTGAGTCTGTGGGTCTCTGTGTGAGTTTATGGGTCTATGTGGGAGTCTATGGGTCTCTGTGTGAGTCTGTGGATCTTTGGGGGAGTCTATGGGTCTCTGTGGGAGTCTATGGGTCTCTGTGTGAGTCTGTGGGTCTCTGTGTGAGTCTGTGGGTCTCTGTGTGAGTCTGTGGGTCTCTGTGTGAGTCTGTGGGTCTGTGTGAGTCTGTGGGTCTCTGTGTGAGTCTGTGGGTCTCTGTGTGAGTCTGTGGGTCTCTGTGTGAGTCTGTGGGTCTGTGTGTGAGTCTGTGGGTCTCTGTGTGAGTCTGTGGGTCTCTGTGTGAGTCTGTGGGTCTCTGTGTGAGTCTGTGGGTCTCTGTGTGAGTCTGTGGGTCTCTGTGTGAGTCTGTGGGTCTCTGTGTGAGTTTATGGGTCTCTGTGTGAGTCTATGGGTCTCTGTGTGAGTCTATGGGTCTCTGTGTGAGTCTATGGGTCTCTGTGTGAGTCAGTGGATCTCTGTGTGAGTCCGTGGGTCTCTGTGTGAGTTTATGGGTCTATGTGGGAGTCTATGGGTCTCTGTGTGAGTCTGTGGGTCTTTGGGGGAGTCTATGGGTCTCTGTGGGAGTCTATGGGTCTCTGTGTGAGTCTGTGGGTCTTTGTGTGAGCCTATGGGTCTCTGTGTGAGTCTGTGGGTCTCGGTGTGAGTCTATGGGTCTCTGTGTGAGTCTGTGGGTCTCTGTGTGAGTCTGTGGGTCTCTGTGTGAGTCTGTGGGTCCCTGTGTGAGTCTGTGGGTCTCTGTGTGAGTTTATGGGTCTCTGTGTGAGTCTATGGGTCTCTGTGTGAGTCTATGGGTCTCTGTGTGAGTCAGTGGATCTCTGTGTGAGTCTGTGGGTCTCTGTGTGAGTTTATGGGTCTATGTGGGAGTCTATGGGTCTCTGTGTGAGTCTGTGGATCTTTGGGGGAGTCTATGGGTCTCTGTGGGAGTCTATGGGTCTCTGTGTGAGTCTGTGGGTCTTTGTGTGAGTCTATGGGTCTCTGTGTGAGTCTGTGGGTCTCTGTGTGAGTCTATGGGTCTCTGTGTGAGTTAGTGGATCTCTGTGTGAGTTTGTGGGTCTCTGTGTGAGTTTATGGGTCTCTGTGGGAGTCTATGGGTCTCTGTGAGAGTCAGTGGATCTCTGTGTGAGTCTATGGATCTCTGTGTGTGTCTACGGGTTTCTGTGAGAGTCAGTGGATCTCTGTGTGCGTCTACGGGTCTCTATGAGATTCAGTGGATCTCTGTGTGAGTCTATATAATTGCAGCTTTGTTGTTTCTTGTCAACACATGCCCAGACCTTCTAAGTTCTCGTGAATATTAGTCACCCCTGCTGAGACTATTCTTCATTACACCTCCGTTGCGTAGGAGATATTCCCAACGTCCTCTGCATGCGTGCGTGTGCAACTATTTCCTTCTTAAAACAGTTAAATAAACACATTATGCGGCATATTCTTGGGTTTTTTCGGTAAAGTCACGTAGGTAAAAAAATTTAAAGTAAAATAAAATAAAAATCACGACGTTTCGGAGGCAACACAAGCTTGTGTCTTCAGGTGGAACCGTCACAGCACGATAGTTCGGTGGTGACTGCGCGTGTCGTGTCTTTGTGTCGTCTTGCGTCGTCCGCGTTCGTCAAGTGACGCCGTGGGAGGGCGAGAGGGAGCGGCTACCTGGCACGGAGCAGCGCGTGTCGGACGCCGTCACCGAGGTGACGTCCAACAGCTTCGTGGTCGCCTGGGCCTCGGCCGGCGAGGTCATGTCCGGGTACCGCGTCGAGTACGAGCTCACGGAGGACAGCTCCTCGCGCGAGATCATCAGTAAGTCGCGAGTGCGAGCGAGCGAGCGAGCGCGGAGGGATGCCGTTTTGCGATTTCACTCACCGTGCGCGGAGATCCGCCGATCAAATTTTTTTTTTTTTACAACGTGCGAGCCCGCACTATGGAGCTCTTCCGATATTAGGAAGCCACTGGAGCTACATGCACTTTCAAATCTAGATTGTAAATGAAATTCCTTTGAGAAGCGCTTTTTGTGTGTTTAATTTGTTGTCCTTCCCCCGTACCCACGAATAGCACGGTTGGCCACGTACGGTGCGAATGAAGTTCAACAGACATACATAGACTCACACAGAGACCCACAGACTCACACAGAGACCCACAGACTCACACAGAGACCCACAGACTCACACAGAGACCCATAGACTCACACAGAGACCCATAGACTCACACATAGACCCATAGACTCACACAGAGACCCACAGACTCACACAGAGACCCATAGACTCACACAGAGACCCATAGACTCCCACAGAGACCCATAGACTCACACAGAGACCCACAGACTCACACAGAAACCCACAGACTCACACAGAGACCCACAGACTCACACAGAGACCCATAGACTCACACAGAGACCCACAGACTCACACAGAAACCCACAGACTCACACAGAGACCCACAGACTCACACAGAGACCCACAGACTCACACAGAGACCCACAGACTCACACAGAGACCCACAGACTCGAACAGAAACCCACAGACTCACACAGAGACCCACAGACTCACACAGAGACCCATAGACTCACACAGAGACCCACAGACTCACACAGAGACCCACAGACTCACACAGAGACCCACAGACTCACACAGAAACCCACAGACTCACACAGAGACCCATAGACTCACACAGAGACCCATAGACTCACACAGAGACCCATAGACTCACACAGAGACCCACAGACTCACACAGAGACCCATAGACTCACACAGAGACCCATAGACGCACACAGAAACCCACAGACTCACACAGAGACCCATAGACTCACACAGAGACCCATAGACTCACACAGAGACCCATAGACTCACACAGAGACCCATAGACTCACACAGAGACCCATAGACTCACACAGAGACCCATAGACTCACACAGAGACCCATAGACTCACACAGAGACCCATAGACTCACACAGAGACCCATAATTTGTTGTTCTTCCCCCGCACCTCCGACTTAGCACGGTTGGCTACGTACGGTGCGAAAGAAGTTCAACAAACATCTCAACATACGTACGAGTATGGGTCCCTACGAGCCTCTGCGATACGGAATATCTAACGAAAACATTTTTTCCCACCGTTCGAATTTCCGCGCACGCTACAAGACCTTCCCGGGACCGCGACGTCCATCACGCTGGACAGCCTCCTGCCGGGTCGCGAGTACACGGTCACCGTCATCGAGCTGGGCGCTCGTGGCCTGGAGCGCATCATCCTCACCACCACGCAGACGACCGGTGAGCGTGCCGCGGGCGATCGCGGCCGATGCAGCAGCGGTCGCAGCGGTGGCAGGGGTCGTCGTATAACACTTAGGCGTTCGCGACCAATGTTGTCCTGAATGAAGTTTCGTTGTTTTTTTTTTTTTGGGGTTAGATCGCGTAAATATAAATGTGTCGTGGTGGCGGTTTTCACGACGCATCTATATTTACGCGATCTCACCCTATTTTTTTGTTATTATTATTTATTAGTAGGAGTAATAGTAGATCACGAGGTCCATGATATCTTCGGATTGCCTTCTTCTAAAGACTCCAAGACCAAGGTTCTGTTCCTTCCTGGGCTGATCGGGACTATGTCACTGTGCAGCTTCCAGGCTTCAGAACGATGCTTTGCCTTTGCTAATAAGACAATCAGCATCGTTAGCTGTATTTAAGTCCTGTATTGAAAACTCGCCTCCTTAAACTGATATTAACCCCCCGCTAGTTCTGGTCGTTATACCCTGCAGGTTTTGAGCGAGTGGGCAAGTGAGTGAGTGACTGGATGAGTGGGCGAGTGAGTAGGTGGGTAGGTGAGTGGGTGCGCGAGTAGGTGAGTGGGTGACTGAATTAGTGGGCGAGTGAGTGGGTGAGCGAGTAGGTGAGTGGGTAACTGAATTAGTGGGCGAGTGAGTAGGTGGGTAGGTGAGTGGGTGAGCGAGTAGGTGAGTGGGTGACTGGCAGAGTGGGCGCGTGAGTAGGTGGGTGGGTGAGTGGGTGAGCGAGTAGGTGAGTGGGTGACTGAATGAGTGGGTGAGCAAGTAGGTGAGTGGGTGACTGAACGAGTGGGCCAGTGAGTAGGTGAGTGGGTGAGTGGGCGAGTGAGTGGGTGAGTGGGCTTGTAAGTAGGTGAGTGGGTGAGTGGGCGAGTGAGTAGGTGAGTGGGCGAGTAAGTAGGTGAGTGGGTGAGTGAGTGGGTGACTGAATAAGTGGGCCAGTGAGTAGGTGAGTGGGTGAGTGGGCGAGTAAGTAGGTAGTTCTGGCCGTGTGCCCAGCAGGTTTTGTTTAGTTCCCGACCCTCTAACTTGATTCCGCTTCTCTGGTCCCGCAGCCCCGGACGCCCCGGAGAACTACTCGATCGACGAAGTCACCGAGTCAACGATCGTCATCCGCTGGAGGCTACCCAGTGCGCAAGTCTCTGGTACGACTCGCGCTCGCTCGATTGCTCGCTGACCCCCGTCGTGTTATTTCTCTCTGTCTCCCCCGCGGCCCTCTCTTCCCACAACCCCCCGGTGGACAATTAAACCCTTTCCCGTTCCTATGACATACGAATACGTCATCGGATTTTCTTACGTGTGCACGTCGTCGGAACGGAACCGGAAGAAAAACTAAAATACCAAAAACGTATCGGTACCGAGGCTTCCACAAGGCCATGCGGGAGGGCGTGTGGCACAGTGTTGGTGCCAGCTATCGCAGAGTGGCGGCGGTCGTGTCGCTACGGTTCTCTGCGGTGAGTAGCAATGCCTCTAAGAACAACGGCGCCGCTACTACGCCTCTCGATGTAAAATTTACGCCGAGCCGATCGAGCGTTCCGAGATTCAATGTGCAGTACGTCTCGGAACGGGAAAGGGTGAAGTTATTTTACTGTTGTTGGAAGACGAACTGATGACGTACTTGGGTACGTCATCAGAACAGGAAAGAGTTAATGGGTGCTCGCGAACAGCAATTGCCCCAAACAGCCTGTAATTATCTTCGTGGTTCTTTCGGTAAAGTCACGTAGAAGGGAAATAATAAAGTAATAAAAAATTTACATAATAAAATACAATTATGTTTTTGTATTTTATTATGTTTTATTTTTATTATTTTATTATTTCCCTTCTACGTGACTTTACCGAAAGAACCAAGAAGATGAATCTCTGCAGTCACAAACGCTTTAATAATTTTTTTAGGGGGCGGGAGGGGGGGCGGGAGGTGGGAGGCAGGGGGGGGGGGGCGGGAGGGGGGGGGCGGGAGGGGGGAGGCGGGGGGGGGGGCCAAGGGGACCTTAATCTTTGCGACGTCGCGTCCCGTCTCCCGGCACAGCGTTCCGCATCATCTACCTGCCCAACGTGGACGGCGGAGAGAGCACGGACCTGCACCTCCCGCCGGACGTGACGCGTGCGCGCCTCGTGGACCTCCTGGCGGGGCACACCTACAACATCAGCGTCTTCTCCGTGGCCGAAGACCTTGAGAGCCCCCCTCTCTTCATGCAGGTGTCCACCCGGGGCTCAGCGGAAATCGGTGAGGACGCCCTCCGGTCCCCCCCCTCCCCCGTCTCTCTCACCCAGAGGTCGCAAACGGGTTTGATTGCTTACTCGTACCCGTACCCGGCCGCACAAGGGTCACAAACGGGTACCCGTACCCTACCCGTACCCGATACCCGGCTACCCGGGTACGGGTAGGGTACAGGTACGGGTACCCGATTGCGAGCTCTGGGATGAAGCCATGTTGCAGGCGCGGGTGGGTTGATTCTAGGAACTTGAATTGTGAGAAGAGACAAGACGTTGGGAAATGAGTGACAAACGGTTACTCACCAGTGACTCACGGCCTACCCGTACCCAGCCGCACCAGGGTCGCAAACGGGTACCCATACCCATACCCGGCCGGGTACGGGTAGCCAGGTATCGGGTAGGGTACGGGTATCGGGTACCCGGTTGCGACCTCTGCTCTCACCGTCTTCTTCGGAGCAGCGCTCTGCAACGGCGGGGAGGTGGGCATGAGGATGACGCCGTACGCCAGGCCCATCACGCCTCTGCCACAGGCAGGATCTCAGCGCTCCGACCTCTGATCTCCCTTGACCTCTGACCTACGAGTGTTATAGACGTCATCACGCGTTTCGCTTTTATCTGCCGTGCAAAGCAATGGGTGGCACGCAACGGTGCGCCTGTCGATGGTACCGCCCAGAGAAGACCCTGATCTAGGCCATGTGAGTCATGGCCTCTTGGTGACGGCTGGCTGCTTAAAATATTTCTTTTGATTTACCCCCCCCCCATCTCCTCCCTCCCTCCCTCCTCGCATGACGAAGGAACGTTGCTACTGTAATTCATCAGCTGGAGATTAACTGTGCAGCCCCTCAAACTCGTGTCTGCAGAGTTTCTGTACCAACCCCCCTCCCCACCACAATCTGTTTGTGATTTCGACCGGGCTCCTACTGATCCCCCGCCACCATCACTGCCACCATCACCGCCACCGCCGCCAGCATCACCACCACCACCGCCACTACTGCCACCACCGCCGCCACCACCACCACCATCGCCGCCACCACCGTGCCACCACAACCACCTCCACTGCCACCACCGCCACTACCACCACCACCACCACAACCACCTCCACCGCCGCCACCACCGCCACAACCACCGCCACTAGTGAGGAATGTAGCTGTCTCACATTCCTTTTCTGGCTGTGATGAGGTTAAGCGGCGTCTCAGCTCTTAGCGGTGCGGGCTCCCCTTGCTGCCATCGTTCACTGTCCTGTCGGCGCGCCGTTTTAAATCGTCCGTCGGCACGCAGAGCGACTGCGGTTTATTCCGTTCAGAATCTTTATTTACTTAAACCGGAGGAGGAATCCGACGAGCTGTGAAGCTCTTCGCGGATGCCCAGTGAGCGGGCACGGGGTCAGAACGTTACAACGACAAACACAAAACGAAAACATGAAAATGATACGAATAAAACTGAGCAATTTTTATGTTACCAGATAAAACCCAGCAGTGGACTGACCTTGGCTCGTGATGACGATGACGACGACAAACAAACAAGAATGATGACGGTGGTGGTGGTGACAATAGTGGTGGTAGTGAAGCTGGTGGCAGTGGTGGCGGTGTTGGCGGAAGTGATGGTGTTGGCAGTGGCGGAGGTGGTGGCGGTAGTGATGGTGTTGGCGTTGATAGCAGTGGTGGTGGCGGTGGTGGTGGCCGTGGTGGTGATGGCAGTGGTGGAGGTAGTGATGCTGGTGGCAGTGGCGGCGGTAGTGATGGCAGTGATGGTGTTGGCATTGACAGCAGTAGTCGCGGCGGCGGCGGTGGTAGCGGCGGCGTCTTTCTTCCCAGGTGCCGCTGCCGCCGCTCGCTTGACAACACTCTCCGCAACATCCCCGTCAACGCAGCACGGCGGGGCATCTTCGCCCCAGCCTTTTTGTCTTTTTTGCAACAGAGCAAAGGCCGCCGCTGCCGCCCAGCGACCTGACCTTCGTGACCGTGGGCGAGACCAAGGCCACGCTCACCTGGGCCCCTCCGCCGTCCGCGGAGGTGCGCGGCTACCGGGTCGTGGCGACGGCCGCACCGGGCCAGGGCCGCGTCCCCACCCGCGAGGTGACCGTGACCTCCGACCTGTACGCGGAGGTGGGTGGCCTCCTGCCGGGCCACACCTACCGCTTCCAGGTGTTCGCCGTCTACCCCGGCGGCGGGGAGAGCCCACCGCTGCAGGGAGAGCAGAGCACCAGTGAGTTCCCCTCCCTCCCTCAACTCCCTCCCTCAACTCCCTCCCTCAAGTCCCTCCCTCCCTCAACTCCCTCCCTCCCTCAACTCCCTCCGTCAACTCCCTCCCTCAACTCCCTCCCTCAACTCCCTCCCTCCGTCAACTCCCTCCCTCAACTCCCTTCCTCCATCAACTCCCTCCCTCCCTCCCTCAACTCCCTCCCTCCCCTCCCTTCCTCCCTCAACTCCCTCCCTCCCTCAACTCCCTCCCCTCCCTCCCTCAACTCCCTCCCTCCCCTCCCTCCCTCCCTCCCTCAACTCCCTCCCCTCCCTCCCTCAACTCCCTCCCCTCCCTCCCTCCCCTTCCTCCCTCAACTCCCTCCCTCTGTCAACTCCCTCCCCTCCCTCCCTCAACTCCCTCCCCTCCCCTCTGCGTCTTCCGTTCCTCCAACGAAGGCGTCCGGGCGTGGTGTTGGCCACCCACCCTCTCATGCGCCGTGTCGGCCTTCATAGGTGCTGCTCGCTAACAGCACTTGCCCCAACAGCCTGTTAAGGCTATAGGCGGGGGGATTTGTGTATTTGTCTTTTGTGCATATCGAACTTCTTTCGCGCCGTATGTAGCCAACCGTGCTAATTGGAGGTGGGCGGGGGGGGGGTCAAACCAAGCACCGAAAAGCGCTCCTAAAGAATTAAGCTTTCATTCTCGCTTCGTAACATCAGAAGGAAGAGCATTCCAGATGGCCGTGGACGTGAAAGCGCCGCTGCTGCCGCTGCTGCTGCTGCCGCCGCCGCTGCTGCTGCTGCAAGGATGACCAGAGTCATGTGGTGTGGGTGGAGCCAACATTTGGAACCTTGGCGACTTCATTTCATATGGCCCACGGAGATGGATGCCAAGGGACGGATAGAACCCACAACTTCATTCCATATGGCCCAATTTTTTTCGTATCATTATTATTATTTCTTACGGTCCTTTAACCTCATTTCATATGGCCCACAAGATGCACACAGCTCGGGAATTGAGACTTCATTTCATATGGCCAGTGGGAAGGGTTACAGCTTGTGACGTCATTCATATGGCTCCAGTAACCGTATTTCACGCGGTCCGAGGGACAGACACGAAACGCGGATTCTATTTCGTGCGGCCCATAAATTGAATGTCACATGGCCCACGACTATATTTCTTGACAGAAGTGACGGCGGCCCGCGTGTTAACACGTGGCCTCGCCCAAAAGGAAATTGAAAGTGCTCTTTGGGCCACGACAAGGAAAAGTGACGTTGAGACCCTGACACCTGCTGTATATTTGGAGTTTGCGTGTCTCTCTCTCCGCGTGGTCGCGTGGATTTTTCTCCGGGTCTTCCGGTTTTGTTCCTCCACATTTAGAATCGGCATCGCCACGCGTCTAGAGCGTCTGGCTGCTCTAAATGTCCACATGGCAGCTACGCCGCTGCGCTGAGACATCGTTTGTGATAGCCGGTTCGCTTCTGAAAGAGAGCTACATAACTCGAGTGGACCTTACCTGGCGAGATAAAATCCTTTATTTTTTAATGTTTGCTAATATTTATCATTAATTTAGAGTCCGTCGCGGTACACGTGGCGTCCAGCGGCTGAAGCAATTGGTTTGCAGGAGTTCCTCTCTTCCGTTCCATCCGTTCCATCTGCCGCACCGAGATTAGCTGAGCACGTCCAGCAGGACCCGGCAGAGAGGCGCAGTGCGTTGGCAGCTTCGCCATTGGCAGCGTCGATCGATCCCTGCCTCACGGCCCTGTCGTCTCGATCCCCCCTTACCCCCGGCCCTGGCCCTCCCCAGAACTGGACGCTCCGCGGGACGTCCGCTTCGTGGAGGTGGGCGAGACGAGCGTGACGGCGGCGTGGCGAGCGCCGCGCGGGCCCATCGCTGGCTACCTGGTGCGCTGCGAGCCCACGGACGGCGGCGAGCCCCTGGAGCGCCAGCTGGGCGCCGACGTGGCGAGCTTCACGGTGGACGGACTGCGGGCGGGCAGCGAGTACGTGGTCACGGTGTACGCGCTCGCACGCGGGGACCAGGAGCGCAGCCCCGGGGTCAGCGGAATCGTCTCCACGCGTGAGTCGAGCGTCGTTCACGTGCCCCCCCCCCTCCACCTGCAGGCCCCCCCCAAACCCCCCCCCCCCCCCCTTCCCGCTCCCCCCTCCTTTTTATTTTTTTTACGATCATCATTTCGTAATTTTTTTTTTTACATTTTTCCCCTGCCCCCCCTCCCCACTCTCCTCTTCCCTCGCTCCCCCTCCCCTACCCACCCTCCCCACTCTCCTCTCCCCCCATCCCCTGCCCCCCCTCCCCACTCTTCTCTGGGTGAGTGTACTGACAGTCTATAATGTAGACTGTAGCAATGGTTATTAAGTTGGGTGAGTGTACTGGCAGTCTATAATGTAGACTGTAGCCTAGTTATTAAGCTGGGTGAGTGTACTGACAGTCTATAATGTAGATTGTAGCCTGGTTATTAAGCTGAACGAGCGTACTGACAGTCTATAATGTAGGCTGTAGCCTGGTTCTTAACCTCAGTGAGTGTACTGGCAGTCTATAATGTAGACTGTAGCCTGGTCCTTAACCTCGGTGAGTGTACTGGTAGTCTATAATGTAGACTGAAGCAATGATTATTGTTGGGTGAGTGTACTGGCAGTCTATAATGTAGACTGTAGCCTGGTTATTAACCTCGGTGAGTGTACTAGCAGTCTATAATGTAGACTGTAGCCTGGTTCTCCACCCGAGTGAGCGTACTGGCAGTCTATAATGTAGACTGTAGCCTGGTTCTTAACCTGAGTGAGCATACTGGCAGTCTATAATGTTTCAGTAATTAAAAAATATATAAAGGTGGTTAAACGAGGAATTATAAACAAAAGCCCGTGCCACCGTTGTTGTAGAGACGATGGTGCAGCCTCGTGTCAATAGTGCTTGCCGCCCTTAGTGCACAAATCCTCCACGTGCGTTCCAATGGGTGATTAGTGATACATTCATGCTGTCGTAGCCGGAGGTCGAATCAACGCCAATTTAAACTTCGCTCTCAGGTTTCCTTGGATAAATTGAAAAAGGAAAGACGTGAATAAAAAGGTTGGTTGTTTTCACCAACTCCCCAAGTTCCGCTTTTCAGGATTAACGCCGCACACACTGTGGCTACGATTGTTCAGGGTTGGGGGGGTGGTCCTTTTTAGGGCAAAAGTTTGCCTGCGTTCCAACCAGAGGTCGCAACCGGGTACCCGATACCTGTACCCTACCCAATACCCGTTTGCGACCCTGGTGCGGCCGGGTACGGGTACGGGTAGAGCGTGAGTCACTGGTGAGTAACCGTTTGTCACTCATTTCGGGTAGGGTACGGGTAGGGAACGGGAACCCGTACCTGGCCGGGTACGGGTACCCATTTGCGACCTTGGTGCGGCCGGGTATGGGTACGGGTAAGGAATCAAAACCCGTTTGCGACCCTGGTGCGGCCGGGTACGGGTACGGGTAAGGAATCAAAACCCGTTTGCGACCTCTGGTTCTAACGCACGCACCACAACAACAACAACAACTCAAAAATGGGGCCACATTTCGTGGAGCATTGCGGCATTCTGGGCTGTCAAAAACAAGCGTCGTTTGCTGGCGGCCGCCGGATTTAAACGCTCCCACGTGGCGAGCCGGTCCTCTGTGATCTAGACCGCAACCATGTAGCATTTTTTTTATATTTAAAAAAGTTAAGTGAAAGTATTTTGCCTCGAGCTGAAAAGGGAACGTGAGCAGAACTCAGTTCGGGTCGACACTCGTAAATAATAATAATAATCGTTTAGATAAAATAGTATTTATATAACAGGATCGGTATTTCTCCAGATCAGTATGATCCAAGCAGCATTTAAGTGGGCACACTCTGCTCCGATTTCAATATGCCGGGTCTCGTCAGCGGACTTAGAGTTGCGAAATAAATGTTGCTGGATTCTCAACAGTCAGACACCATCTTCTTGGTTCTTTCGGTAAAGTCACGTAGAAGGGAAATAATAAAACATAATAAAATAATTCTCACGACGTTTCGGCCACAACGCAAGCAGCCGTCCTCAGGTGAAAACCAGGTCCGTCGAGGCGACAGAGTCTCTGTCGGAGGACGGCTGCTTGCGTTGTGGCCGAAACGTCGTGAGAATTATTTTATTGTGTTTTATTTTTATTATTTTATTACTTCCCTTCTACGTGACTTTACCGAAAGAACCAAGAAGATGAATCCCTGCCGTCACGAAAGCTTTAAATCGAAGTCAGCCACCAGCGGGGGGGTTGACCATACTTCACCGCCCTGGTGAGTGCATGTCCATGAAGTCCAGTCCGTATTAGCGCAAATGTCACGTGCCATTTACCCATAATGCAAAGTAAAATTGCTTTATAATCCTCGCAATTTTTTTTCGCGGATACGAGGAGCGTTGTGGAAAAATCTTCCTATTGTCCGTGATAATTTTCTACCTCTTGGTTCTTTCGGTAAAGTCACGTAGAATGGAAATAATAAAATAATAAAAATAAAACACAATAAAATAATTCTCACGACGTTTCGGCCACAACGCAAGCAGCCGTCCTCAGGTGGAGAGCAGGTCTGCAGTCACGAAAGCTTTAAATCGAAATTTATTTTCTACTTGGGCGAGAGAAGTGAGAAATCGTGGATAGCCCCGTGGATGATCGGATACGGGGTCTTGATACCCAGCCCCCCTTCCCCCCACTCCCTCACCATATCAACGCATATATGTGGAGGAGGGAGTGGGGAGTGGGGGGAGGGGTGGAGGGGGGAGGAGGGAGAAGAGGCGTGTTGACCGCCGATTTAAATTTCTTGTCTTCATAGAGTCGGTGAGGGAGATGTCGGAGTTTGTGATCGAGGTGACCGAGTCCACCATCGTAGTGTCGTGGAACAGCGTGCCCCGGCTCTCCATCAAGGTGCGTTGTCGTCATCAACGTCGTCATCGTCGTCATCATCAACGTCGTCATCGTCGTCATCATCAACGTCGTCATCGTCGTCGTCATCAACGTTGTCATCGTCGTCGTCATCAACGCTGTGTGCAAAAATACCAGTGGGATGCAAGTCAAACAACAACAACAACCACAAGACAACTTCGATTAAGGCCATCAGTCTTACTCCGTACTACAACAAACAAACATGGCCAAACCAAAAAACGTTTCGAAATCACCAAAATAAAGCCATGAAAGCAATGAAACAGTGACCGTAGGAACTGTGACGGAATTTTCACAATAAACGACATAAACAACATGTACCACCAAAACCCTGCAGCCATAGCTGGCTGCATGAGTCACTCCACAACAGCAGCAGGGAGCATCAGTCGGAGTATCATAATTTTTCAATGCACCTTTAAGATCAGCACACTAAATCAAAACGCAGGTCATACTTTGCAGCGATCATCCAGAGCGAAACATTTTATTTTAGCCCACTGAATAGCACTGGCAGCTAGGGGTGTGGATAATGACGACCAGGGCTTTTGCTCGCGCAGGTGAGAGTGGCTCCCGTGGAGGGAGGTGGCGACGCTCGGGAGTTCGAGTCGGACTCGGGCCGCCTGCTCATCGAGGACCTCACGCCCGGCGTGGACTACACCGTCACCATCCGCGTGCTTGTCGACGGGCAGCCGCGCGGGCAGCCAATCCAGCGCCACGTCACGACCGGTGAGATCGCGCGTCCACCGCTCGCTGGCCGGCGTCGCCACCACGGTTACTGTTCACTCACTCACCCACTCACTTACTCACCCGCTGACTCATTGTGCCACCCACTCACTCACCCATTGACCCACCCACCCACTCACTCACCCACTCACTCATTGACCCACCCACCCACTCACTCACTCACCCACTCACTCACCCACTTACTCATTGACCCACCCACTCACTCACACACTCACTAATTGACCCACTCACTCACACACTCACTCATTGACCCACCCACTCACTCATTGACCCACCCAATCACTCATTTACTCATTGACCCACTCACTCACTCATTAACCCACACACTCACTCACCCACTCACTCTCTCACTTATGCACTCAATCACTCACTCATTGGCCCACACACACTCGCCCACTCACACTCTCACTCCATCACTCACCCATTAGCCCACTCACTTACCCATCCACCCATCCACTCAGTCACTCAACCTTTGACTCACGCACTCACTCTCTCGCTCACCCACCCACTCAATCACTGTTCTACTGCTACTGCCTCGGTTGCTGTTCGCTCACCTACCCACTCACTCACCTACTGACCCACTCACTCACCTACTGACCCACTCACTCACTTACTGACCCACTCACCCACCCACTCACTCACCCACCCACTTTCTTCCTTACGATATTAGGGATCCACTGGAGCTATGCACTTTGAAATCCTCAAATAGATTGAAAACTAATTTCTTTCAATCTTTTTGCGTGTTTAGTTTGTCCTTCCCCCCCTCCCCGCACCTCCGAATAGCCACGGTTGGCTACGTACGGCGCGAAAGAAGTCCAACACACACACACACGGACAAAAACACAATGTTATTGACAAACGCGTCGAGTCTCGTTTTGCGCGCTCGCAGCTTCACGCACCGCGTGGCACCGGTTTTCGATGTCGCGGTGTGGCATCGCACACGGTGAGGGGCTGCTGGGGGGGCCGCAAGCCCCCTCGCCAAGGCGATCGAGAGAGAGCCCCCCCCCCCCCCCCCACCGTGTGGGTCACTGGCACTGAACCATTCCCCTTCGCCCCCCCCCCTCCCAGCCTTGCCTCCCCCCACTGAGATCAAAGTGGAGACCAACGGAAATCCCGGGGAGCTGCAGGTCTCCTGGGAGAGCAGCGAGGTGCAGGGTGAGTGACGGCGACACACACACGCACGTGCACGCACGCGCATGCGTACACGCACGTGCACGCACGCGCATGCATACACCGCACGTGCACGCACGCGCATGCATACACGCACGTGCACGCACGCGCACCGCACGTGTACGCACGTGCATGCATACACGCACGTGCACGCACACGCATGCATACACGCACGTGCACGCACGCGCATGCATACACGCACGTGCACGCACGCGCACCGCACGTGTACGCACGTGCATGCATACACGCACGTGCACGCACACGCATGCATACACGCACGTGCACGCACGCGCATGCATACACGCACGTGCACGCACGCGCATGCGTACACGCACGTGCACGCACACGCACCGCACGTGCACGCACGCGCATGCGTACACGCACGTGCACGCACGCGCATGCATACACGCACGTGCACGCACGCGCATGCATACACGCACGTGCACGCACGCGCATGCGTACACGCACGTGCACGCACGCGCATGCGTACACGCACGTGCACGCACGCGCATGCATACACGCACGTGCACGCACGCGCACCCTACACGTGCACGCACGCGCATGCATACACGCACGTGCACGCACACGCATACACGCACGCGCACACGCTCGTACACGCACAAGCTCCTGCTACTGCTACTTCTTCTGCTATTGCTGCTGCTGAAGCTGCTGCTACTGCTGCTGCTACTTCTTCTGCTATCGCTGCTGCTGAAGCTGCTGCTACTGCTGCTGCTACTTCTTCTGCTATTGCTGCTGCTGAAGCTGCTGCTACTGCTGCTGCTACTTCTTCTGCTATTGCTGCTGCTGAAGCTGCTGCTACTGCTGCTGCTACTTCTTTTGCTATTGCTGCTCCTACTGCGGCTACTACTGCCACTGCTACTGCTGCTACTTCTTCTGCTATTGCTGCTACTGATGCTACAGCTGCTGCTACTGCTGCTGCTACTTCTTCTGCTATCGCTGCTGCTGAAGCTGCTGCTACTTCTTTTGCTATTGCTGCTCCTACTGCGGCTACTACTGCCACTGCTACTGCTGCTACTTCTTCTGCTATCGCTGCTGCTGCAGCTGCTACTACTGCTGCTACTACTGCTGCTACTTCTTCTGTTATTGCTGCTGCAGCTGCTACTACTGCTACTACTACCGCTACTACTGCCGCTACTACTGCTGCTACTACTGCTGCTACTACTGCTGTTGCTACTTCTGCTATTGCTGCTGCAGCTGCTACTACTGCTGCTACTACTGCTGCTACTTCTTCTGCTATTGCTGCTACTGCAGCTGCTACTATTGCTTTCAAATGCGCTTCCGCGGCCGTCTGGAACGCTCTCCTTGGGGATATTAGGAAGCCGCTGTAGCTACGCCTCCATACATCTAGATGGAAAACTATCCCTGGAAGTGCTTTTCCGTGTGTTCAGTTTGTTGTCCTTACCCCCGCCCTCCACCCCCCGCATGTCCGACCGTTGCGGTTGGCTTCGTAACGGTGCGAAAGAAATTCAGCGTAACACAAAGAACCCCACGTCTCCCCGGAATGCCCTTCCCTCTCCTATCCCTCCCCCGCCAGCCGCCGCCGCTGTGTGCACGGCGTGCTCGCACTACGCTGCCAACGACGTAAACGGCCTCTTCCTCTGACGCACGAGGGATGCGATACCAAAACATGACCCGGACACATCACCCCAGCTCGCAGAAGTTCGCGTGCCCTGCTCGCTGACAGCAGCAGCAGCAGCGGTATCAGCAGCAGCAGCAGCGGTATCAGCTGCAGTAGCAGCAGTAGCAATAGCAACAGTAGCAGCAGTAGCAATAGCAGTAGTAGCTGCAATAACAACAGTAGCAGCAATAGCAGCAGTAGCAACGGTATCAGCTGCAGTAGCAGCAGCAGCAGCAGCAAAAGCAGAAGTAGCAGCAGTATCAGCAGCAGTAGCAGCTGCAATAGCGGCAGCAGGATCAGCAGTAGCAGCAGCAATAGCAGAAGACGTATCAGCAGCAGCAGCAGCAATAGCAGACGAATGAGCAGCAGCAACAGGAACACTAGTAGCAGCTGCAATAGCAGCAGCAAGAGCAGCAGTAGCAACAGCAGGAGCAGGAGCAGCAGTGGCAGTTGCAATAGCAGCAGCAGGAGCAGCAGCAGTAGCAGAAGACGTATCAGCAGCATTAACATCAGCAATAGCAGACGAAGGAGCAGCAGCAACAGGAACACTAGTAGCAGCTGCAATAGCAGCAGCAGGAGCAGCAGTAGCAACAGCAGGAGCAGCAGTGGCAGCTGCAATAGTAGCAGCAGGAGCAGCAGTAGCAGCTGCAATAGCAGCAGCAGGAGCAGTAGCAGCAGCAGTAGCAGAAGACGTATCAGCAGCAGTAGCAGCAGTATCAGCAGCAGTAGCAGCTGCAATAGCAGCAGCAGGAGCAGCAGTAGCAACAGCAGCAATAGCAGACGAAGGAGCAGCAGCAGCAGGAACACTCGTAGCAGCTGCAATAGCAGCAGCAGGAGCAGCAGTAGCAACAGTAGCAGTAGCAACAGCAGCAATAGCAGATGGAGGAGCAGCAGCAGCAGGATCAGCATGATCAGCAGTAGCAAAACTGCTGATCGCTGCCGTTTCCCTGGTGCCCTACTCTCCTCGAACTCGTCATCAACAATGTTGTTGTTGTTGAAAAAAGACGAAAATAATGATTGTCGTAAATAAATAAACATCCAACTCGGAAACGCGCCCAGCGATGCGAGAGGCCAGGAACAAAAATAATCGTCGCGACCCACGTGGGACCCGCACGCACGCACGGACGGACGATTAGTTTAAACGTTTGGAGCACTCTGTCCAACCGTGAACGATGTTTTTTTTTACTCTTTGGTTCTTTCGGAAAAGTCACGTATATAAAGATAAAATAATAAATGTAATAATAGCATACTCCGACGTTTCGATTGCAACACAAGCAATCGTCATCATCAGGTATAAAAGAAATAGGCAACAAAAATCTCACCAGAAAACTACAGACAGACATATAAGCAGGCAGATCTCTCTATGTATCTTTGTGATATCTGCCTGCTTATATGTCTGTCTATAGTTTTCTGGTTAGATTTTTGTTGCTATTTCTTTTATACCTGATGATGATTGCTTGTGTTGCAATCGAAACGTCGTAGTATGCTATTATTTAATTTATTATTTTATCTTTACACGTGACTTTACCGAAAGAACCAAAGAGTAATTCCTGCAGTCACGAAAGCTCCAAATTAAGATTGATGTTTTTTTGTGTGTTGCCACGAGGCAGACCCCCCCCCCCTCTCCCCTTTAAAAACGGAGTTCTAAATGGTTTTGAGAGTTAATTCGCAACAGATTGGCGCTAAGTAATTTAATTTAAAAAAATACGGACTCGTCGAGAGAAGAACGGGAAGAGAGAAAAACATTTCGCAGTAATCCTCTTGCCCACCGAGCGAGCGGTGACATAAAATGAAACAAGAATATGTATTTATACTGGAGGAATCCGATGAGCTATTAAGCTCTTTTGCACGCTTGCCCAGTAGCGGTCACGCGGCTCAGAAAGTTAAGGGGCCGTCCATAAATGACGTCACGCGATTTTTGACGATTTTTGACCCCCCCCCCCCTCCGTCGTCACATGGCGTCACAAAAAGTCAGACATATCAACAGATGAATTTAGCATGTTTATGGAAAATCCAGATATGGGATTAGTCACTACTTGTGGAATGTGTAGGTGTCGGTGGTGGGGGGGGTCTCAAAGTCATATTGTGCTACTTCAGGGGTCGGGACCTTTTTGACTGGGAGAGCCATAAAAGCCAAATATTTCTAAATATATTGCATTGAGAGCCATATAGTATTTTTAACGTATAATACATTAAATATGTATCACTTTTAATGCGACTTTCTGGTGCTGCATGGTTTTGCTGATGGCCTTGTAGTCTGGTTCGTACGTGGTGAGGTTGAGCTTCATGCAGGCGTTGAGGCCCCGTGACCCGTGAAATTTATCTTCAAAACTAATTTCTGTTTACTTTAAAATGACACAGTATTATTAAGCAATATCACAAGTATTTTAAAATCAGTTCCAAACTGATTTTTGTATTTTTTTTCAACTCAAAATTGTCTGGGAGCCATATGCCATCACCAGAAGAGCCATATATGGCTCGCGAGCCATAGGTTCCCGACCGCTGTGCTACTTACTTGCTACTCACGATATTCCGTTGCTGGCCCCGTGTCTCGCTCTCTCCGCAGCCATCACGGCGTACCGCGTGACCTGCGTGGCGGACGGCCACGGCGGCTCGCGGCAGGTGCTGGAGGAGGTGGTGTCACCGCAACACAACTACACCGTGTTCGAGCACCTGCTGCCCGGAGTGCAGTACAACGTGAGCGTCTACGCCGTGGGGATGGACGCCGAGAGCTTTCCTACGTCCACCGTCAGTCGTGCCGGGTACGTGGACCCAGGCGGCGGAGGGTGCGGATGGGGGGGGGATGGTGGTGATGATGATGGGGGACCATACTCTTTGCTGAAAGAGTATGGACTACCATGGAGCCCCATGGACCTCCGAAAGAACCAAAGAGTATGGATCCCTGCAGTCACGAAAACTTCAAATGTAGATGATGGGGGTGATGGTGATGATGGTGCTGATTGTGGGGGGAGGGGGGGGTGCGTTCGAGCAACGGTGCCAATTCAGACAGACCGTGTGTATGTGTGCGTGTGTGTATGTGTGCGTGTGTATGTGTGCGTGTGTGTATGCACGTGTGTATGTGTGCGTGTGTGTATGTGGGGAGCGATAGTGCAGCGGTTAGCGCGCTGCGCTATGAACCCAGCGACACGAGTTCGATTCCCGCTCACGGCCAACACCAGTGACGATTATCTGAACTGGGCCTCCCCTAGGTCGACTCAGCCTCAAATGAGTACTTGGTGCGGTGTGTAAACATTGTCACTAGGGAGACAAAGGCGGTCGGGCGTGGTGCTGGCCACCCACCCCCTCGTGTACCGTTCCGGCCTTCATAGGTGCTCGCTAACAGCACTTGCCCCAACAGTCTGTTAAAGGCTACACGGAGGTTCTTTGTTCTTTGTATGTGTGTGCGTGCGTGTGTGTGCGTGTGTGTGTGTGCGCATGCCTGCGCGTGTGCGTGTCTGTGTGCATGTGTGTGTGTGTCTATGTGTGTCTGTGTGCATGCGTGTGTGTGCGCGTGTCTGTGTGCATGTGTGTGTATGTTTGTGTCTGTATGTATGTGTGTGTGCCGTGACGGCGGGGGTTAGCGCGCTGCGCTACAAACCTGGCATCCCCAGTTCGATTCCCGCTCACGGCCGACACCGGTGACGATTATCTGAACGGGTCCAGGGCCTCCGCCCCTAGGTCCACTCAGCCTCAAATGAGTACCTGGTGCAGTGTGTAAACATCACCACTCGGGAGACAAAGGCGGCCGGGCGTGGTGTTGGCCACGCACCCCCTCGTGTGTCATGCCATGCCGGCCTTCATAGGTGCTCGCGAACAGCACTCGCACCAACAGCCTGTGTTGAGGCTATGCGGGGGATCTTTGTCTTTGTGCCGAGAGGCTTCAACAAGCCCGCCACCACCCGACACAGCCAACTAGTTAAGGGGTTGTCACGTAAACAGAACGTGGCCAATTCGTCACTAGTACAGCACTAGTGTGTAGTGTATAGTGTAGTGTATTGTGTAGTGTACAGTGTAGTGTATTGCAGAGGTGTGGACTCGAGTCATGTGACTTGGACTCGAGTCAGACTCGAGTCATGAATTTGATGACTTCAGACTCGACTTGGACTTGCATAACAATGACTTTGTCCCACCTCTGAGGTGTGGACTCGAGTCATGTGACTTGGACTCGAGTCAGACTCGAGTCATGAATTTGATGACTTCAGACTCGACTTGGACTTGCATAACAATGACTTTGTCCCACCTCTGGTGTATTGTGTAGTGTATAGTATTGTGTAGTGTATTGTGTAGTGTATAGTAGTGTAGTGTATAGTGTAGTGTATTGTGTAGTGTATAGTGTAGTGTATAGTGTAGTGTATAGTGTAGTGTATTGTGTAGTGTATAGTGTAGTGTATAGTAGTGTAGTGTATAGTGTATAGTGTAGTGTATTGTGTAGTGTATAGTGTAGTGTATAGTGTAGTGTATAGTATAGTGTATAGTAGTGTATAGTGTAGTGTGTAGTATACTAGTACAGCACCACCTAGTACTAGTACAGTGTGTGGGAGAGCCAAGCCACAACATTTACAATGCGAGCACGACGTTTCGCCGGTAACTGCAACCGGCTTCATCGGGCGGACGGCAACCAGATTCGTGAAAAAGTTCCACCTTGTTCCGTTCCTTGAAAAGGGCCGCGCGCGAAACATTCTCGCTCCGATTCCTCAGAAATCCCGCCGCCCAAGGGGCTGCGCTTTTCAGAGGAGTCCGACACCAGCGTCACGATGCAGTGGCAGCACCCCAACCTGCCCAACGTGGCGGGGTACCGCCTCACGGTGGCCGCCCCAAGCTCCAGCTCGGACCACGGCTCGCCGCACGTGGACAGCGCCGGCCGCCCCGTCGCGTCCGGTCGCCGCCCGCAGCACGGAGGAGCGGCAGGAGGAGAGCCCCTGCTGAGTCTGCAGCTGGGGCCCGACGCGGAGCGGTACACGGTGAACGGCCTGGAGCCCGGCATCGACTACCACTTCTCCCTGGCCACGGTCACGGAGCAGGGCCAGAGCCTGCCGGCCGCGCAGTGGCACAGCACGGGTGAGGCGTCTCTCTCGCGGTCGTGCCGGTCGGCGTCGCGGTTTTTCGAACGAATGACTTCGCGCCCGGGTGCGGCTCGTCATTCGTTTATTTCGGCTCGGGCAGTTTTTTTTTTTTAAACCTTCCGCCACCCGGCGTGACCGAACAGCGCGCGGCGGCTTCGCGGCTCGACCGCGACGACCCGTCGGAGCGACGATCGTCGGCGGAATAAAATCGCCGTCGCGCAGCGTAGCGGCCGCCGGTTTTAAAAATCGCCCCCCTCCCTCCTCCTCCTCCTTCCTCCTCCTCCTCCACGCCTCCGTGCCGCGACGCAGCCGTGCCGCCCCCCACGAGCCTGCGCTTCTCGCACGTGCGCGAGGACGGCTTCCGACTCAGCTGGTCGCCCCCGGGGACGCTGACGACGCCCGCCAAGTTCCTGGTGCGCTGCCGCGGCCACGGCGGGGACCGCGCCGACGTGGACGTCGCCGCCGGCAGCAGCACGGCGGTGCTGAGCGGTGAGACGCGCCGAGAGGGCCGGGAGCAGCGTGGGGGGGGGGGGGGGTTGCGATCGACGGCCTTCCGCGCTGGCAGATTGCAGCGGTAGCAGCGGTCGTAGCTGCTGCAGGAGTAGCAGCGGTAGCGGCAGCAACAATAGGGGAAGCAGCGGCAGCAGCAGTAGCAGCAGTAGTATCAGCTACAGCAGCAGCAGTATCAGTAGTATCAGTAACAGTAGCAGCAGCAGTAGCAGCAGCATCAGTAGCAACAGCAACAGTAGCAGCAGTATCAGTAGTATCAGTAATAGTAGCAGCAGCAGTAGCAGCATCAGTAGCAACAACAACAGTAGCAGCAGTATCAGTAGTAACAGCAGCAGCAGTATCAGTAGCAACAGCAACAGTAGCAGCAGCTGCAAAAGCAGCATCAGTAGCAACAGCAGCAGTAGCAGCAGCTGCAGAAGAAGTAGCAGCAGTAGTAGCAGCTGCAACACCGACTTTCTCACTCGCCCCTACTGGGCATCTCTAACAAAGAGCTTCATAGCTCATCGGATTCCTCCAGGCTAAACAAAGATTCTGGTTTCTGTACGATATCCAGCGACGCGCTCGCAACGGCGCGGTCCGTCGTCAATTGCTCGTTAATCTCCCGGTGTCTCTTCTCTTCTGCTCATGTCTCACAGGTTTGCAGGCTGGCACGGAGTACCAGGTGTTCGTTCACACCCTCCTGGACGGGCAGGAGAGCGTGGCTCTCACCGGCACTCAGTACACAGGCGAGAACCACCATGCCACAATTCCCCTCTTGTGTTTATCCCTGCTAGCATGCACCTACAAGACTCAAAACATTTTTTAATCCTTTATATTAAGTTCGCTTGCTTGCTTGCTTGCGTGCTTGTGTGCTTGCTTGCTTGCTTACGACCGTGCAAATCTTTCGCTCGTTTTTTAACCCACTTCCCCGTGATCCAATCGAGCAGAGATTTTCCACACAGATTCGTTGTGCCAGACAATTAATTTTCGTGAAAAAAAATTTCCAAAATTTTACACTGTTTAGGGAAAACAAATTAAATATTTAATTACCAATTGCTTAATACTGGCAGACAATCATCTGACCCATAGGTGGCAGCCATCTCAAGCCAGAGGACGAGAAGACTCTGGCCGCCACGTATATAAAGGATTTATAGTGAAAAACTTTGTTTTTACGGGTTCATTTTTTGTTACTCGAACAGGCGAGGTCCAACTAAGCTGCTGTGCAGTTATTTTTCAGAAGCGACCTGGCCATCATCACAAATGATGGCTCAACGAGGTGGGCTCATCATCATCATCATCGCGTGAACATTTATTGTAGCAGCCAAATACTCTAAACGCGTGGTGACGTCCATTCTAAATGTGGAGGGGAAAAACCTGGAGGACCCGGAGAAAAATCCACGCGACCACGGGGAGAGAGAGACGCAAACTCCAAATATACAGCAGGCGTCAGGGCCACGACCTCCTGTATACCAGGCGAGGTAGTTAACATCTCCTAGCCACCGTGGCACCCCTGCACCTTGTCCGTTGGGTGGGATGTCATTGGTGACGAAGTGGTATGCCCAGTGCGGACGTACTTTCCAGGTCGCTGGTTCGATTTGGAAGTAGGTGCCGCACGTGATGAGTAGTAGCCACTGAGAGGAGAGGCATCCTGGATGTGGTGTGCCGGGCGCACAAATATTTTGTGCATCACCGATGTGGACAGAGCGAGCTGAAATGAAACCCTGCGTGCATGTGTGTGTGCGCGTGTCTGTGTGTGCGTGCGTGCGTGTGTGTTTGCATGCGTGTGTGCGTGCGTGCGTTTGCATGCGTGCGTGTGTGCATGTGTGTGTGCACGTGCGTGTGTGTGCGTGCGTGCGATTCGCCGTCGCTGCCTCAGCGCCCGACGCTCCGACGGGCCTGCAGTTCTCGCACGTGACGCCGACGGCCTTCACCGTCGAGTGGCGGGCGTCGCTCGCCCCCGTGGAGGGCTACCGCGTGCGGTTCGGCCGCGAGGGCCACACCGATCCCCGGGAGGAGTGGGTCCCGACGCCCGGGCACTCCGCAAGCCTCAGCGGCCTCGCGCCCGGCGAGCAGTACACGGTGGCCGTCTACGCGCTGTCCAGCAGCCGCCTGGAGTCGCGGCCGCTCACCGGTCGCCAGATCACACGTAAACCACCGCCGCCACCACCGCCGCTATCACCACCGCCGCTATCACCACCACCGCCTCCGCCGCTGCCACCGCCGCTGCTGCCACCTCCACCACCACCGCTGACACACCACCGCCGCCACCACTACCATCACCATCAACAACGCCGTCACTACCTCTACCACCCCTGCCACCTCCACCACCACCGCCACCACCAACACCACCTCCACCACCGCCGCCGCCGCCACCTCCACCACTGCAACCTCCATCACCACCACCACCGCCACCACCGCCGCCACCACTACCACCACCGCCACTTCCACTACCTCTACCACCGCTACCACCCCCACCACCACCGCCACCTCCACTACCACTGCCACCACCACCACCTCCACCACTACCGCCACCACCACCACCATCTCCACCACAGCCACCACCACCACCACCATCGCCTTCCGCCCATTCGAGACACCGGTAGATCACGTGACGTCTCTTCCCACAGCCGTGGACAGCCCCACCAATCTCCAGGTCACCAGCCAATCGGCCACCAGCTTCCTCGTCAGCTGGACTCCGCCCACCACCTACGTGTCCAACTACATCGTGAGCTACCACTACGGTAGGCGACCTCTTCGTTTGCATTTATATATGTGTACGTATGTTGAACTTCTTTCGCACCGTACGTAGACAACCGTGCTAATCGCAGGTGCGGGGGAAGCAGAACCCCTGTTATCCGCATCTCTGCTTCTTCCTATTATTCCAGATTATCCGCGATTTTTTTCCCAGAATGCAATACATTTCCGGAAATCACCTGACGATGCCGTTGTTGACATCGCCAGCGAAGCATTGCCGTATCATTAAAATAATCGTGGTTAATCAATGTATTAATTAATAGTTAATGTACCTAACAGGGGAATGGTCGGTAAGTGAACACATTGGGCTCTATGGAGGCACTACACTACTCTATACACTACACTAATATACACTACACTATACACTACACTACTATACACTGCACTATACACTACTATACACTACACTATACACTACACTACTATACACTACACTACTTTACACTACACTACTATACACGACACTACTATACACACTACACTATACACTACAATATAAACTACACTACTATACACTACGCTATACACTACAAATTTGGCTCTATGGAGGGCCGCCGTGAAGCGATTAGTCGTTAACAGGGACGGTCGTTAGCATGGGTTCTACTCTACTTTGCCCTCCTATCGTGTTTGTATTTCCTTTGTCGTTGTGTCAAACGAGCCTCACAGCCCATCGTTTTCCTCCTCCGGCAATGAATCAAATATCCTGACCCTGGTTGGCGGGCCTCGGCGCAGGGAGGCAGCCGGAGCGTCAGGTGACCGTGTCTGGGCGGGAGAGCTCCGTGCTCGTCGAAGACCTGCAGCCGGGCGCGGAGTATTCGGTCAGCCTACGCGCGGTCACGGAGAGAGGAGACCAGCCCGCGGGAGAAGCCCTCACCACCACGCACGCCACGGGTAACCGCCCCCGGTGAAGGGAGACCGCATTCCCTGGCCAACTTTACTCGAACCTCTCAATCGATCAATAACATTTGAAAAAAAAATTTCTTGAACAATTTTGCCCTCCCCCCCCCCCGCCTTCCCTATACGCATAATCATCCTTAAAATGCTCATTCGGTAGATCGGAAACCGTACATTTCCGTCACATTAAGTTCTACAGAGGAGGTTTTTTTTTTTAGGTTAGATCGCGTAAATATGAATCTGTGTCGTTAAACCCGCCACCACCCGACGCAGCCAATTATAGTAGGGTTTGTCACGTCAACAAAACGTGGCCAATTCGTTACTAATACAGCGCTAAACCGGTTGTGTGTTGGAGAGTAAACCCACTACGACATTTACAATTCCAGTACCGCGACGTTTCACCGGTAATTACAAACAGCAGCAAGCAGCATCATCAGCCACAGAGTTGTGGAGAAATCCTCCTCTCGTCTCGGTCTCAAATAGACGGAGGGCATAAATGTGACGTCATCACTTGTGAGCCAATCAGTGTGCAACAGCCAGAGGGTGTGGGAAGGGGTAATGTATGCGTATGCATAACAATGGATATCCATTACCGGATGGGTTGTTCATAGCGTAATCAACATACATATGTGGTCTAATAAAAGTAAAATAAAAATCACGACGTTTCGGCGGCAACACAAGCTTCCGTCTTCAGGTGGAACCGTCACAGCACGATAGCTGTATCAAGTGAGAGAAATTCCAAGAAAACAGGCTCCTCCCACCCTCAACCAGTATATATACAAGGACTGTTTTCTTGGAATTTCTCTCACTTGATACAGCAGTCGTGCTGTGACGGTTCCACCTGAAGACGGAAGCTTGTGTTGCCTCCGAAACGTCGTGATTTTTATTTAATTTTTATTTTACTTTTATTAATTTAAATGTTTTACCTACGTGACTTTACAAAAAAAACCTAAGAATATGAATCCTTGCAGTCACGAAAGCTTCAAATCTAGAATATGTGGTCTAACCCGAATACACCTCTTATGGATAATATTTGTCGCGAAAGGCTTCGTGTTAAACAGAATCAAGTTAGTTTTCATCTGTAGGTGAAATTCACGCTGAACTGGTATGTGTTAAGACATTTCAAATTTGTTCAGTTTGGACGGTCAGGCGGTTCCTTTTTCGATGACGACGAAGGGAATAGCACGGGCCACTGGCCCCCTTCGGCCCGTGTGACACGTCACGTCGAAATTGTACCCATTGGTTCCCTCCATGAGTGCACCACGGTGGTGCCTGGTACACATGAGGTCGTGGGTTCGATCCTGACCCTGATGCCTGTTGTTTATTCGGAGTTTGCATGTCTCCCTCCCTGTGGTCATATGGATTTTTCTCCAGGGTCTTCTCTCATTTATCTCTCCACACTAAGAATCAAGGCTATGCATTGTCACGTGATAAGCCACTTCGTTGAAAAAGAAGCGAATGGCTCAGTGGGCTTTAAGCTGGTAAGATAGCCCAATGAAGTGGCTTGTCACGTGGACATTTCTAGCAGCCAAATACTCGAAACGCTCTAAATGAGAAGGGAAACACCAGAGGACCCAGAAAAAAATCCACACGGCCATGGGGAGAGAGAGAGACACGCAAACTCCAAATATACCAGAGGCGTAGCTAGGGGGGGGGGCAGGGGGGTACACGTGTCCCCGGGCGCCAAGGAAAAGGGGCGCCAAAATGAGGCTTACAACGTTACATTATAACTTGTTGCGGCGGGCGCGGCAGCCTGAAACTACTGCACACATCTACACCTCAACCTAAAGTTTATATATCCCGCCACACACAGCCTACATGTCATGTCATTACATTTTGATATGTGATTAAACGGGGGGGGGGGGGCGCCAATTTTATAGTTCGTCCCCGGGCGCAAAATATCCTAGCTACGCCAGTGAAATATACAGCAGGCGTCAGGGCCGGGATGGAACCCACGACCTTTTGTATACCAGGCGAGGTAGTTAACATCTCGCCGACACGGTGACGCCTTATCCGGTGGGTGGGCCAGTCATTGGTGACGACGTGGCATGCCCGGTGGGGGAGGGGTCACCGTATCCGTGCCGCCCCGCAGGTATCGACGGTCCCACGGACGTGGAAGCGGTGGAGGTGCGCGACACGAGCATCCTCCTGCGCTGGGCCGCCCCCCGCGCCCCCGTCCAGGGCTACCGGGTCTCCTGCTCCCCCACGGGGGGTCACGGCGGGGCCCCCATCGCCAAAACCCTCTCCAGGGGTAAAGATCGCACGCACGGCGGCGGTGTGACCGCCGGATCTGGGAAATTCATCTCACCAGCGGGAAAGGGGGAGGGTACACAGCCAAGAACGAGTTCCGGATTCTGCGGATTATAAGACGCTCCAGAAACTGGGATGCCATGCACCGCACCCCCCCCCCCACACCCCCCTTTCTTTCAAACTTAGAGGGGGCTTTGACTAAATTCGATCCGGAAACCGCTACATGTTACCGGGAAAGCGGGAAACGGCGGCGCAAAAAAAAATACCAAGTTGTGAACGACAGCATGGACTCCTTCCGTGTGCCTTAAAACCTCCGTCACCTGCGATAAGCACAGGTTGGCCACGTACGGTGAGAACGAAGTTCAACACACGTGCAACCTGGAACATGTGGCCACCCGTACCCAGATGTTGCCGCTCCTCCGGATTAGCAGTTGCACTTTCCCCCTGCCGTGTTTCCCAGCGCATCTTGCAGTGCGGTAGCTGGGTGTCGCGTGCGATCAGATTTGTATGAATATGAGACACCGGGCACACGTTTGGTATGCATCGTATCTTTCCGGAGGAGTCTTACAACGCGAAGAATACGGCGGTACAACCCACACCTGAGCTAATACGACCACACCTGTAATCATAGTCCATCCACTGTCCATTCGTGTTGGTTCACGTTCCTGTGTGCGTGCGCGCGTAGGTCAGTCAGAGGTTACGATCGACTCGCTGTCTCCGACCACGGAGTATCTCATCCAGGTGGTCGCCCTGGGATTCGCGCAAAACAGCGAGGCGACGAGCATCACGGTGCAGACCGGTACGCCCAGAGCCCTGCGTGTGCACCGGAGGTGCCATCGCATCTCACACCGCGACACCGCGACACCCACGACACCACAACACCCACGACACCCACGACACCACAACCACGACATCCACAACCACGACACCCACGACACCACAACACCCACGACACCCACGACACCACAACCACGACACCACAACACCCACGACACCCACGGCACCACAACCACGACACCCACGACACCACGACACCCACGGCACCACAACCACGACACCACAACACCCACGATACGACACCCACGACACCACAACACCCACGGCACCACGGCACCACAACCACGACACCACGACACCCACGATACGACACCCACGACACCACAACACCCACGACACCCACGGCACCACAACCACGACACCCACGACACCCACGACACCACGACGCCCAAGACACCCACGACACCCACGATTCCGATTTCCGATTCCAACGCGCGTCCATCGCAGGCGTGGACCGCCCCCGGGGCCTCACGTTCCGGGACGTCGGCGTGGACTCGATGGTCGCCTCGTGGCAAGCGCCGGAGGGCCGCGTCACGGGCTACCGGGTCACCTTCCAGGGCGCGGGAGACGAGGACGGGGGATTCTCGCGCGAAGTGCTGCCCGCGCCGGGACCTGGCGCCGATTCGGTGATCGTCGGCGGGCTGCGGCCGGGCCAGGAGTACACGGTGCGCGTGTTCGCGCTGAACGGGCACCGCGAGAGCGTGCCGCTCACCGGCACGCAGATCACGGGTGAGGGCTCATCGCCGCGACTCACTGCCGCGCCCGCTCGCCACCAACTCGGCGTCGCTCACCGCCACCCACCTCCGCTCCTCGCCGCGATGCACGCGCGAATAAAAACCGTTCCGTTTTAGTTGCACATGTTTGATTACCTTTCCTATACTCTGCACTGCTATCGTGTTTTACGTATTCATTTGTCGTTTTAAAGTTCTGACCCCGTGGCCCCGACTGGACACCTGTTTAAAAAGAGTTTCATAGCTCATCGGATTCCTCCTGCAGTATAAATAAATATTCTTATTCAGATATATATGTGTGTGTGTATAGAGAGAGAGAGAGAGCTCATAACGTGGTTGAAACTTGGCCGATGATGACGCTCACGACGATGAGAATGGCTCTCGCTGCTCGGTATTATTTCTCCGCAACTATCGGGATCAGTGCCTCTTGATTCTAACCCTGACGCGCCCCCCCGCCCCCCGCTTGGCTCAGCCATCCCGCCGCCGACGGCGCTGGAGTTCCCGGAGGTGGGCGCGGACTCGGTGGCGGTGCGCTGGAGCGCGCCGCGGCCCGACGCCGGCCTCACGGGCGTCCGTGTCGTGTTCGAGCCGCGCTCCCGCAAGGCCTCGCGCAAGGAGATCTCCGAGGGGCCCCGCGCGACCGCCACCACCGTCACGGGGCTCACGGTGCGTCGTCGCTAGCGTCGCCCACGTGCGTGTGTCGCGTGCGCGCATGGAGAGAGACCGAGAGAGAGCGAGAGACAGAGAAAGACCAGAGAGAGAGAGACCCAGAGAGAGACGGAGAGAGAGCATGAGAGCATTTTCTTGAAGGGTGTTCCCCGTGTCGTCGTCGACGGTGCAGGCAGGAGTGGACTACGCCGTGTCCGTCTACGCCGTCAAGGACGCCCTGACAAGCAAGCCCCTGCAGGGCACCGTGCGCACCGTGGAGAGTAAGTCTGGACCTGCACTACCACGTGTCCACCGCACCGCCCCTTGGTGAGGGCTTCACCTCCTGAGCCTCGCAATGCCAGAAGCAGAGTGCCACTGTCAGGAGCCACTGTCAGCTCGCCTCGAGGCACGCTGAGGTTGACCTTAAGTGTCCGCATGACCGTTTCTCCCTTATCAACGGAGGTGGACCCATTCATTACTCCTACCCGGATTGCAGCCCTCATTGGCTGACACACTCCGCCCACGTAAAAGAAATCCACTGCGTGGTGTTTTACGAACAATGACCTGCCCGAAATCGTGGAATTATCCAGAGTTACGATTCAAAGTTGCGGCTTTTTGTGCTTAGTTTGTTGTCCTTCCCCCGCACCTACAATGAGCACGGTTGGCTACGTGCAGTGTGAAAGAAGTTCAACACACGTACATACACCGCACCTAAAATTAGCATGGTTGGCTACGTGCAGTGTGAAAGAAGTTCAACACACGTACATACACCGCACCTAAAATTAGCATAGCTGGCTACGTACGGTGTGAAAGAAGTTCAACACACGTACATACACCGCACCTCCAATGAGCACGGTTGGCTACGTGCAGTGTGAAAGAAGTTCAACACACGTATATACACCGCACCTACAACTAGCATGGTTGGCTACGTACGGTGTGAAAGAAGTTCAACACACGTACATACACCGCACCTACAATGAGCATGGTTGGTTACGTGCAGTATGAAAGAAGTTCAACACACGTATATACGTCCATCGTCACCCCCCCCCCTCCCCCCCCCACAGGCATCCCCGCGCCGTCCAAGGTGTCGGTGACGGAGACGCACGCCGGCTCGGTGACGCTGGAGTGGCGCTCGCGCCCCGACCCGCTGACCGGCTTCCTGATCGTCGTGCAGCCGGCGGCGGCGGGCGCCGGGGGGCGCCCCGCGGAGCACACGGTGCCGCCTGGCGCGCGCACCTTCACCGTCACCGGTAACGGGCACACGCGCCGTGCCAGAGTAGGGGCCGGCAACCGAAACAACAAGGAAGGGACAATTTTTTTCGTTCGAATTTGGTAAAAAACAAAACCTCAAATATTTCAAGAGCAGCGGTGCACTGTGGTGGCGGATAGGAGGCGGCGGTCATCGATAAATAACACCGGGAGTCAAATTTCGATTTAAAGCTTTCGTGACTGCAGGGATTCATCTTCTTGGTTCTTTCGGTAAAGTCACGTAGAAGGGAAATAATAAAATAATAAAAATTAAACATAATAAAATAATTCTCATGAAGTTTCGGCCACAACGCAAGCAGCCGTCCTCAGGTGAAGACCAGGTCTGTCGGGGAGACAGCGTCAGACGCTGTCTCCCCGTCAGACGCTGTCTCCCCGTCAGACGCTGTCTCCCCGTCAGACGCTGTCTCCCCGTCAGACGCTGTCTCCCCGACAGACCTGGTCTTCACCTGAGGACGGCTGCTTACGTTGTGGCCGAAACGTCGTGAGAATTATTTTATTATGTTTTATTTTATTATTTTATTACTTCCCTTCTACGTGACTTTACCAAAAGAACCAAGAAGATGAACACCGTGAGTCCTTAACGAGCCACGTGCGGCTCAGGAGCCGTAAGATTGCCGACCGCTGTGACAGTCCACGGCCAGGGCAGAGATTGGTTCCAGCTAAGGCGGCGCCACACCTTTGAGCCGTACCGATCGATCTGTACGGCGGACGAGGGTGAATTTCTCGACAACAGCTCTTGTCTCGAACGGTTGTGACACGACTTAGCCGCTGATTGGTCACGCGAGGAGGTGTCGGAACCGCTAAGAGGCGTGCGCCGCATCTCGTGGTACCGATAAGGCGAAGTATCCGTGCGCTGGCGGGCGGTATTCGTCTCCTGCTTAGATTGCCCCATTGAAGCCCGTGCGATACGAACGTTGTGTCCCGTGTCGACAGGGTTGCAGCCTGGAGTGCGCTACGTCATCTCTATCTACGCCGTGCGTGGGGGCAGGAGAAGTCAACCCGTCACAGTCACCACCGCCACCGGTAGTTGAGCACTACCGCGACATTGAAACGGTTGTTGTGGATTTGCGTTTTTATCGCGTGGATTATTTTTTCCCTCCCCCATGCGTTGAGACAACTTCGATTATTTGGCTACTGCTGTCAATGGCCACGTAACAATGATGATGACGGGCCACTTTGTTGAGCGATCACTTGGGGTGGCCAGGTCGCTTCTGAAAAAATGCTGCAACTCCGTGGGACCTAACCTGGTGAAATATTACAATTGTTTAGTTCAGCCATGAATCTTTACGTAAAAACCTAGCTTGCCAAAATCATAGCCTAGGCCTCAGGCCTCATTTGGAAGCCACTGTCACCTATGCACTTTGAAATCTGAATTGAAAACGAATTTCTTTACAATAGATCTATGCGTTTAGTTTTGTTGTCCTTCCCACCGCACCTCTGATTAGCGCGGTTGGCGACATACGCCGTGAAAGAGGTTCAACGCACATAGATTATATTCTATTTATAATTCATATCTAGCGCCCTTTCCAGGGCGTTTTACAACGCAAACCGACGGGGGTTTCGATTTAAAGCTTTCGTGACTGCAGAGATTCATCTTCTTGGTTGTTTCGGTAAAGTCACGTAGGGGGTTACACAAATGGGCAAAGGGGGAGCGGCGGTGTGGGATGGAGCGGCTGTCAGTGAGGGAGGTGACGGAAGGGATGGAGGGACAGGGGCTGGAAAAGGAGCCACGTGATGTTGCAGGGGCTTGGGAAGGAGGAATGAGGGTGACTGATGGGTGCAACGTCCATCGGCACGAGTCATCGCAAGACACGGGGAAGGCACGCGTAGGGGGAACCCTTGTCCATTAGGCGAGGGAGTGCTGACGCTTTCTCGCTCTGTTTCTCTCTCTCTCCGGCGCTCCGGGGGCCTGCCAGCCGTGGACTCGCCCACAGGCCTGAAGCGCGTCACCTCCTCGGAGGACAGCTTGACCCTGGGCTGGACGCGCCCGAGGGCCTCCATCACCGGCTACCTGCTCACCTGCCAGGCAGCCCGAGGAGGGCCCGCGCAGGGAGCACAGGCCTGACGTCAGCGCGACCCAGTACACCATCACCGGTACACAGAGCGCGGTGTGCCACCATCACCGCCTCCACCGTCGTCACCTTCACCACTACCGCCACCATTACCACCACAGCCGCCACTGCCACCACCACCGCCACCGAAAACAAAGACAAAGATAAAGATCCCCCGTATAGCCTTAACAGACTGTTGAGGCAAGTGCTGTTAGCGAGCAACCACCACCGCCGCCACCATTACCACCACCACCATTACCACCACCACCCTCGCCACCACCGCCGAGATGCAGGGTTCGAATCTGTGTGATTGAAATTGGTACTCAAGCGTCATTCAACGATGGTCCCAGCTCTCGTGCTTAGGGGTGATGTCACCATAGTTCAGTCACAGGATCAGACACCCGCTTGGCATCTGGTTTTCATTTGCCCGGTTCTCGAGTGCGGTGCTCATGCCCAACGTCACAGCGACAAAACAAACCTCTCCTTCTGCCGTATCCCTCGCACTGCTCTACTTGCAATTCCCTCCACCCCCCCCCCCCCATCATCTCGCCACGGTGGCTGTTAGATGTTGACTACCTCGCCTGGTTTACAGGTGGTCGTGGGTTCGATCCTGCCCCTGACGCCTGCTGTATATTTGGAGTTTGGGTGTCTCTCTCTCTCTCCCCATGGCCGCGTGGATTTTTTTTCTGGGTCCTCTGGTGTTTCCCTCCTCATTTAGAGCGTTTCGAGTATTTGGCTGCTAGAAATGTCCACATGACAAGCCACGTCATTGGGCTATCTTACCAGCTTAAAGCCCACTGAGCCATTCGCTTCTTTTTCAGAAGTGACAGATGATAGCGCAACGAAGTGGCTTATCACGTGGAAATGTACAGCCTTGATTCTTAGTGTGGAGAGAAAAACCAGGGTCCTCCGGTTTTTAGTAAGGTAGGCACTGACAAGGGGTTAACAGGTATGCTGACATCCGCGTTGCAGATCTGCAGTCGAACACGGAGTACGTGTTCAGCCTCGTGGCAGTGCAGGACACCGTGAGAAGCCAGCCTCTGCGTGGCTCCTTCCGCACCGGTGAGCCAGCGGCATCCTCGTTTCCACTGCCACATCCACGCGAGCGCGCGGTGAACGATTCAAGACGCGCACAGATGGCACGGTTGGCGCTGTCAACGTGTCGTCGTCCCCGTACCTGGCCCTGCTTGGCCCCAAGGAGCACAAACCATTACACGAGCTCCGGTCATCCTCGCAGGAGGAGCAGCTTTTTGGCTGGCCATCGAATAAAGACGGTTACCGCATCGCGCATTTTCAGATGTGCATCTGCGGCCGTCTGGAACGCTCTTCCTTCCGATATTCGGAAGCCGATCGAGCTATGCACTTTGAGATAATTAACATTGATACCTAATTTCTTTAGAACTGCTTTTGGTGTTTAGTTTGTTGTCATTCCCCCGCACCTCCAATTAGCACAGTTGGCTACGTACGGCGCAAAAGAACGCCGAATGCCGCTGGAAAAAGGTGACGAGAATTAGGAATCGACATCGGTTGATGTCGATAGTGCAGACGCGTGGCGGCGACCGGACGTTTGTATCGTCTCGACTCGTCGGCGCTAATGATGACGTGCAAGTTGCTGCCCTGCTCACGACGCCGCTGGTTTGCAGCTGAGGCTGTGAGGCCGGAACTGCTGGCGACGCCAGCACCCCGGCCGCCCATCGCTCCCGCGAAGGTTCCCGCGGGCCGGGAACTCCCGTCCCGGCGAGGGGACACCTCGCCCCTGTCGTCGGAAACGCGCTTCGAAGGACGCGAGATGGGACCGTGGGCCGGCCAGCGGCACGTGGAAACGATCGTGACAGAACTCCGCCCCGGGTAAAAGCGACGTCACCTCGTAAATTTCGATTTAAAGCTTTCGTGACTGCAGGGATTCATCTTCTTGGTTCTTTCAGTAAAGTCACGTAGAAGGGAAATAATAAAATAATAAAAATAAACATAATAAAATAATTCTCACGACGTTTCGGGGACAACGCAAGCAGCCATCCTCAGGTGAAGAACAGGTCTGTCGATAAGACAGAGTCTGAATGACACGTCCTAGGCTTGAAGCGTCTATTTAAGCTGGGAGGGAGGAGGAAGAGCGCCTTGACAAAAGAATTTGCATATAATTATTTTATTATGTTTTATTTTTATTATTTCATTATTTCCATTCTACGTGACTTTACCGAAAGAACCAAGAAGACGAGGTCACCTCGTTTGCTATTATTTAAGACCGGGGACGCGGGTGGATCTCTTTGCAATTCTGGCGAAGAAAAATTTGGCCCGGCAGAGGCCCGAATGGAATTAACGGCGAAATGTCTTCGCAGTGCTCAGATTGGAAACGTTGTGGTTTTACTCTCCTGACAACACCGGTAGAGCTGAAGCGCTAACTAATTGTGCACGTTTTGCTCGCGTGACGAACCTTACTGACGTCAGGCTGTGTCGGCTGGTGGCGGGTTAAAGACGCGCATTTATGTTTACGAGATCCAAACCCCCCCCCCAAATAAGCCTTTATCATGAATAATATTGGTCGCGAAAGCCGACAGCGTTAAGCTGACAAACGTGCTCTGATAATATATTTGCATGTTACCACAAGTACGTGTGGTTTACGCAGTACTTCATTCCTTGCAAAACGTACCGATTTGGTGTTCGAACATCGTAACACAACTCCTGTTTTATCATCAGAAAGGGTACAAAACCCTATTCTCGTTCTTTTTTCCCATACGGAATGTCACCTCTCGCGCAACCCCGCGTTGAGCGTTCACCGTCCCCGGACGTGTTCGTCAAGCGCATTGTTGATCTCCCCCCCCCCCCATGCCTCCCCCCTTACATTCCTTCACCTCCTCCCCCCAACCTCCCCGCCTTGCGCTCCCGCAGCGCATCGCTGCCGTCCCATCAGGCCGGCATGCAGCTGCAGGTGGATGGCGTGGCCCTGGTGGCGCCCGCTGTCCTCGCCCCCGAGGTTCATCTCGAGCAGCACCTCACCGAAACGGAGGTGACGTGGGTGCCGCGCCACCAGGCCTCGGAGTACCTGGTGTCGTGCATCCCCGTCGGCGCCGCCGACGGCACCGCGCCCATACAGGTGACCAAAACAAACGCCAAGGCCCTCGCTGCGCGCCGCATCCTGTTAGCCCCGTGGCAATATTTACAGGAACCGATCGGTAAAAAATATAGAAATGTTACAGGGATTCCTCTACGTACGAACGAGTTAGGTTGCAGAGGTCTGTTCGTAAATCGATTTGTTCGTAAGTCAAACTTTACTCCTGTCAATTCCAAACGCGTCGTGCGGCGTGTACGCTAAACACGGGGAAAGGGTTTAAACGTTTTGTGATCTCCTGTAGATATAGTTGCCTCTGGTTCTTCACGTTCTACAGATGTAAATACCACTGGTTCTTCACGTTCTGCAGATGTAGATGCCACTGGTTCAACACGTTCTGCAGATGTAGATGTCACTGGTTCTTCACGTTCTGCAGATGTAGATGTCACTGGTTCTTCACGTTCTGCAGATGTAGATGCCACTGGTTCAACACGTTCTGCAGATGTAGATGTCACTGGTTCTTCACGTTCTGCAGATGTAGATGCCACTGGTTCTTTACGTTCTGCAGATGTAGATGCCACTGGTTCTTCACGTTCTGCAGATGTAGATGCCACTGGTTCTTCACGTTCTGCAGATGTAGATGCCACTGGTTCTTCACGTTCTGCAGATGTAGATGCCACCACCGCCTGAACTTACGACTCTCGGCCCGAACAGGCAAATGCACATATGGACAGCTTTGTTCGTATCTCTGAAAGTTCGTAAGTCGAATGTTCGTAAGTAGAGTAATCCCTGTATTTTTTTTTTCATAATATTTTTTCTTTTTTTTTTAAATCCCAACTCAACGTGAGTCCAATACGAAGCCGCCGGTCACTGAACGAAGGCAGGGAAGGGGGGGGGGGTGGTGTCGGCACGACAGGGCCTTAGTAAACGGGGGGTGTGTGGGGGGGGGAGGAAACTGGGCTCACTGCCCCCACCCAGGTGGGGAACAACAAGCAGGGGGGAGAACATAAAAATGTACCGATCCGTGTTTGTGTTCTCCAACGAGGTCCCCGAGATGTTCGAATCGCACTTCTTCCGAAGGACTCCCAAGGTCAAGGCCCCTCTCTGTCCCTGGGCTGATCGGCCTTTTCGCCTGCACTGTGCCCTGCTGCTCCTAGGCTTTGGAACGACGCTTTTGCCCTTCGTTAATGCGCCTAATCGGAGTCGTTAGGGCTGTTTAAGTCCTGTCAAAAAATAATAAAACATCTCACACAGGAGTCCCTACCGTCGAACCCTCCCGGTTTACAACCTTCCACGCCGCCAGAGGCCGATCGTCACCTGAATTGGGACCGGGGCCGCGTGGCCGATGGGGCCACCCGTTGCCACGAATGGCGCCGTCAAAGATTCGGCGGCCCTGCGAGCGGTGCGGCCACGGAATCCCAAACCGTCAGCCACATCGTAAACACTCCGCCGCCACCGTCTTCGCCCCTTTAGATGAGGGACAGACGAGATCCCACTCTGCTTCTAAACAGGCAATCGACTAAAATTGCATCTTAAATCTGCTGCTATGAAATCCATACGAATGAAGAAGAAGTCCTCCGTCTTGTAAAACTCGCCTCTTTAAATTGGCCTCCACTCCCCACTTACTTCTGGCTGTGTCCCCCGGCAAGTTCTAATTTATTTCCCGGCTTTCCAAACGCGGCGACGGCGCATTGGGGTCAACCGCGCAGCGTCCGCCCACAGCCTGAAACTCAAATTTCGTTCTTTTCGAAACTCAAATGTAATAGTTACGAGAATCACCGCGACCCCGGCACGCTGCAGGCTTGATGGACCGAGGGACTTGGAGGAGATATATCCATACCTGTCAACCCCTTATCCGTGCCTCTACCTTACTACAGACCAATTCAGATCCTATTGGTCACCCCGTGCACCTTATAAATCCCAACGTTCATCCTACAAAGTCCCATCACACGGGAGAAACACAAACAAAGAGACAAATATAGTTGTTGTTGCCCGTATTGAAACGGCTGTACGCCCTGCACAAGAATACGGGGCCAACCGTGATGGGTTGACGGCTACGGTCCCACGGCGTCACGACGCCATCGGTCGGGAGGCGTTGAGAGGTCGGAGAAAACAGCGGAAGGATCGGTCGCCCGAACGCAACCGTGACGGATCTGCCCCCCCCCCGGCCCCCTCCCCCCCCCCCGTCGCAGATGCGGCTGCCAGGCAGCCTGAGCAGCACCACGCTGACGGGGCTCATGACGGGCACGCAGTACAGCGTGGTGGTGGAGGCGCTGCACGGCTCGCGTCGAGACAAGGTGCTGGAGGAGTTCATCACCCTGCTCAACACCGGTACGCGCACCGCCCCCTCCTCCCTCCGCTGGTCCTGGGCCCGCTCTCGTCGGACAATTACAAAGGTCCCCCGTGTAGCTTCGAACAGAGCGTTGGGGCAAGTGCTGTTCGCCGAGTGCCTCTGTGATGGACTAGATCGGCGTTTTTCAAACGGGGTGAAGCGTAAGGCCCATTGAGCTGTGTAGCCCTTTTTCAGGAGTGACCTGGCCACAAATGAGAGCGCAACGGAATGGGCTCATCACCATCGCGTCGAAATTTATAAGCAGCCAAATACTCTTAAACGCGTGACGATGATTCTACATGTCGAGGGGAAAAACCAGAGGAGCCGGAGAAAAATCCACGTGGCCACAGAGAGAGACACGCAAACTCCAAATATACAGCAGCAGGCATCAGGGTCTGGATCGAAGCCACGACCTCCTGCACACCAGGCGAGGGAGTTAACAGCTCGCCACCGTGACGCCCCCGTAAGTCCTGCGATGAGACAGTTAACAGATGGGCCGCGTGCGACACTGTGCCAGTAATGTGACGGCGGTGTGACGGTGATGTGGCGGTCATGTGACGGTGTGCCAGCGATGTGACGGTGATGTGGCAGTGATGTGACGGCGTGAATCTATCGCGTGCTGTCGCCCGCAACAGTGCCGATGAACTTGACGGGCGACGCGACGGAAGACCGCTGCATGGACGAGGACACGGGGCGTGATTACGCGGTGGGCGAGGAGTGGGAGCGCCCCTCCAACACCGGATTCTTGTTCCTGTGTCGTTGCCTGGGACACGGCAGTGGGCACATCCGCTGCGACTCTTCCAGTGAGGCCAGGCTCTCTCTTTCTCTCACTCTCTCTCATCCTGTGATGCCACATTATCTCTGTATCTCTCTCTCTCTTGCAGTGAGGGCCACGCTCTCCCTTTCTCTCACTCTCTCTCGTCCTGTGATGCCACATTATCTCTGTATCTCTCTGTATCTCTCTTCCAGTGAGGCCACGCTCTCTCTTTCTCTCACTCTCTCTCGTCCTGTGATGCCACATTATCTCTGTATCTCTCTCTCTCTTCCAGTGAGGCCACGCTCTCTCTTTCTCTCACTCTCTCTCTCGTCCTGTGATTCCACATTATCTCTGTATCTCTCTCTTTTGCAGTTAGGGCACGCTTTCTCTCTTTTCTGTCTCTCTCTCTTTTTTTTACGATCAGAGGAAGCAAGAAGATGCTCGGTTTAGTCGCCACTTTGCTTCGTTCATCATTTAGTTTTTCTTTTAGTTTTTTTCCATTGTTTCGATTTATATGCAAAGCAATGGGAAATGAAAGATTTTACGTATTTTCCCATTGTGAAACAAAATCAATTTGTGCTACTTTCTTCATAGACACAAACATCAACACGAAGAAGCATGCTCTGATTCTCCTCCCTACCACTCCCCTCTCTCTCTACCCCCTCTCTCTCTCTACCCCCTCTCTCTCTACCCCCTCTCTCTCTCTACCCCCTCTCTCTCTCTACCCCCTCTCTCTCTCTACCCCCCTCTCTCTCTACCACCACCCTCCTCTCTCTCTACCACCCCCCTCTCTCTCTACCCCCTCCTCCCTCTCTACCCCGTCCTCTTCTACCCCCCCTCTCGCTAACCCCCTCTCTCTCTCTAACCCTCTAGCCCCTCTCTACTACTCTCTCTCTCTACCCCCTCTCTCTCTACCACCCCCCTCATCTCTCTGCTACCACCCTCTCTCTACCCCCTCTCTCTACTACCCCTCTCTCTCTCTAAACCCCCTCTCTCTCTACCCCCTCTCTCTCTCTACCCCCTCGTCTCTCCTCGTACCCCCCTCTCTCTACCAGTCTCACCACTCTACCCCTCTCTCTCATACCCCCCTCTCTCTCTCTCTTCTATACCCCCCTCTCTCTCTCTACCCCTCTCTTACCACCCTATCTATAACCGTCTCTCTCTACCCGTATCTCTACCCCCCTCTCTCTACCCCCTCTCTCTCTACCCCCTCTCTCTCTCTACCCCACTCTCTCTCTACCCCCATCTCTCTTACCCCCTCTCTCTCTCTACCCCCTCTCTCTCTACCCCCTCTCTCTCTACCCCTCTCTCTCTCTACCCCTCTCTCTCTACCCCCTCGCTCTCTCTACCCCTCTCTCTTACCCCCTCTCTCTCTACCCCCTCTCTCTCTACCCCCTCTCTCTCTACCCCCTCCTCTCTACCCCCTCTCTCTCTACCCCCTCTCTCTCTACCCCCTCTCTCTCTACCCACTCTCTCTCTACCCACTCTCTCTACCCCCCCCCCCCCCTCTCTCTCTTTACCCCCACTCTACCCCCCCTCTCTTTTTGGTATCACCCACCACCCCCACCCCCCCCCCCCCCACAGAATGGTGCCATGACAACGGCCAGAACTACCGCATCGGCGAGCAGTGGAGCACCACCACAGCCACGGGGCGCCGCATGAGCTGCACCTGCCTGGGGAACGACCTCGGGCAGTTCAAGTGTGAACCAGGTGGGTGGGCGCAATGATGCCGCGGGGGGGGGGGGGGTCCCATCAGCCCCGTTTGCAGCGGGGGGGGGGGGGGCGGGTGGGTGGTGACACGTTGGTACATTCCGACTGGAAGTACGCCGTCACGGTGTCACAGGTCGAACCCGGGGTCACAGGTCGTACCCGGGGTCACAGTTCGTGACCGGCGTCACAGGTTTGTGCCGGGTTCACAGATCGCACCGGGGTCACGGGTTGTCCAGGGGTCACAGGTCGCACTGGGGTCACAGGTCGCACCTGGGGTTACAGTTCATAACCGGCATCACAGGTTGTGCCGGGTTAATATGTCACACTGGGGTCACGGGTTGTCCAGGGGTCACAGGTCGCACTGGGGTCACAGGTTGTACCAGCGTTACATAACTTCACCTGTTCCGTTTCCTCTCACGTATAAAGACGAATGAATCGGCCGATGAGACCTCAACGCTTAGGGGACCGCAGAGCTTGGGCAGTTGTTGGCACCGGCTATCGTGTGGACGCCCTCCTGCTGGTCCGCGTTTCCTCGCGCCTCTGAGCCATCGCCCTCTCGCTCCACGAGAGCGGGGCGAGGGGGAGGGGCCGGGGGGGGGGTCGAACGCGGTGTGGCGGCGCAGCGTTACAAAGTTGCAATCAACCCCCTCGACGTCAGGTGTCACGAAATAAAATTGCTTTGACCTACGCTCTGCGCGCAGATGAGAACACGTGCTACGAGGGTGGGAAGGAGTACACCGTGGGACAGAAGTGGATGCGCAAGAACCGCGGCCTTGACTGCACCTGCACGTGCTACGGAGGACGCAGGGTGAGTCACGATGCCTGGGCACTTGTGGAAAGCAATTATAAAAGCAAAGAGATGTGTACGTGCGTTGAACTTGACAGTGGTGATGACGATGACAACGACGATGACTGATGATGCGTGCGCTGTGTGTGTGTGCTGTGTCCAGGGCTACCGTTGCGACTGCGGTGCCGTGCAGAACGTGGCGTCCAGTTTGGCCCAGGGACACACTCTCCATCAAATCCGCAACCAGCTCCTCCGCCGCCCATTTGTAAGCGCCTTGCGTTCACGCCCTTGTTGTTGATATTACTGGTAGGAACCACCTGGTTCCACCAGCCCACAGGGGATTATTGTGTCCGTCCGTCCGTCATGCATCCAAAAATGGAAGGGGTGGGGCTGGGTGGAGAGGGGAGGGTGGAGAGGGGCTGGGTGGGGAGGGTGGGGAGGGGCTGGGTGGGGAGGGTGGGGAGGGGCTGGGTGGGGAGGGTGGGGCTGGGTGGGGGGTGGGAGGGGTGGGGCTGGGTGGGGAGGGGCTGGTCACCCCATGGTGCCCTTATAAAACTCAACGTTGAACCTACTCACGCCGGCTTGTGCCCGCCCTCACAGTAGGCCATATTTGCGGAATACACCACGCCGCCGTTGACCCTGGCCATTGACCGAGCAACTCAACGTTCCTACCAGCTCCCTCCGCAGGAATGTGTTTTAGTTGTTAGCCTCAAAGCGCGCGCTCAAATACCGTCCCATTATCTTGCTCTTCTTCCACTTTGCGTTTGACTCGCTACTGAGAGTGTGCGGGTGGTGGAGCCGCACCAGGGCACACAGGCCTGGAGGGGCGGCCTAGTTAAGGCATGATGCTAGGGACCAACGTGAGTGACCGATGTGAAGTATCATTTTTTACAAGGGCTGGAAAGTTGAAATGTGGTTCAAATATAGTCGAGTTTATGCATTGTAATCAGATAGGCGGGAAACACAGAACAAACCTATTACTACTTTATTTCTAAAAGCATAAAGAGAAGTTATTTGACCTGCAGTGTGGGTGGTTGAACACAGTATTATGAAAACAATAATAGGTTTATAGACTTAACTATCGTTTTGGTCGTTCTTTGGTCGTCTAACATTGGTGAGACAAGGTCGTGAAGAAGGCTGTCTCTGATGTAGGCCAACTAGTTTGCATTTATTATCAGAGCATGTTTGTTTGCATAACTTACCGTGAGCTTGACATCTGGTCAGTGCAGACTGGATGATGCCTTGCTAGAGGTGGGGGTGTCGTCTCTTTGGTGTTTTGGCACATCTTAACACCTCCTGTATTATTTGCCGGAAAGGGTACACATCTATTATTTTCGATACTGGCAAACATAACAAAAATAGGGCCTCATAGATGAACACAGCACGTGTGACGCTGGGTGAGACGAAACAGTTTAGATTGAGCCCTCAACGTGAGTGAAGCAATCTAAACAAACGAGTGAAGCTCCCGGGATCAGTAGCCGTGGGGAGCGGCGATGGGAGAGGCGGCTAAACAGCGCGGATGAGACGTAACGGTCGGTTTGGTTTAGACCCGAGTCCTCTCCACGAGGTGGAAGAATCGATGGGCGAATCGATGATGCGAACGACTGACCGCTGACCATCTTCTCCCCTCTGTGTTCCCAGCCGAACAAATGCACGTTTCAGTGCTGATGATGGACACGCCGGGGGAGGAGACGAGGGGGTGGGGGAGGGAGCTGTGGATTGGCGTTGGTGAGAGAAGACCTTTTTTGCGAGGCAGCAGTGGGGCCTTTCCCGGCCTGCGTGCGGCCTTCCTTCTCGCGCTCGCAGCCGTCTGGAAGCTTTCTCGACTCCGCCGCGTCTTTTCTTTTTTTTATTTGCGGCTACGCGCGGCGCTCGGTTTCGTCGCGAGAAAATGCTCCGCCGACGACACCGGCGCGAAAGGGGCGGTGGGCGCCCTGCGGCCTCTTTGCGCGCCACGAGTATATTCCGTTCGGCGAAAGGTGAACCTGGTCCGCGCTAGTGCCACGTTGCGTGTTAGTTCAAGGAGCCTTTCGCGTCCGCTTGGTTATTTGTGTTTACAGTTCGCCGTTCTACTTTGTTTTCACAGCGGGGATAATTTAACCGAAAATGTACGTGAGTGGTCTTGATTGGCAAGGAATATGCCCCGTTCTCACCCTATGTTCCCCCCCCCACCCCCCATCCTGGTTTCAAAGTCATTCCTCGCCCCTCTGTTTTACTTTATAAGATGCTGTGCATTCCAAACTGAACTTCCAACGCAGGATGCGGTTGGGCCAGTGGTATAGTGTGGTTGGCACGGTCCCTCTTGGGGTATTACCATAATTTGGGGTGTGACTGTATTTACACGCCGCGGTGGCGAGATGTTAACGACCTCGCCCAGTATATAGGAGGTCGTGTGTTCAATCCCGATCCTGACCCTGATGCCTGCTGCTGTATATTCGAAGTTTGCACGTTCTCCCCGTGGCCGCGTGGATTTTTCTCCAGATCCTCCGGTTTTTCCCTCCACGTTTAGAATCAAACGTGCGTTTCGACTATTTGGCTGCTATAAATTTCCACGCGACGATAAGCCACTTCGTTGAGCTGTCACTTGTGATGGCCAGGTCGCATCTGAAAAAGAGCTACGTAGCTCAGTGGGGCCTTATCTGGTAACATAACAAACAAAAAACTCGATTGGGACCACACACGCACACACAGCGGCAGCAACATCGCCCCCTGTTGCTAGAACCTGTTAGGACTCTCTTGCTCAAAGATTCATTGCACTCCTATCGTTTTTTTGTTGTTGTTGTAACTTTCTGACCTGTCCCCTTACTGGGCTCTCTGTAGAAAAGAAAATAGCTTCATAGCTCATCGGATTTCCCCAGGATAATTTTTTTAAAATATCTGATTCTAGTGCAAGGAATTTAAATGAGGGAGGGGGGGCATTCTGTCCGATTCCTCTTCGCGGTCCGGTGCCCGACTCTCTTCCAGTCCCTGGTGCCTGGTGTGGTTGCACTGCTGAGCGTCTGGGATTGTAGCTGCCCTCTGCAAACACGTGGCGCTTTTTGTACACCCGTTCCCACTGTTCGGCTCTCTTGCCTGTCACGTAACGCTGGGTAGAGGCTTGGCGGAACAGGTGGCACAAAAGCATCGGTGCAACAGGGAGGGCTTGTGGGAGCGGCACGGGTTACAGCAAGAATCCGGAGAGGCCTGAAAGGAAACGGAGCGAACAAGAATAAGTTGAGCGGTAAAATAAGGTGACGCTTGTAACGTTAATCCGAGTGTTTTATCTGATGATGACGAGGATGCTATAATGATTTAAAGCTTTCGTGACTGCACGGATTCATCTTCTTGGTTATTTCGGAAAAGTCACTTAGAAGGGAAATAATATAATAATAAAATATAAAACATAATAAAATAATTCTCACGACGTTTCGGCCACAACGCAAGCAGCCGTCCTCAGGTGAAGAACAGGGCTGTCGGAAAGACAGCGTCTGCTTGCGTTGTGGCTGAAACGTCGTGAGAATTATGTTTTATTTTTATTATTTTATTATTTCCCTTCTACGTGACTTTCCCGAAAGAACCAAGAAGATGCTATAATGCTTCATGAAGCCAGATTGATCATTCGTCTGTTCGTTCATTGAGTACGGCTTTAAGTAAGTAGGGTCGGTGGTCAGGAGGCCAACGAATTCATTTTCAGACCACAGAAATGCCATTGCATTAATTTAATCCACACCACAGCTCAATGTATAAGCACAAAACTCAACTCCAAACAAACGGGGGTGGGGGGGTTTTTTGTCTTTTTCCCAGTGTTCTTGGCACTTGTCCGACCGTCGTCAACGTCATTGAGACGAAGTGTCCCTTGGGGAACTGCCGCAGAGCAGCGTGACGCCCCGTGTTAACAGGATGGCCCGCGGAAGTTGATATCACAGAACTGCTTCCAGGATCCTTTCAAGTGACCGCTTGTCCACGCTAGGGACAAAGCACTTTGCCGATACACCTTGCTGCGGAGATATCACACTGCTGCCACCACGATAACTTAATCGTTTTATTGTCAAAAGCTGGGATTCTTGTCAAATGAAGTAAATGTGTTTTTTTTTTGGAGCGATCATTGGTGACTGGCTGCACTTGAGTATCCGGTTTAAACATGAAGCAGCGGAAACCCGCATACAGGATTTGTCTCGAGGATCTCAGCGATGCCAGCTCTGACCCTGCGACCCATCCACATCCCAAGACACAAATGAAAAGGGCGACATTTGTTTTTATGTACGCATCAAAATAGATTGCGGAGCCACGCAAACTCGATACGGCCACGACCCGATGGCAATGCCAGGGGTGGGTCGGAAGGGTGATAATTGTACAACAGCATTTGCACCGAAGGTGACAACGACGATGACCCGAGACTGAGCAAATCGCGTCGGCTCGAAAATTGACCACCCTTCCCTTGGCTCACGATCCACGAATTGCAACACGTGGCAGCCGTCGTGCCCCACCGGGGCTCCGCATGACCAAGGTGCTCGATTTCGGCCACGACTATTCGGGAACGCCGTTCTACCCATCGGCAATTATTTGGGAACGCGCCACCACCACCACTGCTGTGCCAGCGAGCCTCGCATGGCCCCCCAGGGGGGGGGGGGGCCCTCCGGCAGTTGCGAGAGAGTCTTCCTCGCCGTCCCGAAGTGGCGCTTGCTTCGTTCGTAAATAACCGCAGTGTGACACGAATGCTCTTTGGGTTGTTTCGGTAAAGTCACGTAGGTAAACAATTTAATAAACTAAAAGAAAACAACTAAATTAAATCACGACGTTTCGGGCGCAACACAAGCGTCCGTCATCAGGTGGGAAAGCATGCCCTACGTGACTTTACCGAAAACAGCCAAAGAGTATGGATCCTTGCAGTCACGAAAGCCTCAAATCTGTGACACGAATGCCTGATAGAAAGCGGGAAAGGCACGCTGCCAGTCGTTCGTAAACCTCTTAACAGGTCAAGGCGCAGCTCTGCAATTGTTATCTCACGCCGCTGCTGTTGGCCACGAGGCTGGTTTTCAGTTGGGATTGCGGGGTAAGGCACTACCACTAGACTAGAACGTACGTCCATCCGTAATCATAATACCGTCCCATATTGTTGTACCCTATTTGACTATAATCCTATGAACACGTTCATAAAACAAAGAAAATTCGATGGAAAACGTGGCGCGATTATTTAATGTGGCTTATGTGGCAGGTTCAAAAATAACTCTCAGACAGAGGTCGCAAACGGGTTTTGATTCCTTACCCGTACCCGTACCCAGCCGCACCAAGGTCTCAAACGGGTACCCGTACCCGTACCCGGCTGTACCCGTACCCTACGCGTACCCGGCCGGGTACGGGTACGGTACGGTACGGGTATCGGGTACCTGATTGCGACCTCTGGGATGAAGCCATGTTGCAGGCGCGGGTGGGTTGATTCTAGGAACTTGAATTGTGAGAAGAGACAAGACGTTGGGAAATGAGTGACAAACAGTTACTCACCAGTGACTCACGGCAGACCCGTACCCGTACCCGGCCGCACCAGGGTCGCAAACGGGTACCCGTACCCGGCCGGGTACGGGTAGCCGGGTATCGTGTAGGGTACGGGTATCGGGTACCCGGTTGCGACCTCTGCTCTCAGAACACTGTTGGGGCTAATATTGTTACCTGCCCGTTGAAGATAGCGACTGTGTTAAACGTGGGTCTATGTTAGTCGTGATGTGACGGCATAACGAAGCTTGTGTTTCTTTTCTAAACTTATATTAGTCCGGTGCTTTGTAAAGCCTCGACTTTCCTATGCAGGGTGGGAGTTGACGTGCGTTAGTTTTTGCGGCCTTAAACCACCAGCATCGATGATGACGTTATCTAAAGCGAAGTTGGTGTTGTGAGGCAAATGTGATGTTAATAAAAAAATGTCATTTTTCGTGTCCTCCCGTTAAATATCCACTGTACCTTACCCGTAGCTGCTGTTTGCAACAACAACAACAACAACAAAAAGCTGTGGCATATCTTTTGTATAAATAAACCATTATGAGATTATTTTGTGTTTGCGAATTTCATTTGTCATTTTTCCTTTTCGCATCTGGGATTTGCGTCATCATTATGTCACAAAAGGCGCGCTTGAGCAATGGTTCGCTGAATATGACTCGAAATCAAGAATTCAGTCTCCTGGCGCGATGCATATTTGGAGTTTGCGTATCTCTCTCTCATCATCACGGTGGCTCGGAGATGTTAACTACCTCGCCCGGAATGCAGGTGGTCGGGAGTTCGATCCCGACCCTGACGCCTGCTGCTGTATATTTGGAGTTTGCGGTGTCTCTCTCTCTCTCATCATCACCATCATCACGGTGGCTAGGAGTTGTTAACTACCTCGCTTGGTATGAAGGAGGTCGTGGGTTCGATCTAAACCCTGACGCCTGCTGCTGTATATTTGGAGTTTGCGTGCCTCTCTATCTCCGTGGTTGCGTGGATTTTTCTCCGGGTCCTCCGGTTTTTTAAAATTCTTTATATTAAGTTCGCTTGCGTGCTTGCTTGCTTGCTTACGACCGTGCAAATCTTTCGGTCGTTTTTTAACCCACTTCCCGTGATCCAATCGAGCTGACATTTTGCACACAGACTCGTTGTGCGAGAAAATTAATGTTCGTGAAAATTTTTTTCCAAAATTTTACACTGTTTAGGGAAAACTCATTAAATATTTAATTACCAATTGCTTAATACTGGCAGACAATCATCTGACCCATAGGTGGAAGCCATCTCAAGCCAGAGGACGAGAGGACTCGAGCCGCCACGCATATAAAGGATTTATAGTGAAAAACTTTGTTTTTACGGGTTATACTTATTCCCTCCACATTTAGAATCGACGTCGCGCGTTTAGAGTATTTGGCTGCCATACACTTCCACGCGATGATTATAAGTCCACTTGGTTGAGCTATAATTTGTGGCCAGGTCGCTTCTGAAAAAGAGCTATACAGCTCAGTGGGCCTTACCTGGTAAAATAAAAATAAAACAGTCGTAATAGTACGCCTACTCGGACATTTTCCATTATTTGATAGGAATTGCAAAAATATGTTTTTTCGGATTATTCATTAAATGTGACAAATTAATTCCAAATTGGTTTCAATGTTAATGGTTTGGGCCAAGAGTGGAATTACACGTGTTAATTTAATCAAGGGATGCTTTTTTGTTCTTTCAAACAATTCCATTTAAATATTTCTATTAAAAACCAAACCAGTTATTCGAGCTAAAAATTGGGATAAAAATAAACCCCATTGTTTAATTGGCAATTGTTAAACAACTGCAGCCAGCGACTTGCATCAGATATTGCGGTTAATTTCATTAACGCATATCAGCAGATGATTACTTCCCACATTAATCATTTTAACTAATGCACTAATAACCATTCTACCCCATTCTCTGGATCATAAGAGGTTCGGGAAAGTAAGATGAACCCAGAAAATTGTGCCCGGTGTAAATAGGCACACAGATCTGGTCTCGCTCTCACCAACACCAACAACCGCCATTCACCACTAAGCGACGGTGACGTCACCACGACGCCTGTGCCAGGCTAGGTGTACTTTGAGGCTACCACGTGAAGTGTGGAAGGCTCGCTAACAGGAAGTCTCGAAACAGACCCTGCAGGTGCCATGGGTTGGCTGACTGAGATGACCGGTAGATGCACCACCAGCTCTACCCCCTACTGTGCCAGACTAGGTGCAGGAGGAGGTCTCGAGACAGACCCTGCAGGTGCCATGGGTTGGCTGACTGAGATGACCGGTAGATGCACCACCAAGCTGTACCCCCGACTGTGCCAACTTGCTGTATTTTATCCACCTGGCGCTCCGCTCGTTGTTGTGAGCGTCGCTCCTCTGCCCTCCGTTGTTGCTGGAGAGCGACTGCGTCAAAACTGCCCAGTAGCAGCAGCGTCCTTCACGCACACACCTACCGGATTTATAAGACACACTACCAAAGTGTTCTCTTAAATACAGGGAGGGGGGAGGTGCAGTGCGCCTTATCATTGGAGGAATACGCTCATATGAATTTACAGCCCATTGTCAGTGCATTCTGTTGTTCATAGCTGCTTTACCAGACTTCACCACGCTGGTCATTGGGGGTGGGGGGGATTGGTGGGTGGGGGGGATTGGTGGGTGGGGGGGATTGGTGGGTGGGGGGGATTGGTGGGTGGGGGGGATTGGTGGGTGGGGGCAGGTTGGAGGAGCGGGGAATCGCACTCAGCAATCAGACTCAGGTGTCCGCGGTTCATATCTCACTCGGGTGCGCGAACCGCTGCGCCACCGCTCAAGCAACCCCACCCCGACCACCCTCTATTGTTGTTTAAATCTGAGTCAATCTGGAGAACAATGGAGGGCGCCATTAATTAATGAAGTTGATGATGAGTGACGTTATGGGGGGGGGGGGGTGCTAGGCAGGTGTTCTTGCCACGGGGCAGGGAGTGGCTTCACAGTCTCGCTCAGCTTCGCCGCGAGTTCATTTATTGGCTGCGTGGAACCCTTCTGGGCAATCTCAGGACCCAGGGTCCCTTCCCCTGGGGCCATCACGACTCCCAATGCCGCCTACCTGGATACCACCACTACCTCATCCTCGCTGTTTGGCTCACAGACACACCACCACCATCGTCATCACCAACTACTCGTTCTAAGCCAAATGCCCCATTTATCGCACGGGACCGTCTGCCAAAAATTGTATCACCGCCGCATCGGTTTTCATTCCCTCTCTCCCAACTTCGTGCGTTGGCGGCACCGACCATGAGCGGCTATGGCCCCCAACCTCCTCGACCGCCTCCTCCTGCTCCTCCTCCATCGCCACCTCCACCTCCACCGCCGGGCGAGTGGCAGCCCGGTGGAGGACCACCTCCAGCCATGCCTGGCCCACCGGTCGCACCGATGCCCGTCTACCAGACCTGCTACATGGCGCCCTGGGCACAGATGCCCCACGCCCCGTACTACATGCCCGGTGAGAGAAGATCGATACATTTGGTGGTAGTGGTGAGGGTGGCGGTGTGGCGTGGGGTCCAGGATCGTGCCAGATCGTCACAAAGGTCCGTAGAGGCCCCGAGGCGGGGGAACAGCTGGGCACCCCCCCCCCCTGCTCCTCTGCTTCTGGGTGGCGTCACCTGGACCGACACTCGGCCCCAACAGTGTTGGTGATGGGGCGCCAAACAGACATAATACTTCTCTGTGTGTGTGGGAGGGGGGGGGGGCAATGAGATTGCTATGAGGTCGGATGAGGGAAGCGATCCAGGCAAGGCCGTAGCCATGGAGTCAATATTGGGGGGACCAAATCTTTCAGGGGGTCTAGGGGTCGTCGTCCCCCCCCCAAAAATCTAAATTTTAAAACGAATTTCTTGCCTAAAATATAAAAAAATTCGCTAACACATGGGATGGACTTTTTTGTTACAATGTCTAATAGTGTATTGTATTACATTGTTGTTTTTTCTTTTTTTTACCTTTTCTTGTTACATTGTATGTTAATGGCAGAGATTAGGGATTAATAAAGTACAACCATAACCACAATCCTATAAACAGAAATATATTTTATAGCAATATATTTGGGGGGGACATTTTGAGCATATCTGAATATTGGGGGGGGGGGGATGTACGCCCCCCCCCAATATATATATAATCATTAAGGCCTTGGATCGAGGTGTAGCGAAATGAGAGGTTTGGATCACGCGGTTTGGAGTATTGTAGCGAGAAAAACATTACAGGTGTGGTGAAATTGAGGTTTGGATAACGCGGTTTGGAGTATTGTAGCGAGAGACACATTACAGGTGTAGCGAAATGAGGTGTGGATCACGCGGTTTGGAGTGTTGTAGCGAGAGAAACATTCCAGGTGTAGTGAAATGGAGGTTTGGATAACACTGTTTGAAGTATTGTAGCGAGGGAAACATTACAGGTGTAGCGAAATGAGAGGTTTGGATAACACGGTTTGGAGTACAGTATTGTAATTTTAGAAATGCCGATAATGTAGATGACGGATTACAATACTTATAATTAGCTTTTAAAGTTAGTACGTGTACTATAACGTGGCCGAGAGGACCTTCTACCGAGAGAGATGTAACGATTTACGTTGGTTCGGGTGCTAGGCGGATACATTGCATCGCAGGATCGTAAGAGGTGGTGGCAGTGACTTGGGGCTGGAGGGGAGAAGTTTTCATCCAGCAGTTGATTGACCATGACTGGTGGAGGCTTGGGGGGAGGCCTTCATCCAGAAGTGGGTTGACCATGGCTGATGGAGGCTTGGGGAGGCATTCATCCAGCAGTGAATTGACCATTGCTGATGGTGATGGAGGCTTTCATCCAGCAGTTGATTGACCATGGTTGATGGAGGCTTGGAGGCCATCATCCAGCAGTTGATTGACCATGGCTGGTGGAGGTTGAGGCCATCATCCAGCAGTTGATTGACCATGGCTGGTGGAGGCTTTGAGGCCATCATCCAGCAGTTGATTGACCATGGCTGATGGAGGCCTTCATCCAGCAGTGAATTGACCATGGCTGATGGTGATGGAGGCCATCATCCAGCAGTTGATTGACCATGGCTGGTGGAGGCTTGGAGGCCATCATCCAGCAGTTGATTGACCATGGCTGATGGAGGCCTTCATCCAGCAGTGAATTGACCATGGCTGATGGTGATGGAGGCCATCATCCAGCAGTTGATTGACCATGGCTGGTGGAGGCTTGGAGGCCATCATCCAGCAGTTGATTGACCATGGCTGATGGAGGCCTTCATCCAGCAGTGAATTGACCATGGCTGATGGTGATGGAGGCCATCATCCAGCAGTTGATTGACCATGGCTGACGATGGCGATGCACATACATGGTAATTCTTCAGTTGGTAGAGAATGCATTTCAATTCGCAATCCACTGCTCGATGAATTCCTCACCACGCAGTGTCCATCTTGGAAACGAATTTCTTAGGAAGTGCTTTTATTGTGCGTTTAGTTTGTTTGTCCTTCACCCACGCACTCCGATTTTTCACGGATTGGCCATACGGGTGCGAAAGAAGCTCAACGTCCATAATAG